GCTTTGGACACATGCGCTTAACCTTCAACAATGCGAGTTCAACCCTGATGAAGCTTGGAGAGCCCAATGGAGTTCAAAAATAACTCCCAAACACCACCTTGTGAAAGTCCCAAAGCAGAAGATCCCTAGATTTGATCTACCACGAAGCTCATGGTTCACCCTAAACTGCATTCGCATAAACCATGGCAGATACAGATACCTCGTGCACAATTGGAAAAAAAAAAACTTTCCAGTGTGCGACTGTGGTCATCCACAACAGACCGTGCAACGTATAAGGACGCAGTGCCCTGATCCGCAAATACGAAGGAGACATCAGAGCGATGATGCACTCCGCTGTTCCTGACGCGTTTATCTGGCTTGACCACCTGAATGTGAAATTGTAGTTGTTGATTTGCATCTACATCAGCCATGCCAAAGAAGAAGAAGTTGTTACTGGTTACATTACAGATGGGTTCTGCGAAGACCCCCTCCCCTGCCCCGACACTTTGTTGCAGACAAGGGAAGTTATAATGCACTGGATGGTAATTTCACAAAATCTACGTAACTGCTGGCTACTCGTGACCCCACTGTGTATTTAAAAGTTCCATCATCAGTATAATCAGAATTTGTCACCTTGTTGAAGGGAGGAAAATGCGGACACATACATACCCATGATTTTTGTGTATACATTTGTGGATGTCTTTTTGCTATATTTGAAATTCATCCAATGGTTGTGCCCCCTGTGGCTAGTTATCAAACATTGCTAATTTTTTTTGGAAATTGTATATACTGCACTGTGCTTTCGTTTTTCCACACAACCAAACCCTGGTCTCCACCAACTGAATTCACAGGCCCCTTCACCTTATAAACCCAGTGATGCACGCATTGGTGCTTGTGCCCCAACACTTGTTCACACATACAGTATGAGCCAAAGACCATTCATTTGTGCTGCCACCCATTCACCTTGCATGCTCTCAGTTGGCTCAGCAGCAAGTGGGACAGGGAGGGGAAATGCTGTGATTGTACTTCAAGAGTCCTCTGGAAACCCAATAGCACAGCTGCCAAGCATTTACCGTGACTTCATAGGTAGGTCGAACTCAAATTCTGTAATTCTAGATTTGAAGCTTTCGTGACTGCAAGGATTCATACTCTTTGTTTTTTTCGGTAAAGTCACGTAGGTAAAATAAAATTAAAATAAAAGAAAAACAACTAAATGAAATCACGACGTTTCGGAGGCAACACAAGCTTCCGTCTTCAGGTGGAACAGTCACGGCAAGAGAGCTGCATCAAGTGGGGAGCTCTGAGACCCTCGAGCTTATATAGAGGTTAAGGTGGGGGGGAGGAGCCAAGCAGGGAACGACGACGAGGTTAAGTTAAACCTTGGCTCCTCCCCCCCCACCTTAACCTAACCTCGTCGTCGTTCCCTGCTTGGCTCCTCCCCCCCACCTTAACCTCTATATAAGCTCGAGGGTCTCAGAGCTCACCACTTGATGCAGCTCTCTTGCTGTGACTGTTCCACCTGAAGACGGAAGCTTGTGTTGCCTCCGAAACGTCGTGATTTGATTTGGTTGTTTTTCTTTTATTTTAATTGTATTTTATCTACGTGACTTTACCGAAAAATCTAATTCTGTAGTTGACTCATTTGTGTTCATCAAGACCACTTTCTCCGTATCTCGATATCATAGGTTCTCAGATAATGTAAGCTGAGGTTAACCTTTTTCACGTCTCAGGCCATAATGTACACTTAGAGGAATGAGTCTTGTGTATTAGGTGGTCTGCTTCGCTTGGTTTTCTATGAGAATAGAGGAAAGGAGTATTGAAAACATGTGAAGTGTGGCTCTCAAGTTCTCAAATGGACACCATTGACACTCTTAATTAAAGCCAAGTGGTTCAAAATGAGCTCCTAAGTGCTTTTCCAGAAACACTTTTACAGGTACAAATACAAATTGCTGAGTTCAGTTCACCTCACGTAATCCCAGAGAGCAGGGATGCTGCTGTCTGCAGGATTTTCATTCATAATACAGGTTTTTTTTTTGTTAGAACGCGTAAATATATTTACAGTGCTTTGTCCATATAGTTACGCTGTAAAAAGTGTTTTTTGGAAAAGCACTTAAGAGCTGTATTATGTATGATATTGTTCGCGAAAGCCTACGTGTTAAACTGAGGATTTTGATTGTGTAAATTATAAGTTGACCGCACTGCATGCACACAAGTGTCATAATTTACAGTGCTTTGTCACGCCACTGCTCCATGAAGGTCTCCCCTCTCCACGTCGATCAATGCGTTAACCATACTTCACCATGCCAGTTAGTTAAGGTTAGCGAACGGTGGGGGGGGGGACAATCATTTCGGATTTTACTCACCACTGATGTTAGCCAGGGGTGTGATTTGACCTCGAGGCGCAGAGGTTAGCGCAGTATGCAGCAAACCACTTCGGCTGGACATTACCATTTTGCGTAATGGACACTGACGCAAGTGCAGAGAAATTTGCTTCCTCAATAAAATGCTCAGGGTAAGGCTGTGTTCGGGACATTTGCCTCTTCTTGAGGAGGTTAAATAAGATATTCTTTATCATTAGACCTCCTTTGCCAGTACCAAAATATAATAATAGGGTTTTTTCCCCTTTTTTCTGGCAACAAAACTGAAACCTTTTTACAAGGATTCACGTCTGCATTAACCACAATACCTGCACCAAAATGCGTACAGCTGTACGCCTTTTGGTGTCACCTGGTCGAGCACCAATTGGGTCGAGGCTCAAGAGAAAGCCGTCCCTTGGTGTCGACCAATAAGTTTCAAGGACAATGCATATATTATCATAGTATGTTTTTTGTTTGCATTTTGACTGCAGGTATTGTGGTTAATGCAGACATGAATCCTTGTGAAAAGGTTTCAGTTTTGTTGCCAGAAAAAAGGAGGAAAAACCCCTATTATTAAGAGATTCTTATTCTTGAAAAATGTTTTACCCATATGGATTACACCCCCAGATAAACACACTTGCTTTTCTGTCCAATGGAAAGACAGGGTCACGGCAATTGTAACGTGGAATTCCCACCATTGGCTTAGGACTGTCAATGGAGGAGAGCATCCCACAAAGCTCCATTCACACGGGGGGGAGATGCTTTGACGTGTTTTTACTGGTTCGCTAAGGTCGCTCTACCCACTAAGATTAGATCTATTCCCATGGCTGGCTGGCCTCCAAATGTTAAAATGCAGACCACTGTTCTAATTGAAATACCATGTTAAAACGGTGCTGTATTCAACAAAATCAAAACAGATATATATTCACTACGATAGATCATTTATTTAACCCATTCAACAAGAAATATACACCAATGGTATTGCATTCAAATGCGAACAGCTTCAAACAGATTAATTGTAAGATGATTGAGCTATAAGAAAACAATCCTTAATGCCATACGAACGTATTGGCGGTGCACCGGTAGTGTGTGGTAATAAAAAAGGCACATTTTTGCAATAATTATGTATTTTTCCTGGATCCGCAACCCCGGTCTGAAGATCTTGTGGGGTGGTGGTGCGTCAAAATCAGTTCTCGCGATGTCGAAGCAGTAGGAAGACGAATGTCAGTTAAAATGTTGACTTTAGACTATTTTACGGGGGCGGGTGTGTTATTCTGCGGCGGTGTACAGCCAATACGTATATATAATAGAAAAAAAAATGAAACGAACATTTTTTAAGAACCTTAAAATCTATACAAAAAATTGTTGTAACTTTGTCTCAAAAGTGCAATATAGGAATGTATTATTTGGTATTAAGGAAAACAAAACAGCAAATCACATTTACACTTTGGTAGTAATATGACCTTTAAAAGCAATACTATTTTGGAGTATCCATTTATTGCATGATTTTTGTAGTTATGTTATGCATAAATCTCGTCAAATTAAATCAAACACACCTCTCAGTGATGCACTAAGCTAAACAAATTAACAAGTTAAACATCCTTAAGCAAGTTAGGTAGTAGTTTTGATTGAAAGCTTTCGTGGCTGCAGGGATTCATATTCTTGGTTCTTTCGGTAAAGCCACGTAGAAGGCAAACAATAAAATAATAAAAATATAAAACAATAACATTCTCACGACGTTTCGACTGCAACACAAGCAATCATCGTCAGGTGTCAAAACTACATGCAAGAAAATATTGATTTTTTATTTTTTTTACTTTTTCTTGCTGTGGTTTTCACACCTGATGATGATTGCTTGTGTTGCAGTCGAAACGTCGTGAGAATTTTATTGTTTTATATTTTTATTATTTTATTGTTTCCCTTCTACGTGACTTTACCAAAAGAACCAAGAATAAGTTAGGTAGTCTTTAACATTAGTGATTTTGTCAAATTGTTTAAGCAGTACTCAGTCACCACACAAAATTCAACCAAAAAGGGATGTCCCTTTGAGAATCAAACTTCCACAATTATTATATTCGATTGATCATTACCTTGAAAATCATAAAGACCGATGGACATTCACACTTCTTTTAAGTGATAGTTATTTTAAAACATATTTCTCTTATATTATTGTTAGAATGGAAACTGGTATAAGAAGTTATTGTAATGGTGGACAAAGCGAGCCTAACTTCCATGTAAATATTTAATATTGAAAAGCCTTGTTTTAGGACATATTATTCTGCTTATTTTCTGACTACAAATTAATGCAACAAAATCAAAATGTCACAACATAGCTGACGTTTAAAGTGTACCACTTGTGATATAGTGAAATTCTAAAACGGTTTTCATGACCAGCGAGTTAATCATTTTGTTATTGATGAGTAAAATGTATATCATGCATATGCGATGAGTGAAAACTTTGTGAAATCAGAAGTTAAATTTCGATTTAAAGCTTTCGTGACTGCAATGATTCATCTTCTCTGGTTCTTTCGGCAAAGTCACGTAGAATGATAATAAAATAATAAATTGATAAAAATAAATAAAAAATAATATTATTGCGTCATTTTATTTTATCAATTAATATAATATTATTATTTTATCAATTAATATAATATTATTGCGTCATTTTATTTTATCAATTTATTATTTTATTCTCATTCTACGTGACTTTACCGAAAGAACCAAAGAAGGTGAAATCAGAAGTTCTCGTAATGGTGGACAAAGCGGGCCTGATCGCAGCGGTTCAGCTGGCGGCAAGACTTCTCAACGGTCTTCGTGAGGCCCGGAGGGCCGCAGCTAAAAATGCCGACCGTTCCAACCTTAAAAAAACCCAAACAACGAAAAACAACAAAAACAATTACAGCAAAAACCAAAACGTCACGATCAGTATCTTTTGCATAACCTGGGCAAAATCCGATGAGCTAAGAAGCTCCCTTTCGCAGATGTCCAGTACGTGTAACACTCGTTACAATGCATAAACATTTACTTCGGCAAACTCGTGTGCGTACTCAAAGGCGGATGAAAGCGTTTCTGTTCAGCTAATAAAACAATTCAGCTAAATAAATACATTTCTGAAGTTCAAAATGACATTTTGCGTACACCCAATAACAGTAAACAGAAGCACTTGCACCAAACGAGCATTGGATGATAACACAACCACTGTAACTCCAAACAACATTCGATTAAGCCTCCTCTGGAGACAATAACTCAATACGTTTACAACCATCATAACATTTGTTTCAGTGGAATGAAACAAAAATCACCGTGCACCGATGACATTGTACAAGCATATCTATTCGAATAACAAAACAAAGACAAACCTCTGGGTGCAGTTTCTGCAGGGAGTTTAGGAAGGGCACAAACTGCGGGCGGCCAAAGTGCGTGATGGAGCGAAGGCCCGTGAACAGACTGCGGTTGGACACCTTCTGGAAGTGACGCTCGCAGATGTACTGAAGGAAAAAGAAAGAATGACGTTGGTAAAGTTATTATCGATTCCATCGGTGTTTTCTCGGGATGCTGCCGTGAGTGGAATGTTTAGTGTAATGGATTTGCAATGGACAAGTTTCTTGAATCCTCCTCGCTTCAAATCCACACCTCCGATTAGCACGGTCGGCGACGTACGGTGCTGAAAGAAGTTCAACATACATATACTCATCCAGCAGTAGAAATGGGTACATCAAGTCGCCAGCAAGGGAAAGTAGGCCAAATACCGCCTCGAATGGGCTCTCTTGAGCTTCCTTCAGTGGGTGTGAGCAAGCAATTTTTTGGGATGAACGTTTATATTTCATAGTCTAATATAATTAAGTGTCCATTTCTGCTTGCCGGTGTATGACATATTTGTTGTGATTCTACGACGTCTTTTTGGTTTGTGCCGTGTGCTATGCAGCATGATGCACAACTGAATTTCAGTTCCTGCACCGAATTCCAGGTCCTGGAGATGCCCCCAGGACATGGAGCGAAAATTGTGGATGTCATTCCAGATAACACGCTGTACTACCCCAAAAAAACACACTGGGAGAGCTTCATCGCACAACAGCGGAAGCCTACGAGGTGATGGAGTGCTGTTGTTCACCAGCATAGTTGTGCGCAAGTCGAATTTCTCCGCGAACTGCGTGATGTAGATATGGATGGACACCAAGTCGTTCTTGTCGTTTTCTTCCACCTCCTGGATGATGTCCGTCAACCACTCGAACTGCCTCTGGGTCCGTGTCACCCAAATGAAGTACAGCTGTTCGCCCATCACACGCGATACCAAAAACAACAATCCCTCATTTTTAATTCACCGTCACATTTCCATTTACTACGATTCTGACATTAATGAGTCAACAAACCGATGCATAAATAAAAATTGCTCACGGACACGAGAGTTCCGTGGTCTTGCATGTATATGTTTTATTACTAAAGATTTTGCTTCAGCTTGAAAGTGCTCGTCACTCACCTTTCTGCAGGCAATGAGCCTGGCGTTAATGGAAGACTTGTAGACGACATCCTTCAGGATGGAAGCAAACGGGGTGACGCCAATGCCCCCTCCCACCAGCACAGACACCTCAAAGTCATTCCAGTGCTGGTGGCCCTCTCCAAATGGACCGTCCAGGTATACCTGTACACGTACACAAAAAATATCGTCCGCCGTTTGGCCCCCAGATGCACTCATGTAAGGATGGACCAATCCAGAGATTACTGGTATGGAAGTTGAAACAATAGAGCAGATCTCTTAAATCCATCCCTGCTTCTGACCATCCAGTAATATAAAAAGGGTACTTCATAGAGAAGTGGATCAGCAGGTTGCATGTGGTGGATTGTAAAGTGTGGGTACATCCAATTTTTCTTTCAAGAAGTCTGACTAGTGTGGGGAGCGGTAGTGTAGTGGTTAGCACGCTGCGCTATGAACCTGGCGACCCGGGTGCGATTCTCGCTCACTGCCAACACCAGTGACGATTATCTGAATCGGTCCGGGGCCTCCCCTATGTCGACTCAGCCTCAAATGAATACCTGGTGCGAGGTGTAAACATTGCCGCGAGGGAAACAAAGGCGGCCGGGCGTGGTGTTGGCCACCTACCCCCTCGTGTGCTGTGCCGGCCTTAATACTAGCAGGGCTAACAGCACTTGCCCCAACAGTCTCTTACAGGCTATATGCGGAATCTTTGTCTTGAAAAATCCTATTTTCTTTTAACTTGATCATTCCACATTAATGTCGTGCTATTTATAGAATTATTAAACACATGGCTTTACAAGTTGGCATTTCAAGTGACATTCAAATGATATATGTATTTCATCAAACCTTGGAGAAGCATCCATCACTGCTGATGCTCTTTGAAGAGTAGACTTCACGAAGGCGGGTGGTCCATGGGCCCGCAGCACGCACGTGGATGCTCAGGGTACCCTCATGGGGTGCGGACGTGAGCGTGAAAGGGTGGTACTCGCTCCGGCCCAGGGTAAGGCAGGCCACGCGCACCCACTGCCCAGACTTGTACTCAAATCCCTGCGGGCGCTTGAATTGCAGGTGTGTCACTCCTGCAAATCGAGGTCAGAAAACGTATGCGCTCGGTGACACGCCCAGGTCAGTCGCAGGCTCAGAATGACACGCACAGGTGCAAATACTGATCGTTTCAAGAGGTTACTTCAGGTCTCCAAGGTTTGTCGGGGGAAAAAAGAAAAACCTCTATTACGGGGGAAAAAATGTTTGTCAAACGAATAGCTCTTTGATGTTTTTTTTTTTTGCGGTTGTACCCCCGTTGTGTTGTTCAGTATGATGTCCCGATGTCTCACTACACGTACTGTAGTAAAACTGGGAGCTTTTTCTCATTGCGATTCAGTTTCTAAAGAAGTTCCCAAAAAGGAGTACATTTCTCAACCAAACACAGGGGATCACGAACACGTCAGCACAATTGCGTACAGCCACGCTGCGGCTTCTTGCAGTCATTATTTGGGTGCCAGATTTATGAAGCGCTGCTGTTGTATCGCCACAAAGCATATTTGTTCGATGTAACCAAGAATGTGCTTGTCAGACAGATACATTGTTTCGAAGATTGTTCAATTTCAAACCCATTTGAAGCTTTGTAACAGCCCAGGATATGGCTGGGTGACAACACTATTGTAATTTCGGGTGGGGTTTTTGGTGCTCATTGGTGTGTGACCACCATTTCACAAATATAATTAGCTAAGTTCACGTACAATAACGCAGCTAAATATGCCTGTTTTATGGGGGAAGTGTTGTTTAAAACATCGGTCTATTTCCAGAAATAAATTGTGGTCACATTCATGTTGGGTTCCTTCATCTTCATATTGCTCTACTGGCGAGAAGCTATTGGCTTCCTTGCCATGTACATATCTCAAGTATTTCAAAATACAATTGTTCATAAAAATGTCTATATTTGTTTATATCTAAATTACACACGTTTATATGTTTAACAAATGCTATTGCGTGGACAGGGTTATTATTATCATCATCATCATCAGGTATGACCCAGGATAAACAATGAGAGTATTTTACTCACAATATGAAGGTTGTCAGTTCAAATCCTAGCAGGGATTGAGCCTAACAACCCAACGTGGCTCTTAAACTAATGCCCACTTTGTGAGACGTCTATAGTGCTCATCCTTTGCATGGACTTATTCACGCTGTAATAATGTGGACAATACACTACGAATTCAGGTCCACCAAAGGAGATGAGCTCCAGCCCGTTGCTCGTTTGAGCAGCGAGACACTGACTCCATGACGCTGTTTCATTGCGTTGCATCGATATTTGCGTAACTTCAACAGTGCTTAATAATATTTGCATGCCACACTCAGATTCCCTTCTTCGGTCCTCGTTATGCTACAATGGCATGCAAAAAAAACACCGGTTATGACTTATGCTCCGGGTTACCGGATGGCCTTCAGGGCAGTACTTGAATGTAACTTCCGTGTCCTTAAATATCACCAACAGAAACAACATCTGTACTCTAAAATTGCATGACATATGCAACGTCAACATTCTGGAAAATACTGAGTGAGAAATAAGGCCCGTGGATGAGACAACACCTGAGGGAAGAAGCTCAGCCTTGAGCACAGTGATCTCCACCTTGCGTCGGCTCAGGCTCAAGAGACGGTCGCCCAGGAATATAAGAGCTGGTGGCAGAAAGTATACGTAGAACATAGGCTTCTGGATGAGGCCAACACTGCCATGCAGAATGGTCTGTGTCGGGAAGGGCAAACAAGGAGAAATCAAATGTACAAGTGTGAGTATCAGTATTGCACACCAATGTAACAAGGTTGACATAAATTCTAAAAATAATGAAACCTGTTCCATTTATATAATCAAGACTTTATATCACAATAATAAATGACAGCCATGTGTGAATGTGTTGTTGAAGGCCTCCCCAGGCCACATGAGTCATGGGGATTGGTCACATCTTACCATGATGGTCCATGTGCTTTGGTTAAAAAAAATGGGTGTGGTGCCCGAGACAGGTTTCACATCATATACACATATACACATATTACTTGCCACTGACGGTAAGCATGGTACAGGAATCAAACTCAGGTCACCCGGTTGAAAGGGCAGCACATATAACATTCCATAGTAGTTGCCATTGCAATTTCTGGCCTTCGACACATGAATGTAATCTCCAGCACTGGTCAGGGCTGCCAGTGGGGATGAGTGCCAATTGCTTAAATCAATGGAGACATTCAGTTTTTTACATTCGATTCAAACAAATTACATGACCACCCGGGCTCTGTAATTCGATTAATTCCATCAGCATGCTGCGTTACAATTCAAATTAATTATTGCATGCAACAAATGAGTCAATAGTTGAACGGAACAGCTTCCTACCAAAACATAGAGCAGGATGTACAGCTGGTGGGTTATCCAGAAGGCATTGAAGGTGTGACTGCGGGCAAAGCGGCTGGCGAATATGTACAGGACTGCAAGCACCGCCAGTATCAGCACACCTGTCATACCTGGCAGGGGATGAGTGATGGCACATTGATCAACACACTGATGAAAACAAGACAAAAAATCCTCATTTACTTTAATACGAACATATTGTGTCACCCATGAACTAACTTACCCACGGACAAGGTACACGTAAAGACCAGCTCAAAATGTTCCTGGAAAATGTAATCACCTATTTATCCCAAAACTGAGCATATCATTCAGCAATATGCAAGTGAGCTATACAATCTTATTTGGCAGAGAATTAGTTGTTTTTCATACTGTTGAATGCAGCACGGAAATAAGTGAGTCACCATCCTGGCAAACGTACCCGGTATTGTTTGAAAAAACCACCAGTAGAACTTTTTAGGCATCTCGGACCTAAGTTTCAAGAAAGCAGCATTTGCACAGCAGTCATTGACGTGGCAAGCATAGCATCAAAAGGCACATGAAGTTAATGGAGTACAAAAAAAAAGGAATTCATGAATGAGAAAACCCACATTTGTCATTGCGAGCCTCACCCGTCATTGAAAAACACGTTTGGGAAGAGGCAGGACAGAACGCTCAGTGGCAGCACTGAGAAGTGGTACACGTTCACAACATGCCCAATGCTGTGCAGGACTAAGGAAGAGAAACGACAAAAAAATGCCATCAGATCAAATTGTGCACACTCAACAAATACCATTACCACACAATGGAACCGTTAATATACGTATTAAACTGTTTATTTAACCCGGGGCCAAACGCAAGAGGCCAGGGAGTAGTCTCATTTTGTTCGAGTAACCTGGGTCGCCAGAACGACAAAAGTAAATGGGGGTAAAGTACAACAGCAATGACGCGAATAACAAAAACAAATCTGAGGTCAACCAAACGAACTAGAAATCGGCGCAAAAAAACAACCACGTTTAAGGAGGAATCGAAAATTACTGCGCAAACATAAATCAATCTTACGTAATGTGTGATACATTTCCCGCAGCAAACGTTTGCTTGGGTAATTTACTTTGATTGATTATTTTGTGTACAATGTGACAATTATTATTTAAAATATTGGAAAGCTAAACTTTTTTTAAACATTAAAATTAGCCAAATATGCTGATAAATCACAGTGTGAAAGAAGTATATTGTCAGCCTGGGAAGTAAACAGACAAGGATTCAGGGACTCAATGAAGCTCAATATTCAGACTATATTTGCATATTGTGACTTGATACAATCCTACATCATTCAAATGAAGTGGCATGCTTCTTTGTGTTTGACACATATGCATGAGTTTGTACACTGATATTGCAAGTTAAACTGGCTATGTGAAAATTTGGGTAAAGGTGCAGCCGTGCAATGATTTGTTCATGCCACTGCCGGCAAAAGGATGACCAACTAGAGGGAGCTCTGGAGAGCCCTTTACTTTTAGCCTTCTCTTCCCTGATGGTCATACATCTTGATGGGTCACTTGTCAACGTTCTTTATCCTGACTCCAATATGAAAGTCCTGTTTAACACTGTATTGATCACGATACATTGTGGAAAAGTTGTAATATTAGACACAAAAATCGATATTTTTTTAGCCAGTCGTCGGATAGCGCTGCATGCTTCAACCAGATGTCTCCACGTATTTATTCATAATAAAGGTTTTTGGGTTAGATCGAGTTATTTATAAATGTGTCACATTTATAAATAACTCGATCCAAAGGTTTTTGGGTTAGATCGAGTTATTTATAAAATGTGTCACATTTATAAATAACTCGATCATTATGTCACATTTATAAATAACTCGATTATTATGAATAATATTGGTCGCGAAAGCCTACGTGTGTTCCACGTATTTAAATTAAAGGTGCTGATGTGGCCAGCCTCAGTAGACAGTGCACCAAGTAACCGTTTCGATGTTTGACTGAATTCCCCCAGGGCGGTCTGGTCCACATTCATATTTTCATTGATGTGATACATGACCAAGAACTACAGACAGGAACCAAAAAAGTCAGTACCAAATAACAACACCACACATACCCTGACTGCGACAGACTTTTTTTTTTTTACAAAATCATTATTTGAAAAAAAATCTTTCTAGCTGGTTAGCTGGCTGGCTGGCACGTGGGTGGTCAAGTCTGCGCGGTGGGGACATCACACCTCCCACCACCAGCCTCCTCCCCGGCTGTGTATCCCGTATGAATTCAAGGACGTGCTAGCAGTATTTCAAACATGTTTAACTGAATCTTCGAAACACCACTGATTTCACCTTTCATAGCGTCACCCCCTCCGCAAGTGTAATTTAAGCGGATGCGTGGAAGGGTCGATTTGAAATCAGTAAAACTCTTTGTCATACATTCGTAGGTTTTTTTTTTTTTACCTGGTGGGCCAGGGAATGCTTAGGAGGTCCAGGAGTGCTGCTCTTACCTTTGTCTCCCTCTTTCACTCCCTTATTTATGCTTCGAATGCCCCATTTACCACGACACACCCAGTATACAAAGCAAGCACATCCACGTCTTGAAAGGTTTTGATTTCAAATCGCTTTGTTCATTCTGGTGTTCATGTGCTTTATTGATTTGATGAAGAATAAAAAATAAAAATACATCGTCGAAACTCACTGGACAGAATGACGGCGGTCATTGCGATGATTTTGTGAAATTCCACGGCCGAGTCGAAGGGTATGTAGTGGTTGAGCGCCGTCTCGCGCAGCGCCGTGATGATGTTCCGGCACATGGTGAGGAGGATGAACGAGTAGCAGAATGAAATCCCGGCCGCCGTGCCGCGCGACAGGATGATCCCCACCTCCGTCACCTGCCGGATCCCAAAGTGCTCTGCGCCAACTGCGTAATCTAAGGGTGAAAGGCAGCTGGAATCAGGAACAACGAAAGAAAATCAACGAATGAAATGAACGTTTCGCAGCTAATATCAAAGCCAAAGTGGCCCATGCCCAAATGAGCATGGGGGACAGTGCTCATATCCAATGGTGGTCCTGAGTTAAGTGGTTGATGAAGGAGTCAATACTTTGAGGTGTTTTTTTTTTTTTAAATCGCAACCTTCTGCCTCTGAGACGAGCGCTTGTTTCGCAGGTTTGAATTCTCCGTGTGTTCGTGTTGTACCACTTTGTTGTTTGGCACGATGTCCTACGTCTCGCTCCGCATGCCGGGAGCTCCTTATGAATTCAGTAGCTCAAAAGAAGCTGCCAGCACGCAGAGCTGAACTTCATTCGTCATGCCGGACAACACAAGCACTCTGCCAAAGCATCACCGTGTGATAACAGTAAAATAACAAAGGTCAAAATGTTTCCATGCTCGATGTGCCAATGCTCGTTGCTGTTATACACCCTGAGGCCTTGGTGGAAACTTTACATTTCAATCATGGAAGCAAGCGTTTAAATGTTCAAATCGTCATTCACCATCATTGGCCAACACTTTCAATCCACTGCTGGATGAAAGACTGTTCAAGCCACTGCTGGTTGAAGGCCTCCCAAGCCATCACCACCACCTCATACAGCCCTGCAATGTAACAATTCACCGAACGCCTGCACGCACGAGCCGGCTTCATCGCTCCATCTCGGCGGCAAGCATCCATATGCCTCCGGCCATCTATCTTTCGCCAACATTTTTTTATATTCTCCTGTAAAAAAAAAAAAGCGGGGTGGGGGGTAGTTGTTGAATCTCTTTTGAATTGATCTCGAATGCCAATGTAACTTACAGTAGGCGCGCTCGGCCATGACGCCAGCCATGATTCCGTAGAAGATGGCCATGCAGAAGATGTGGCGGCGGTAGTTTTCCACGTAGCGCTTGACGGCCTGCATCGACTGCCCCAGCTTGCTTCGATTGTAGCGTTGACGCCGGGCTTCAGTAAACAAGCGGCCTCGCGGGCTGTTTGTCCTGTAACAGGGAAACGGGGGGGGGTAAAATTATTTATTCGCAAAGGCCGACAAAGTATTTCTTCCGGAGGCAAATGGTTATTAATGTTGCTCTCCAATGCATGCTCGGGTTGCACCGCTCCTTACGCAGGAAGCTACTTCATTCAGTTCCTGAAATTCCCAGAATGTGGAGCAAAACGTCAGATGTCGTGCCAAACACAACCCAACGACACGTCGGAGGCCTGTACAGAACAACTGTAATAAACCCAAGTACGAGTAGGTCTTAATTGTATTATATCCTTAAGGATGAGGGCATCAGTTTCACTCACTGTCTGTGCGAAGACTCTGCGGGATTCTCATCTTGTTTATCAGCGACTCTCCCAGCATTAGAACTGACGGGTTAACACGCACGCAGACACACAAATAAAGCACATTTTGCATATGAAGCATATATGCATTTCCTATATGTGTATTTCATATACAGCACTTGGGGATGACATAACTGAACTAATACCATAACAAGACTTATTTCTTTTATCAGGAGCGAAAAGGGCAAGCTACACTTAAACTATTAACAGTGTATCCCTGATTTAAAGCTTTCGTGACTGCAGGGATTCCTATTCTTGGTTCTTTCGGTAAAGTCACGTAGAAAGGAAACAATAAAATAATAAAAATATAAAACAATAAAATTCTCACGACGTTTCGACTGCAACACAAGCAATCATCGTCAGGTGTCAAAACCACAGCAAGAAAATATGTTTTTTTTAAATTTTTAACTTTTTCTTGCTGTGGTTTTCACACCTGATGATGATTGCTTGTGTTGCAGTCAAAACGTCGTGAGAATTTTATTGTTTTATATTTTTATTATTTTATTGTTTCCTTTCTACATGACTTTACCAAAAGAACCAAGAATATAGTGTATCCCTGCTTGTATGAGAATTGGACAGTGTTTGCAATCTTTATCAGCCTTCAACTAGCAGTGGAAACTCAGATATTTGCATGGCAGAAGCCAGTCTTACCAAATTGGTACTGATTTAATGACACTGATGAGATCGTGCACTCAGTTGACCACCAACTGTAAATTGAGTTAGCAACTTTGTAAATCGTGAGTTGAGTGTTTTTTTTTTACAGTGCCACCTGGCCTGATATTTAGATAATATGAAAAAAAGTCAATTATTTGCATAACTTTAGAGTGAATGACTCCTTTCAGTGTAAGGATTTTGTTGTTCAACAAGTCACTTTGTTCGGTGTCTGCTGTTGTTTCCTCCGTATGCAAAAAGATTAAACGTCTGGTGGGGTCTGGCCGCCTGTGTTTCTGCAAAGCACTCCGGCATATCATGTGTGTGTTCCAAGAGCAATTCAAGCGAATAAACACTGTTGTTTTTGGCAAGTGCCCGGCAGTCACACGCTACCGGTTTGTATACTTTTCCGAAATCTACACTCACCCAAGTAGACGTTTCCGCACCGGTGCGCCCTTCTGGGTTTTTAACTACTTTCTTTTCCAGTTTCCCTTTTTCACCGCGTTTAAAAGCCCCCCCCCCCCCACCACCCTTAACTTCGACACTGTAACAACTATGCAAAGCACCGAACGGTTTTAGAAACGATGTTAATGGATCCATGGTAAGTAAAGGGCGGGGGGACGGGGGGGGCACACTGGATGTGCAGGCCTAAATGCACGCACAAGCGGCTCTGCGGGAGCGAGCGCGGTTCCTCGAGAAGTCAAGTGCCGTGACGGCATTTATTAACGCGTGTGACCTCGCGATTTACCCATCGTGCGATTTGCGATGGTGGATGAAGGAGATGGTGTGCTCGATTCTCTTGGTCTTTGGCACGTGCATCCCTGTAAACAATGCAAGCAAATCTGGGTGAACACAGGAGCCCATGCAACATGAAGCATATGTGGCATTGTTTTAACACCTGGTTATCGTGTTGAAACATTTGTGTACTATACATAGGTGCGTACAGATATATGTGTAGGCCATTTCTTAGCAACATTTACAATAAATATATGACACCCTAATGAATTTTTATTGAAAATGCATTCTCAGTTTACCTGTTATATATCTTGTATATATAATCAGTATGCTCTATTTTCAAAATGGCAGCAAATTCACTATTGAATTCTATATTTGCATATTTCCAATATGCAGCACAATTGTAGGTTTTATATTCGTTCCAATGATACATAATAGTGCGATGCGAATGAAGTTCAACACACACACATATTTTTTTGTTGAAAAATGGAACAAAAAAAACCCAACGTGCTTTCTTAATGCTTAAGTGATCGTATGCTATTCCACTTCTCCCCCAGAGTGCACCCTGACTGAGTGGCGGGTGGGGGCTTCGCAGCGGCGCTCTGTACCAGCGACGTGAATTTGCAGGTTGCTGGCATCATGGTAGTGCTCATTCAAGAGCTTGTGCAGGTCTTCCCAGGTGAATTCTGTTTTGCCGTTGAGGCCGTACTCGCTGCACACCGAGTCCATGATGCTGTCCTCCTCCTCCTTTGGCAAACTGTAATCGGACAACTCCAGAAACGACCTACGTTACCAGCCCGTAGACAAAGGAAAGAAAAAAAAAGCGTGAGAAAGTTAGCATTCGTGCTCGTTGTAAATGGAGAAACTAGGCTCATTACTATTGAGGTGAGTTAAGAAAAAGAGAGTATATGTGTCTCATTTGGATGCATGCGCACGCACACACGCATACTCTGGCTTACGAACCTAAGCATAGATTCAAATTCTTCCTTCGTCATGAAGCCAGTTTGGCTGACTTCGTACATACGGAACATCAGCTTAGATTTGGCCTCAGCAGTTCCTGGTCACAGGAAGAGACAAGTTATATGTTTGTATGCAAACACAATTGGTAAGCAGTGATTATAAAGTTGAATGGTCAACACTCTGATGTGCTTTGAGGTTGCAGCATATGTTGCATGATGTCTCACATTTAGCTCCACACTCTGGGAGCTTCTTCAGAAACTCACAGTGAGTGGGAGCGCAAAACGTACGACATCATTCAAAGCAATGCAGTACAACCTCAAACACACACACAAACAAACACACACAAACACAAACATCAGAGAGCTATAGAGCACAACGACGTGAACTGACACAAAATTCACTGTCGATGCCGTTTATCGATTTCACTGCACTTAAAAAAAAAAATTGTAACCTCAGTTTCAAGGTATTACCTTTGATGAAGACTAGCAGCACGCTTAGCAGCTCGCTGAAGCACAGGTAGCCATTCTTGTCTCCATCCGCCAGACGGAACATGTGTTGCAGGAAAGTAGAGTCGGGTTTAAGGCCTAACAAGTCCCCGAGCTCACTGGGGGACAGCTCACACTTCACTGGTGACTCGTTCACCTGCTCATCGCTCACATCCAGCTCATCTTGTGGTCCAAATGATTCAATCTGCAAAACCTGCCACATCCAATACAATGATTTGCTGGGGATCTCTCTGTAGGTGTGGATATCGATATTCTATGAAATATCTCCTGTGACATATATAGGACAATTGCAACATATTGCACAAGCTAAACAAGATCTGGTTTATTTGGTGCATTTTATTAATTGCATATTTCATTTCGATGGTAAAATATGTGATAAAAAATTACATCACAGCAATAAATTATAATAATACCTTTGCAAAGATCTTTCTGAAGTATGTCTCCAGTATGAGTTGCCGTTGCTCTTTTGTAACTGCATTCATGAGCAGCAACTTTTCATTGCCACCGGATTTGGAAATGAAGTGACGCTCAAATTGTCTTAAGAATGTATCCAAATCTTCTTGAAATCTAGTTCGCTGTAAATCGGAATCAAAAAACAGGACCTGTGGAAGGCAAAAAATGTTTAATATTTCGAACACAAGTAAAAAAAAAATCACCGGATGTGATGACCTCTTGCCCTTCTCCATAAGCATATGGCGGTGAATAGCATATTTTGGCTGTAATAGTGCTCAATTAAATGTATGTTGAACTTCTTTCGCACCGTACGTAGCCAACCGTGCTGTGCTAATCGGAGGTGGCCGACATTTTCACATTCATGACCACAGAACGAAGGAGCAAAGAGTAGAGTCAGCATTTTGACCACTGGCTCAGGAATCTTCAATGAAGATTTGGGACATGTTGCACTTGTTCCGGCAGGGAAAACACGCTCTTTTCTTTTTTTAACCCGACAGTGCGCTTAACATAAACTTAAGGCAATCCTTGCAAAGGCGGTTGGCGTACAACACACCGGTACGCCTCTGACGAGCACGATTAGCTACGCACGGTGCAAAAGAAGTTAAACATGCATGCATACATTGAGGCGGTGACACATATCGCACGCGGCATCGCACACCCGTAGCGGTATTGCCCTTTGACCTCTTGACGGTGCACAGCCCAACGGCGGCTGCGCAGCACGCCAGGCGACGTCGCGGTGCGGCGGCCGCGCTGCTGCTGCTGCTGCTGCCTCACCAGGTCGTACTCTTTGGGCACGTGCACCAGCAGCAGGTTGCCCCTGTCGCTGGCCAAGAGCAGCTCCACGCCGGACAGGGCCTTCACCTCCAGGCTTCGCAGCAGGGCCCCCGCGCAGTCCAGCACCTTGATCGATCCCGCGTCGTCGAATCTCAACCGCACGTCCCGCAGGGGTTCCTTCTTGCCCTGCCATTCGCTGGCTGATAGAACGCAATGCATTTGTACTGAAGGTAAAAGGTGCAGCCTTGCAATTGCTCGCGCACGCCACTGCTGGCAAAAGGGCTTCCATTGTAGGGGGCTCTAGAGAGGGCATTTGTACTGTATGTTGTATCTTTTTTTAACTAACCTCTCATTGACAATTCATTGGTATTTCGAATTGCAAATGCGTTTCACATTAATTATAAGCCAAAACACGTGATTAAGTTTGAGAAGATACGACAAAATAATGTATGGCTCTGTGAATTATTTTGTCCGGCTGCCTACCTTAATGAATACAAAGGATATCCCACACGTTCATGCGGTACCTATAATTGCTTTAGGCTGCAGTGGAGCTTTATTATATCCTTGGCCAACATTTTCATATTCATGACCAAAGGACAAAAGATTGAGCATTGTGCTCATAGATTCTTGGTTGAACATTCCCATAGTAACCATAGCTCTTCTATTTGCCCAGAAGTCCTCATACCAAAATGGAAAATAGAATTGTGAAAGCAACTATCGTGGTTTAAAGCAACAACAATTGCTTGGCTTTCTTGAAGCTTTAGGGAAGATGGTTAATATGAGTCATGTAACAAGTCACGCACTCAACCAGGCACAATTAATCAGGGCCAGAGCATAGTGTTATATGGTGTTGCATATTTACATCTTTGTTACCTGCTCCATGTAGACCCCTTTCCAAAGTATAACGTTCAATTCCTTACCACGAATTCCATCTGCTCCGGGCTTCTTTCCCGTCTTCAGCTGCTGCTGATCTTTCATTTTTTCAAAGCTTTTCTTCCGTTGGCGCGACACGAGGCACAACACTAAAATGCACACTGTTAAAAAAACACAAAAATATTCACCATAGATCGGTACTTGGGAGATACCTTACCTTTACACACGTGTACAGTCCGGTTCTCAGGACCAGTATCGGACATCACCCGCCACCGTGCATCGTTACCATTATATAGGCCAGGCCTCGGTTTTTTACGTACCTACAGGCAGCAGCAGAAGGGCCACGATGGTGGCTGCGAAGCTGCCCGTACTTCCTGAGAAATAGTCAATGGTCTCCGGGGGCGTGCATGGCTCCAGGTCGCTCACGGCAAGCTGCTTGGGCTGCTGGCAAGGGTTTCCTAACACATAATGAATTGGAGAGTGGCAGAAATTACGAAAATATGCATTTGTCCAGGTAAGCCTTACTGGAGGCTCAAGATGTCGCATTTTTTTCAGGATGGGTATTGCTTGGTGGGATGCTGCAAATGTTTAGCACACTTGACGTGCATTCCAAGAGGTTTACTTGTTTGATTTCATGGTGTGGCACTTGAAACAATGGTGCACTTTTAATGAATCCTCCCTGCCTGTGTTCACCCAGCAGTATAGAGGAGTACACGAGAGTCAGTAAGATCTTCAGGTCGCGTGAGGCGGGGTGAAGTGTGGGTGCCCCCACCTCCTCCACCAAGACATCTGGCCAATGTGAAAGAGTAGGCCAAGTACCCACTTAGAGGGGCTCTCTAGAGCTCCCTCTAGTGGGAGCCCTTCTGCCAAGTGGCAAGAGCAAGACATTACAAGGCTACACCTTTAATAATTTTACTTTTGTTTGGGACGTATTGCCAATTTATTGAATATTTCCGTCACTATTTGTGAACAGTAAGTGCAATGCCTACAAGTACGTGGGCAGAACACTCAAGCGCCAGACAGTTAAGTTATTAACCCACTTGCTGCGCTGCCTCCTACAAACCCTTCATTCACCTTATGGTAAAGTCTTTTGCAAAAAAAATTAAGGTACAGAATATTATTCCAAAGCTAGCACACAAAAGCAATGGAACACTTAAGAGAGGAAAATCAACTGCAGCGCCAGACACCTGCACTCCCACATCTACGCTCCCCATCGTCACCAAAAACCGCGGCGACCAGCATGGTGAAGGATATTCAAATAACCCCCACTACCCGCACAGTGTGGGGAGTGGAACCGGCAAAGATCTGTGAAAGTGAAGCAGTTGCAGTGACTGCGTTGCACCGTTGTACTGTTCATTTTTGTGTTTTTTTACACGGTCGGTGGGTTTGCCCTCCAATTCATCGATAGCCCCACTCGATAGCAAAACATAGTGGACCTCTCGGTCGGCCTCACCGGCTCTCCAGAAGAACACTTCATCCTGGATGGTGCGGTTATTGACCCTCATCACGGCTTGCAGGACACTCGAGAATTTCGTCCTTCGAACAGCTTCCACGTCCGACTTCGTGAACATCCTGAATGGCAAAAGGAGGTTTCCCGTAGTAGACAAGTGTCATCATCACCGTCGTTATCGTCGTCATCATCATAAGCTATGGTCAATCGTCTTCATCATCATCATCATCATGATAAGCCATGGTCAATCCACTGCTGAATTAAGGCCTCCTCAAGCTGCCACCATGTCACGTTTCAGCACGCAACAAATCAAATGAGAAGGCATGTGAAGATTCATTGCTCTCACCGATTCGATCAATTCTTACGATTCGATTTTTTTTGACATTGCGGTGAAAGTCGCGCCTCGAGTCGGCCGCTACGAATCGAGTGACCTCATTGCTTCCGACACACACGCGCAGTCGAAAATAAGGGCTGCTTGCTTCTCACGTTGCACAATTCGGTGCATGTAGGGTGAGCGTAAGAACAGAACATGGCTCGATGAATCCCATCGCATTCAAATCAATCGATCTTGATGTTACGTGCCAATATCGCCCTCAATAAATTAAGCATGTCTGCACATTGCAGCAGAATGGCGAGGATGAGCGCGGTTGGCTAAGTACGGTTCAAAAGACGTTCAACGTACAAACAAACATAGAGCAACGGGAATGAGAAAAGAGACACGTCATGCCCTCAGCGGCTAACACCGACTGAGCAGAGTAAATTGCAACCGTGCGCAAAATAAAGTGCAGCAGTGCACAATGAACAACATGAGAAATGTAAGTAGTAGATAAATATAAGTGAACAGACACGCTTTTATTTGAAACGTTCGTTTTTTTATGAGAAGGTGCCTGAAGGTGAAAAATATTCCCTTAATATTCCATATATCACTGTGTTCGGAATATTTTATCGAGCTGTTTTTCCACGCATTGTTGCTGCGCTATCACGTACAGAAGCACACTGCACGTGCGGCATGATGTATAGTTAAAATATAGTGCATTGTACATACAATGGGACAATCAAGAATTTTTTTAAAGACCACAATGCATTGTAATTCTACATGCAAATGTGGAAAATCTTTCACCTCGGCATTCTGCAAGTCTGTATGCGGGCTATTGGCAATACAAGTGCCTGCCAACAGTTACACAAATACTATTTTTTTTATCGCATATCAATTCCATCAGTGGCACTTCACTTGTATTCGAACACGAGTTGTTGTGCTTCAATGGAAATAAGTGGGTTACAGCGCCATTGCAAGAAACGTGGAACTCAATGAGCAGTAAATGAGCACGAGTAGCACCTCACCCGTTGTTGGTGTTCTCAAACCAGAAGCGGTCCCCGTCGCGGATGCGCTCAAACTGATCGACGAGGATGCGCGAGAACAGGGGCCCAGGCCCCCCCTGGCACTCCAATAGCCCCCCCGGCCACAGCTCCAGACGGGAGATGTCACCGTTATAGACCTGCTTCAGTCGCTCGATCACCTGATAAAAGACAAAGATCCCTTGTTTAGCCTCGACAGACTGTTGGGGCAAGCGCTGTTAGCGAGCTGCACCTGTGAAGGCCGGCACGGCACCCGAGGGGTGGGGCGACCAGCACCACGCCCGGTCGCCTTTGTCTCCCAAGTGACGATGTTTACACACCACACCAGATACTGATCTGAGATTGAGTCGACCTAGGGGAGGCCCTGGACCGGTTCAAATATTTGCCACTATTATTGGTCATGAACGGGAACCATTGCACTGCGGCTTTCCATCTATACAAACACACATACATACACAAATACACAAAGATGTCATCAACATCAGACACTCCATCATCTTGCACACACATAGACACACTCAACCACTTACTACTATAGGCTCAATCACATAGGATAACTTTCATGAGTGTTATAATGCACTCTGACCCCAGTTGAGGACAGAGGTAATGTACATACGCTTTCATTCTTCTTGAGACAACGTTAAAAAGATTGCGCATCGACGTACCTCTGGGTTTTTTTGACTAAGCGTGGGATTGATATCTTCCCACTTGGTGATTGGGTCCAAGTTCATGGCTTTCCGCATATTAACGTAGCTGGGCAATCCGTGGTCCCGTCCACGTTGGATGTTAATGGCCATGAGGTCCAGACGGGAAGCCTTCATAGGGCCGTACATGCTGTCTGTAGCAAGCAATGGGGAAAAGGCACGCGTGCAACGATTGTAATGGACTGCCAACGCAATTTCATACTGGTGAGTGAGGTAGACATGAGTTACGATTGTTGAAGTGAAATGCAATGTTATTGAAGGCAGACTGTGACAAAAATGGTGACCTAAAAAGATTATTGAGAGCAGGATGGAATTGTTTTAGGGAACTGCATTTTTGTAATGAAAAGCCACTCACAAATGTGCTTGAAGAAATAAACAAAAACGATATTGTCCACTATGGTACATGCCTCAGAAACATGGACATTGTGAGAGGAAATGAATCCAAATCTGAAAACTGTGCAAAGAGGCGTGGATAAATGCATGCCAGGAATTGCACTGAGATGAGGGATCAAATGGAAATGATAGTCACCACATTGACTTAATGCAAGCAAATGGGGCCTTGCCTTCATTGGCCATCATCATTGGAAACGATGGTGGCCAATGGACGAGACTGGTGATGGAATTACAGCCGAATGAGGCGGACATGCTGTAGAAGGAGAGAAAACAAAACAACTATTGCAGAGAGATGGAGCACTGACATCAGCTCTTTTGTAAGAGTGATTGTAGCTTCACGGGACTCTCAGGTAGCAATGGTGTGGCCTCATAAACTATGGCTGATGAACTGAAACTTAAACCATTAAGCAAGAAGCATTGGGTCGCGTATCTCACCTAGGAGGTCCTCAACAATGACATGATCTTCCTGTTCGGCAATTTGAGAAGCCATTCCGAGCACGAATTCATCAACTTCATGTCCTGATCGGAAAACCTGAAGAAAAAGAGGAAATGAAACCATATTTTTCCGGAGAAAATGCAATGTATTGTGAATTTCACAGCTCGTTCAGCCATTTGAAAAGCAATTTAAAATAAGGAAAAATACCTCCTTGGTCCAGTAGTTGTTGCACATACGGCTTGCATTATATTCAGACTTTGGATCAGATGGCTTAAAATTGCAAGAATCATCCCTGTGGAAAGTTTACATGAACAAACTCAAATCAATTATGCTAATAAACAACAACAACAAAAATATGTTGATTAAACTCAAAGACATAACTATAATTGTGAAAGACCTTCATTTTATTTTCCATAATGATAATATCCAACGTGGGAAAGATCGGTGATGTGTTTTTGTTTTGACAATGCATATATTTTGATTTAAAGCTTTCGTGACTGCAGTAATTCATATTCTTAGTTCTTTCGGTAAAGTCACGTTGAAGGAAAACAACAAAATAATAATATATATTATTATTGAAGGGAAACAACAAAATAATAATATATATTATTACGTGACTATTACGTGACTTTACCGAAAGAACTAAGAATAAAAATGCATATATTATCAGAGCAAGTTTGTTTTCATGTTCACCACAAGTACGTGTGGTTAATGCGAACGTCATTCCTTGCAAAAGGCTTCTAGTTGGTGTTTGAACATCTTAACACCTGTTTTATTGCCAGAAATGGTCAAACCTATTCTTATTTTTTTCATACGTTTTTGTTTTGTTTATTACACGACCACTGGAAACCATGTGACCTGAGTTGGCCTAGGTGAACATCAGTGGTGACTGACATCTGAACCCATCTTGACCATCGCCTTTACCATCCCACACTTACTATTGTATGAAGAAGTATGGCCAAAAAACGTCTCTGACTGATGGCTATGGGAGGCCCTCGTCTATTCATCATTATTATTATTCAATGTTACACATGCAGCAATGTGCACGAATAAAGTTCTGCATTTTTATATATATATTTTTTTACCCTTAAAAAAAACATTTGACGCTGCAATTTTATTTCGATTATTCGTATGAAAAATGTTATTCCACCGTTCTGAATGACCCGTAAAACTGCTCATTGTTTTTTTTTTAATGTACATGCAGCGTGTTCGATCTCATGCACGCAAACAACAAGGTGGTCCGTTCTCAGGGATAGGGACCAATGAAGATCTGAACCGTGCTTCCATTTCAAATGATTACCAATTGCAATACCAAAGGCCGACATATCACGTGTAAAGGTGAAGAGTAAAGGTGCAGCCCTGCAATTGCTTGCTCGTGCCACTAATAGTGGAAAGGCATTCACAAAAAATAAGTATTTTGGCCTACTCTTTCACACTGGCCAGATAATAATTCATTATTTTAAAGCACCTTTGTCTTGGAATAGGGTGAGAGTGCCCACACTTTGAATGACCACACATCACTTGCCGATCAACAAAACTGTTTATATTGCTGGGTGGCAAAGCGGCGTGGGAATTTAAGATGCCTGAACGTCGTTCAAGCACAGCTAAATATAAAAAGAAACAATCACTGTGATGAATGACGTCGTGAAAGGTCATGACTGTAATAAAACACAAGTTATCGTTTCCTCACCTCTTGTAAACTCCCGGGGGCACCATAGTGTGGCCAAACCTCATTGCGGCGGCCTGAAACTCCACCGAAATGCTGGGGTTCACGTGGGGCTTATACCCTGTGGTGCAATGGAAAGCATTCGTTCAAAATAATGCCTCAGTTGTTACATATTAAATTCGGTACGTACTTGAGGGCAAGCAATATTGACATTAAAAATGGCGTCAAGTTAGTTGATATACAAACGGTATGCAATAATTGGAGTAGGTTGGACAAAGTTTGCACAATTAAGCAACGGAAGTCACAGCGTTTCTTAAACGAAACTAAAACTATTTTTTATTTCATCAAGTAAGACCCACTGAGATATATAACTCTTTTTCAGAAGCGACCTGGCCGCAAATGATAACTCAACAAAGTGACTTATTACATGGGATTGGATAGCAGCCAAATACTCAAAACGCGCGTTTCTATATGTGGAGGGAAATAGTGGAGGACCGGGAAAAAAATCCAAGCGGCCGCGGGGAGAACATGCAAACTCCACATATACAGGCGTCCTGTATACCAGGCGAGGTAGTTAACATTCTGCCACCTTGGGGCAACGTTTGCAGGGGGTGAGTGCGAGAAGAGAATGTGTGATGGACACGAACAAATCGTAACATTACTCCGTCTGTTTTGTCTTCAACATTTGTTTTAATTTGGTTTAACATTGGCCTAGTTAAGGCCCTCCAGGGATGCTGTGTTTAAAGCTCCAATAAAGGCACCATGTGGATAAGTTGCACGTCTTAAGAACGGGGTGAAATTTCTGACTGAATTGAGGATGTCATTTTAATAATGCATCATTACCTTTGTATTCCGCCATGTTCTTCCCAAGCATTGCAGGCAGCCATTCGTAGAGGACAATGTTCTGAAAAAAATATGCAACATGAAGTGTTTTACCAGCAGCGGATAGCTGGAGTTTCCATCATGTTCATCGTTACAAAAATTTACGGCATACAGTTGAGTAAGTGCTGTGCAATGCATGTGACGTCTCACGACTGGAAAGTGACCTCCCTACCTGATACACTGCCACGACCCATTTACGTGCGTTTATAAAGAGCTCCTTGTCAGACATTTCTGGGTTTTCTTGGCGCATTTTTTCCGCCAAGTGGTTGTGGTAGCGCAGCCACACCGTGCCGATGGCTTTCAGGAAAGGGCTTTCATTTCCTCGTGAATTTCCAAACTCTGTAGCACAGAAGCACAATCGTATTTGTTCATGTCTCTTTCAAAGCGTGTCTCAAACCGATGGCATTTCATTCACTGTTTTGTGAAAATGTGATCGATGCCAACGACGGTTGTTACAATTCTAATTTTTCATGATCACGATTCAATACCAAATCTCATGACATGACGATTATCAGGATATGAGTTTTCCAAATCTTTGTAATTGTATTAACCTTTTAATTACATTGTTTTTGTGCTTTCCTGTTCATCTCGTAAGAAAGAAAGGTTACTCAAGGCATCTTCAACGGTAGGCATATAATCTTACACACACCTGCCCCAAACGCCCACCAATAGTTATTCTGATATTTAAAACATCTTACGCTAACAACGCACACATTGATGTTAGTTATGCAACAAATATAAAAATCAATAAACAAACTACGAAAGTTATAATCATAGAAGCTGCCATGCGGTAAATTCCCACTTGAATTTATTTATTTATCCTGGACAGCCACACTGAGTCAAGGGACTTTGCTTCAGGAGGGTCCTACATTGGGAATGCATTGTAAGATGTGTTCCGCCAATCAACGACGAGTGTTTACGATGCAAGCATGGAGAAAACCAAAGCACCCGGAGAAAACCCACGAGCGCGAGGAGGCAACACTCTAGCCCCGAACGAATGGAAGCAGACAGCGATAAATCCATTTCTCTTACTGCCTTCTCCGGGCAAGCCAGAGTATGGTAGCTCAACGCCCATGAGAAGGAAGTTTAGCAACATCTGCACAATCCACCAACCCTCGCTCCCACCGCCACACTGCTCGATTATAGGCAACGTCCATGGCCACCACCCGCCCCGCTCTGAAAGAATTACTCAATAACCCTGGAAGATATTTTTGCAAAGCACTTATATTGTTTTGCGGCTAATATCTATGGGATTTACAACACTATTGTTTTTTCGCTTGCTATTTCACGAATATTTCGTCAGGAATTTAAATCATCAAGGGAAACACATTGGAGCAAACGATATTCATTCACGAAATCACAACATTTGACAAAATGGACGACACAATTGCCGTGGGACTCGCATCGTGCCGCCCGTCGCAGCGTCGCCGCACCGATCGCGGCAAATTATAATATTGCTCCAGCGCTATACTTCGAGAAAGCATGTGAATGCAAGCAGCGTTGTTACCGTAGAGGTTGCTGTGCCCCGAGCTGCCCGCTTTGTAGGATGGGGAAGGGGCATCGATGAGCCGCAGAGAACGGTCGCTGACAGCGGGAAGGGAGCCATTCTCGCTGCTTTTCAGCATCCCTCTGTCAAACGTGCGCAGTGCGTGACACCAACTCCTCGAACAACCGTATATCGCGCTGCCGTCAAGCCACGACGTCACCTTATTCACCTGGAAGTAACAACAAAAAAGCAAAAGGACTTTGTTACAATATCAATATTGCCATTTCGATTTCCAAAAACAATATGCATCTTCATTATTTGTCACTTTTATTTTCACGCGAAGCTATTACTTTTTTTTCCCCCCTGAAAATGCCATGGATTTCATGAGGTCACAGATTTTAGGATTACACTGAATTGCAAAGGGAAACCACGTGTCACGTTCATTCCCTGCAATTGCTGGCTCAGGACACTGCTGGCAGAAGAGCCACCATGAGAGGGAGCTCTGGAGAACCCAATGAGACCCCTGGGGAGCCCCACTCGAGAGTATTACTGAAAGAGTTGGAAGCACCCTCCCTGTATGCCCTCACCAAATTATATACTGCTGGGTGGAAGGGGGGGATTAAATAAACCTACCCATTGTTTAATACTGACGTGGACCATGCTGAACACAGCACGGGAGATGTGCGGCCTACACGTTGCATAAATGCAAAATCAAATAATCGCCAAACTGCGACTGTGGTAAACCCCAAGCCATTCACGCAAACCCTCGCGGTATCGTTGAAATCCATACAGTGTCTACTGGGGCCTTGGATTTGTTGAAGGACCTTAACATTCAGCTAGGACATCATCTATATCAACTTTTGGTTCCCCCCCCCCCCACCCCCTATGCCATACAAAAGAAGAAGACTCTGGCGGGCTGGGTGATTCAACTCGTGACCCCTTGAATTGCAAGTCCAGTGTGGTAACCGCTGCTCCATGGGCAGCAGCATCCATATCATGCAAATCACGTGAATTACCGGCATCCTGGGGTTGTTTGGGGCAGAGCCGGTGCTCTTGTACCATTGGCTGCGCTGAAAGGGCAGCACGTGGTAGGGGCTGTTGGAGAAGGCCGTGTCATTCCACGGGATGGGGATGTTGAGAAACTCGGCCGGACACCCCACCTGTCGCGTGTCGACGATCTCATCCACAATGTGCTGACCTGTCACCACCGCCCCCCCCACCCCCCCAGAAAAAAGAAGGAAAAACTTAAGTTGTTGCATTTTTGTTTAATTAATCATTTACACACGCAAAACATATGCCACCTTAGCTATGCAGGTATATTTCTCAGGCACGTAACAATCTCAATATGAGCATAAATATTGACATGACTAGCATGATGCTAATATCTAACCAACCTTTTAGTGGTAAGACACGAACCCATCTCGTGTTGAAATGTTCTATGGAAAATATTCACATGCCTACATACAACTTTTCTTTTATCCTGATTTGATCATTTACTAGAGCCATTTTTCACCAAGATATAGCGATTAAGAATGTGATTGGAAGTCGGGGAATTACGTACAATAATATTAAATCTGTTCACTTTGACAGGACATATTTTCGTGAGAATGAATGTATTACAGTAAAACCATAAATGATTCTCAGACTATCTTCATAAATGTCTCGTTTGATATGTTTGGTCGAAGTTATAAATCAAGATTGAGTAATTTTGTTTTGTTTATAGGTGGAAGTACTGGGAGAAATCCAGACATGCGCACCTGAGAAGTCATTACAGGTCACCTCACAACTTTGCAGGCGTGAATCTCAGGAACATAACCATCTCAGTGTGATAACAATGTTTATGAAGAGTACATTTGGCATTAGCACCATTATTATAGAACGAGTCCATCATGACGGCGCTACATTTCACAGATAGTTATAGTCTGGCTTTAAGGATAAAAGTTAACTTCAAGTAAATATACAAAATGTGGCAAATTTTAAGCAAACAGTGACGCAGGCACACATGACATACCGCTTTTCAAATAACATAATAGGATCGTTAACATACATTGTGAAGAAGCCAATCTCAATACGCGAGGAACATTAACCAGGGTGGCCACCAGGCTCGAACCGCGAACCTCTGCAATGAGCGGCAAAAGCGCTACCGCTGGGACATGTCACCGCCTAATCCCGAACTCGCCTCCTATTCGACTGCATCACCATGCCTGGATTAATTACCAAATAAGGGCCTCACGCAAAACAAACATTCCACAGCAGGCGGCACTCGCCCCGAGTCTAGGAAATTCATGACGAGGGTGGCCGTACCGAAGAAGACGGCCAGCACGGTGCGGTTGAGGGCCGAGGGAAGGCCGCTCTCTCCCCGCATGACGCTGCTGCTCAAGCGGCGTGCGTTGGGCACCGTGGGATTGTCCCACATCTGGTAGACGCCATCGGCAAATGATGCCGGAGCGAGGCGCAGCAGCTTGCTCCCTTCGGGCAGACCGGATTTGGGGAGAAGGAAATGCGAGTAACGGGGTTGTTGCAGCAGCTCTGGGAGCATGATCACGTAACCCGGAGAGTTTATGAAAACGAATTCTGAACAAAGCCTGCAAAAGTTGGTTAGCAGACCTGATCCAGCATGGTGAGGATAGGATTTTGATTGCAGTATAGGATTGGTTTGATTCGTGATTCACGAGTTTGATGAATGATTCATGAAAACGGTTGGCTACGTATGGTGCGAAAGAAGTTCAACATACATACAGTACATACTCCCGTGAAAAACACCAAACAATAGACCCAATAATGAGGAAATTGGCCAAAGGTCCCAAGTAGGACCCCTCCTGGAATAAAACCTAAAATTATTACATTCGTTTAAGTATTAAAAGTGAATTATCATATGTTATATTTTCACTGATAGATAGAATGCATCTGCTTCAGAGCGAACTCACTGATTCTTCTCAAGTCTCTTTTTCAAGGATGATACGGGTCGACAAGCGATAACACAGGTCATCAGCTTTATAGCACGGTGCGCTAACCTTTGTACCACTGCTCTACCCTCTGACTTATGCACGTTTATTTGAGCAGCACTTGTCCGTTTAAGCCTTGTCATATAAGCGTTGTAATTTCTCCGTATGTGCATGAACACGTCCCCCCTTTTTGTGTCAATCCATTGCTGACTTGGTGACCCAGGTCGCTGTTGTAAAACGAGACTCTATCCTGGTGACTCGAGTTGCCACCCGGTGAAACAGAGCAAACATTGAGCTTCAACTTGGACGAGAGCCTCCCACTCCACGCCGTAGCGAAATGTTAACTACCGCGCCTGGTATACAGGAGGTCGTGGCTTCAATCCCGACACTGACACCTCTGTATTTGGAGTTTCAATGTTCTCCCCGTGGTCGTGTAGATATTTTTTTATCCGGGTCCTCCAGTGTTTCCCTCCTCATTAAGAATCATGCGTTTAGAGTATGTGGCTGCTATACATTTCCACACAAAATCAGCGAAATCAGCGACTCTATTTCTGACCTTCGCATATGATATTCACATATTATGAACCTTATAAGGCGAATTAAAAGTAACTGCGATAATCAAGAAGATGAAAAGACAGGTATTAAAACGGGGATAAAATAAAATAATTCCTGAGTGGGTGAGAAGGAATGCACAGCTAGAATAATTAGTATTTATACTCTTTGGTTCTTTAGGTAAAGTCACGTAGGTTGAAAAATAACAGATCACGACGTTTCGATAGCAACACAAGCCATCGTCATCAGGTGAAACAATGCAGCATGCGGACTGCTGAGGCAAATGTAGTGTAGCTCTCTCGCTACATTTCCTCTTGCCTCAGCAATCCGCCTACTAATTTTCTACCTACGTGACTTTACCGAAAGAACCAAAGAGTATGGATTCCTGCAGTTACGAAAGATTCAAATCAAAATTAGTATTTAGTTTAAAACCTCACACAGTTTTGTTTGCGATGTTATACTGCCAGCGTCCTCCTGGTTACTATTTAGATGTAACGTTTTCACAATTTAATTACGATCTTAATGTGATGGTACACAAAACAGGCCAACTTATTTGTGTACAATGTGCCAGATTTCGGACGCGTACACGTTTTGCTTTTAGATGTATATGCTCAACTCCAAACAGCGCTACTTAGTGCCTGTAAGAACAAGGCCCCTTGCCATAAAACGCCACCGGTTGTATCTTTGTTTCCCCTTTTAAGGCCACTGTTATTGACGAATAAGTTGAGTTTCATTGTTAATTATTAGATGACGCGCCATCATCAAAGAGCAGTGGTTGTTAGGGTCCCCTGTTTCTCTAACATAGTAAGCACTTAAGATGTGTTCGCGAAATTCAGAATAGACTAAAAAAAATATCCGCTAAAGCAGGCCATTGATAAGACATTTTTGGATGATCCACAAAAAATTGAAATTTGGGTCGATTCGAGAGCGCGGTGTCAGAGGAAATGACGCAAAGTTTATTTCGATGCTTCCACAGCTGATGGCGTCACACGCGGTCAGGCGACGTCACTTTTGTTGAGCACCAAATCAGGTAAAACGATGACACGATGTAACATTCATTAACTATCACGCGCTTTTACTTTTGACAAATGCAGCCGATTGTCATTCGGACTGCGATGGCAGTAGTATTGCCCTCTTGGTAACACAATCATTGCCGGGTGTGGTTTTTGCAGTGAACGTTACCTGTGCTTCCCCAGTGAATGTTATCAAGGTTGTTGTACCACCCATCGTAACGTTGGACCTGGCAATCTGCAGACGGAAACAATGCAGGCACTTGCGTTAAAATGCTCGCCAAGAAATACATCCCCGTTTTCAGCCTTCCGTCAAGCCACTGCTGGATGAATGTCTCGCCGTGACATTTCGATCATGGGGAGTTGTTTTTCCATACTTCACCATGCGGGTCGGGTGTGGGTGAAGGGAGTGCACCAAGGACCGGTTTTGATATTAATCGACACAGACGTTGATCGTGAGCAGGAAATACATTTTGGGTATTTTTTAAATCTATATATATATTTATTACAGGCGCTACAAGGCGGTCACTCTAGTCGCGTTGAACAGGTTTTTTTTATCTGTTAACAGTTTTGCATTTTTGGTAGTGATTTGTAAAGATTATCTCCTGTAGAATTTGTCTTGAAGTAAACAATAAAATATTTCACATTCAGCGCGCGCAGGCGTTGTGCATTAATTATTTAAGTAAAGGAAGCAAAATATGGCGATGAGACATAGTTGTTAAGAGCATTCGTACAAAAGTGCTAAAGGAACGTATGCAACAGTAACATAAAACGCTATAAATGTGTTGTTGTTGTGGTGATGATGATGATGATTCTTCCGACCATAAAAAAATATATACATGTGATTGACCAACGACCAAAGCGCAACTTCAGCAGCATAAATGCACAGTAACTGTAGGCGTGAGACAATGTCAATAAAACACTGGAGCTGTCGGCAAGCTCAGCATAATACAGTGAGGGAAAAAAGTATTTGATCCCCTGCAGATTTTGTACGTTTGCCCACTGACAAAGAAATTATCAGTCTATAATTTTAATGGTAGGTTTATTTGAACAGTGAGAGACAAAATAACAACAAAACAACACAATCCACAAAAACGCATGTCAAAAATTTTATAAATTGATTTGCATTTTAATGTGGGAAATAAGTTTTTGACCCCCTCTCAATCAGAAAGATTTCTGGCTCCCAGGTATCTTTTATGACGGTAACGAGCTGAGATTAGGAGCACACTCTTAAAGGGAGTGCTCCTAATCTCAGCTTGTTACCTGTATAAAAAACACCTGTCCACAGAAGCAATCAATCAATCAGATTCCAAACTCTCCACCATGGCCAAGACCAAAGAGCTCTCCAAAGATGTCAGGGACAAGATTGTAGACCTACACAAGGCTGGAATGGGCTACAAGACCATTGCCAAGCAACTTGGTGAGAAGGTGACAACAGTTGGTGCGATTATTCGCAAATGGAAGAAACACAAAAGAACTGTCAATCTCCCACGGCCTGGGGCTCCATGCATGATCTCACCTCGTGGAGTTGCAATGATCATGAGAACGGTTAGGAATCAGCCCAGAACTACACGGGAGGATCTTGTCAATGATCTCAAGGCAGCTGGGACCATAGTCACCAAGAAAACAATTGGTAACACACTACGCCGTGAAGGACTGAAATCCTGCAGCGCCCGCAAGGTCCCCCTGCTCAAGAAAGCACATATACATGCCCGTCTGAAGTTTGCCAATAAACATCTGAATGATTCAGAGCACAACTGGGTGAAAGTGTTGTGGTCAGATGAGACCAAAATGGAGCTCTTTGGCATCAACTCAACTCGCCGTGTTTGGAGGAGGAGGAATGCTGCCTATGACCCCAAGAACACCATCCCCACCGTCAAACATGGAGGTTGAAACATTATGCTTTGGGATTGTTTTTCTGCTAAGGGGACAGGACAACTTCACCTCATCAAAGGGACGATGGACGGGACCATGTACCGTCAAATCTTGGGTAAGAACCTCGTTCCCTCAGCCAGGGCATTGAAAATGGGTCTTGAATGGGTATTCCAGCATGACAATGACCCAAAACACACGGCCAAGGCAACAATGGAGTGGCTCAAGAAGAAGCACATTAAGGTCCTGGAGTGGCCTAGCCAGTCTCCAGACCTTAATCCCATAGACAATCTGTGGAGGGAGCTGAAGGTTCGAGTTGCCAAACGTCAGCCTCGAAACCTTAATGACTTGGAGAAGATCTGCAAAGAGGAGTGGGACAAAATCCCTCCTGAGATGTGTGCAAACCTGGTGGCCAACTACAAGAAACGTCTGACCTCTGTGATTGCCAACAAGGGTTTTGCCACCAAGTACTAAGTCATGCTTTGCAGAAGGGTCAAATACTTATTTCCCTCATTAAAATGCAAATCAATTTATGACATTTTTGACATGCGTTTTTCTGGATTTTTTTGTTGTTATTATTCTGTCTCTCACTGTTCAAATAAACCTACCATTAAAATTATAGACTGATCATTTCTTTGTCAGTGGGCAAACTTACAAAATCAGCAGGGGATCAAATACTTTTTCCCCCTCACTGTATGTAAATGTAGTCACACGCATTGATTCTTAAACCCGACTGAGTCAACAACGCTTATTTATTGTAAAGGGACAATATAAACAGCTTACCTGCGGACAGACAGAGTAAACACAAAGAGAGAAGCCGGGTTGATGCCATTAAGTGTGCGTCAGCCGGGAAATCCCGTACTTTAAGAGCTGCTCGGTGTCAGCCTGGGTTCCTGTGAGGAAAATACACACAAAGGTGTCATCCCGTTCATACATTATTATAAGTACAGCAGTTTGAGATACGTAAATGCAACTAAACACTCGCACTCTTATTGCCAACGCTTAATATCAGCCAGAACGGTCTGAATCACAGTCCTGGCAATTATTTTGGAACGCCACATTCTTCTAGCTTTGTTTTGTCTTCGTGGAATTGTGGAGATGTAGACTACATTAATAGAGGATTATTGTGGATGGAAGCACGTTGTACTCGAGTGGCAGTGCCTTTTGCTGATGAGCTCTGCTCCAAGCCAGCCTAGGAGCGTTCCAAAAAGTATCAAGAGACGAATTAAGCCCTGCTTAGGCGTATTAAAGACGAAACTATTGTTTTATTTTATTTTACCAGGTAAGTCCCGCTGAGCTAAATAGCGATTATTCATAAGTGACCTGGCCACAAATTATAGTTCAACAAGGTGGCTTATTACGTGGAAATTTATAGCAGCCAAATACCGGAGGACCTAGAGAAAAATCCACGCGACGACACAGGGAACATGCAAACTCCAAATATAGAGGTGTCAACTCATGCTCTCCTGAATAACACGCGAAATATTTAACATCGTGCCATCGTAACACCATGAAGATCATGGGCAACGTTTGGAGGGGGTGCAAGGCCCCCCCTGCAAACTTGACACCTTTATTAATTTATTTTCAGTTGCTTATAATTTACATTAAAAATATATTAATAAATTGTATGCACCCGCGATTCCTAATGTGAGGGACAAAGTGAACCCGTGGACCCCCCCCCCCCCCAAATATAGAAGTCAAACTCCGCCTATGATGAAGATATAATTTATACGAGTTTCATCCCTCTATACCAAGTAATGTCCGAGCACATGCATGTGTATGAGCACTCTTTGCAGGAAGCGTCCTGGCTAAATAAGTACTGTAATTATTCGTATTAATTATTGACGATACCTTAATGGGCACCCAATGCATTTATATGAGAACATACAAACATAAAGTTAACATCTACGAGTAGTCAACATTTTCCTGCTGTGCATTTTTTTTAACTGACGATAATCCGTATATTCTTGGTTCTTTCGGTAAAGTCACGTAGAAGGGAAACAATAACAAAGATATATATTTTTATTTTATTGTTTCCCTTCTACGTAGAGTCACGTAGAAGGGAAACAATAAAATACGTAGAGTTACGTAGGGAAACAATAAAATACATAGAGGCACCTATTTTATTGTTTCCCTTCTACGTAGAAGGGAAACAATAAAATAATAAAAATGTATAATTTTTACGTGACTTTACCGAAAGAACCAAGAATATGAATCCCTGCAGTCACGAAATCTTTAAATCAAAAGATAATCCGTATATGACCACTGGAGCTCACATTTCACGTGCCTATGTCAGTAAATATGAACTGTCAGTTAAAGTATACATTTACTGGTGTGTATAACCACCCGCATACAAAGAGATCTTAAACGTCAAAAATGGAAATTCCCAACTGGTCAATTAATCAGAGTTAAGCGCGGTGTACTACTTTATATTGTGCAAACACCTTAAAGTTTGCAGAGCAGTTAACAAAGGACTTTAACGGGGCTGCCTATAGGCTATGTACAGATTATCTTTTATCTTAAGTGGCCCAAGGGTGAACTTTTGATTGCTCTCTCACAAGCAGGAAAACAATGCACAATGCATTAACAGTTTTTTTTATACAAAATATAGATGTGTTAGTTTTACAGATAAACTCTCTCTATCCACTGCTGGATACTTTTTTTTTTACTGAATTATATCCAGCAAAGCCACCCGTTGGACTCGTTTTCAGGACGGTCCTCCGTTTGGGCTTTGAAGTTAAAACGTTTTCTCCCAACCTAGAAGACTTGTGGCAGGAAACCCAGAGGGAACACATGCGCACGAGGGGGCAGCACTCGATCCCCGTGCAGATGGAAGCAGGTGGCGATTAGTCCACTCGCTGCCACCACCTTCTTCTGGCAAGCCAGGTAATGGCACCTCGACGTCCCACGGGACAGGGAGTTTCACCACATTCTGTGTGTGATCCACCAACCCCTCGCCACTGCCTCCACCGTGCTGGATTACAGGCCACGTCGGTTGCCAAAGCCGCCCGGCTCGAAGGTCTCCGCCAAACCGTTGCCGCCTTTCACTGAAATGGCAATTTTCATCGTCCACCCTGCACCTTGAACACTAACTGATTTCATCATATCCATCTCCCCAGTGGACGTCGTCCTCCAAGCCGTGTTTCACCCCCCCCCCCCCCCACTAAATAATAGGGGAGAAATTATAGAGAAAACCTGTTTTTTTTTCTCTCACATGCCTTCCACTAATCTCAATGCCCTTATTAACTGTTGTAACACGTTATACTATGTAAGATATGAAGCCATCGTTTTAACAATACTGTATTTAATCTATTGAGGGAATTAAGTAAGAGAAAAATATCCCACTGAGTTCAACATACACACATTAATCAATCAATGTGATATAATACAAGGACCGCCCTATACGATTACTCATCGACCTGCAAGGCTAATTGAGCCAAAATTAGTTGTCGACTGGGAAACTTTATAAACTTGGGAGCATTTAATAAAACGGTTATATTTACGACGGTATGTTTAATGAAGCACACTTATGTTTTCAACTGAAATGCTGCCTGAGTCTTAGACTGGTTGATGTGTTTTTCTTAACATTACCTCGGGATGTTTGTTAATAGTCCAATCACACTGGGGATGTTTGTTCAATTCCTCAAAAAGTTATTTGCATTCGAGCAATGCATTACATTTTAGGTGAATACCCACGGAAAATGAGGAACTACCAACGAGAAAATCCGTGCAGATAGGTAATCAAATATTTCCATCTTCACTAGTGGGTTCTCAATTGTTTTTCGTAAGTAGGTTGGAAAATACAAAAAGATATGGATTACCCTACAAGGCTTCCTGTTGTGGCAAGTGTTGTTCGCGAGACTTAGACCAGCATGGTGCAAGATGATTTTATTTTCATTTACCAGGTCAAAGGCCACTCTGAACAATAATCTTTTTTCAGAGGTGTCTTGGCCACACGTGATAGCTCATCGAAGTGGCTTACATCATACGTGGGAATGCATAGCAGTCAAATAATCTAAGACGCACGTTTCTAAATGTAGAGGACACAGAGAAAAATTCACGAGACCACCACGGGGATACCATGCAGACTCCGCGTATACAGGAGTCATGGTCAGGGCCGAACCCATGATCTAGTCCAGTGGTTCTCAAACTTTTCTTGGCTACGATACCCCATGTTGAATTTTGTTTCAACCGAGTACCCCCCTGCCTGACCCAACATGGTTCTTAGAAATAAATGTATGAATAATGATCGTCAATATTTTAACCAACTGTCCATTTTGTGAGGAATCATAACTATCTGAAAACTGCAAGCGAATAAAGCAAAATCAACGAACGCTCTGCACGCGTGACGCAATTTGTTCGCGCTCAGTTCGACGCTCTTGGAGACCCACTATTGTTTACACCGTTGTCGGTCAACACATGGATCAAAATGTGATCGTATGTATTTTATATTGGCAGATTCGTACATGATTATTCACCAATGACTCCCACGTATGCTATAATTTCATAAATTTATATAAATAACCTCACGTACCCCCTGGGACATTGCCACGTACCCCCCCACCCAACGTTGAAAACCACTGCACTAATGCATACCAGACGCGAGAGATAACATCTCGCGGTGGCGAGCCAGCTCCATCCTGAGCCGCTTTTGTTTCCCCAGTGACGGATGTTTTTTATTCACCACAACAGGCACTTATTTTAAAGCTGAGTGGACCTTGCGGGGGCTCGGGACCGGTTAATATGCTCGTCACTGATGTTGTTCGTAAGCGGGAATTGGAAGCGAGTTGGCCGAATTAAGTCCAAGCGCAGTGCACTAACCTCTGCACCACTGCTGCCCAAGAATAAAATGGGAAATAAGATAAAAACACACACGCGCACATGTAACAAAGTATGAGTAAGAGACTAAACGTTTTTAATACATCTGAAAAAACCTTCCCGTGACATCAAAATTGAAAACGAATTTCTTTCGAACTGCTTTTTTGTGTTTAGTTTGTTCTTGTAGCACGATTGGCTGCGTAACGTGTGAAAGAAGTTCAACATACACACATACAGACGTGCCGTCAGTAAAACGGATTTCAAAGATTGATCGGAGCATTATCACTACCATAGAATGTATTTCCTAAATGGAGATTAATAAAGCTCAAAGGCAGTGAGCGCGCAGCTATTCCAACACGTAGGACCACATTTAGAGCACAGTACACAGGTCCCAGGCCACGGGAAAACATCAGTGGCGAGTGATATCTTCACCGGGTCTGGGACCATATACTCCTTCGCCAACCCAAAACTGACAAGCGTGGTGAAGTATGGACAAACGAGCCCGTGAGTGGACACACCACGTGCGGACGCATCCAGCAGCGAGTGGACGGCACATCCAGAAGTGGATTAACAAAGGGCTGTACATTATATTCCCAAAATGCAATGTGCCAGCAACGTTATGGGAAGTTACTTTTCATTTAAACGTGTTTGTTTAGTCATACGTTTTGATCATTTAAGGGGTTGTCTTGTCTTGCCCAAAAGCGACTAAAAAGTAACCGTTCATATGTTAATTTAGGAATTGGTCATCGACAAAACATTTTAATTCTTATCAGACCCCATGGTGTATACTGTAGTCTCCACCTCTTAATTTTATTTTATATCAGTACTATTCTGCATAAAACCGACTATATAATAAAGGAATGGGGAAAACCGACTCGTATCAATAAACTTTGCAATGTCCATGCAAACTAAATACAAAGGCAAATACTAACGAATTCAAGAACGCACACTGGAGCACTCGGTTCACGTTATATATCAGTTTGCGTGTGTAATAAAACTTTTACAGATTGGACAAAGTTATATTTATAGCCTACGACAATGCGTCTATTTCGAGCGGTTGTTGTTGTTAAGTCCATGCTAAAAATAAGTAAAATCACAACAGTTTTAAGCAGCCTATGTGTACTCTATGTGTGTTAATTGGAAGGAGGAGGGAGGGAGGGAGGGGATGGAATTCGTCCCATAGCGTCACTCACTCACTCGCTCGCACGCGGAGGGGAGAACGTGTGCCGCGTGCGGATGGCCCAAACGTAATTGTGCATCCACACGCACACACACACACACGAGCGAGCGCCGTTTCGAAACGTCGAATTCGCATTGCGCAGGCCGCTTAACTGCCACCGCAGCTGACAATTGCTCACCGTGTGCGTCCGATTGCACACGCGCGCGCGCTTCCACTAGGCAGAGCGCGCAAACAACTTTAACGCCGGGCAACATGCGGCAAACCCTGAGCGCAGCCCGCGTCGATCGATACCCACCGACGGTTGCGGCCAAGGTAGCTTCTGATTTTTTTTTTAAAGAATAGACAACTCGCAATAGCTCAGCGGGGCCCTACTAATGCTGAAATAAAACATAGTTTCGTTCGGTTAGTCCTCCCATTTCTTGGAGCCACGTGCACGCCGTCGCCACCAACAGGACGCTTGCAGCCGATTGATTAATGGTCTTAATGAGAGAAGCGGCGAAGGTATAAGTCGAGGCCGTCCCCTGTCTGAGCCGCAGGATTTTCCCAAGAGGAAGAATTTTAGAAATAAATTGACCCTTATAAATGCGGCAGTATAACAAGGTAGTAGACGCAAGGGTGGTTTCCGTTGTATTTTACAAGGCAGTTAACAAGCATGCATGAGGTGTGTGTGTGTGTGTAAAATATTAAACAATACCTCGTGCTTTTCTGAGTGCGCTGTAGCCCGGCAATAGGGATAGCAGATCTCTGTGGGTGTGTAAAAAAGCGGGGAGTTTTTAAGGGCTAGGGAGAGATGCGCCCAACCTTCACCTGTCCATCCACATCTGTTCTCACATAGCTAGAGTGCGAGTTAGGCTCCACACTAAAAAAAAAGGAGGCAAATAATTCGACCAATCTGAACGGCCCTAGATCTCTCTCCCACACCACCCCTCCACACCTTCCTCGGCACCACCCTCCACACCTTCCTTAGCACCACGCACTGGCAGAATTTCCCCCCCCACCCTCTCTCTCCTCCTTGGATGCAAATTTTGTTTTATTGTTTGACAAATGCGTGACTTCATCAATATTCAAGTCGCTTTGTCTTCGTGACCTATAAAAAGGAGCAACGATTTGGGGGTAAGGTCATTTTATTGACAGCTTTTGACCGATCCAGTCTCAGTTGGAGAATATAAAAGCACTTTGGCCGGTGAACTACCGACATCGACAGGAGTCAAGACGAACACGACTACCAACCAGGTACGTCGTACGCATCCTTCCAACAACGCCAGCGCAATTCACAGAGGAAGGATCCCCGTGGAATCGCAGAGCCTAGAGAATAACAGTTGCGCATTGTTGCGTTCAGGTACTGAGCCATATTTATGTTCACTTAAACTGTTAGAAATCGTAGGTGTATTTTTGTCCTTTAATTTAGGATACTCGTGTTTTAACAGGGAATCGTCAGAAGTCCGGGGTGGCACCAGTGTTACTTAACAACGTGAAGACAATCCGACCGGCGTATATCTTCTTTTTTTCTCCGAATGAGGAAAACTCGATTTTTTTCCACGAATAATATATGCTTTAACCCTGTTATAATTTACGACGTATATTTCCTCAGTTTAATGATATTTTAGGAGCTTTACCACGAATAATATATAATATAATGATATTTTAGGAGCTTTACCTGTTATCGTAAAAAAATGCAATTGTGGGTCTGACACGAGATACTGAATAACGATACGAAGACAATCCGATGGTAATGTATTGAGTGCCTCTACTCACGTGAGGTGGGTGGCTGGCTTGACTGAAACATACAAAAGCAGCTTCCCGGCAAACCCGATTTGTCTCAATAGTAAGTTTTCTTTCTGTCGATGTGTAGAGACAACAAAAACGGGCATTCTGTTTTGGGTTACACAGACGTCATCGACATTTGACTCAAACTTTTCAGCACGTTGTCTATAACTTTGATTTACAATTGCAACGAATGCCACTTAAAGCGCATTCCCTACTCATTTCTCTTGTTCCAATATTTCACGATACCCGTATTTTTTGTCGTAATACGCTCACCTAATGCCACCTGCAGGCAATATGAAGCGAGCTCTTTTTTTGCCGACCGCGCCTCACAATATAGCAATCATAATGAGAATAACCAACTCGCGTTATTTTGCGTAGGTACTGCATGCACATGGCTTCAGACACCTGGCAATGATTGTGAACCTGCGTGGTCACACGGTCTCTTGAGACACCCGTTTCACGATGAATGCTAAGTGGCACAGTTAAATTGCGTAAAGAAAAAAAAAACATACTTGGCACAGACCTCCGGTTTCCTCGCTTAGAAATACGATTTGCTGCATCGCCTTTAATTTGATATGTGATGTAAGGCATGACTAATATACTGTAAACCAAATGGGCTTCTTTCAAGTCGTCCGCTCTCCTTATTACAGTACTTATATTTTAAACATATATAATCATACATTATCTTGCGTTGCTTTTCGTGTGGATGGAGATTAAATAAGTTCAACTTAGAGTTAGTACAGTAGTGCATTCTCTTGCAACTTGTTTGTTAAAAAAAACACATTTACATTGTCACGAGCACACCGATATGCGTTTCTCACCATCGTTCTTTACTAAAACATGCTTGAAACAAATATTGTCGTTACATCGCAACAGAAGGTACGACAAAAGATTTGGGTGCCCTTCAAGCTTAGGCTATCTTTACTGATTGCCTTTATTGAAGCAGGTAAATTGCCCACGCATCGCTTTTGCAAAAAAAATGTCATCGGGCGAATTAAAAATTTGGGTTTAAACACATTTTTTTTTAAAACTGTGTATAATAATGAAACGTCATTTGCTAACCATTTAACCTGGGGATGATTGGACAATAGCTAACACGCATACAAAACTGCACAACAACACGCATTTGTAAATTCAACACAGTACTTAGTTTGAGAAAGGTCATGACCAATGCTTAAAGTTATATTACGAAGTATACTTAGGTTCAAAAACCTCGACCCTGTTATCGATTGTATTTTTTCCCGATACATTAAAAGTATCTTAGGAATTAGATTTATTACGTAGGTAAGCACGGCTATGTAAAAGATAATGAAGCCAACTTCATTCGTGCATAACCTTGAACTGTGATATGTAGACGACAACAGTGGATCGAATACTTTGGTAATGAGTGCGCTTATTACTAATTACCCACATTAATTATCACACAGCTAATTAATTCAATACACGGGCTTCACTAAATGTTATCAACGTCGAGTGCTACCCATTAGGCTTGGTTAATACAGCTGTCCAAGTTATGTTTTTTACAATGTTTTAGATTGAACACAAAATTTGTGTGTGTGCAATGTAAGGTTGCTGTTTCATCATTGAATGTGTCATTAATATGCCCACTCTGTAATTCTACATTTATATTGTTCGTATTTCATGTACGAAACATTGACCTCCCGCCGGATATCTGCGCATACAAAACTAAAAACAAGCCCCAAGTTTCTAGTCGCATCACATAAAACTGCATTTCACCAAGGATACAATGTAACAATCTGAAAAATGTATGCATGTACTGCGTTCTGAAAAAAGAGATAGAAAGCTCAGTGGGCCCACCGTAGTAAAATAAAATAAAAAGATGTTGAACTTCTTTTGCACCCTAAGTAGCCAAGCGTGCTAATCGGAGGTGCGAGTCTTTAAAAAAAAAATAGCCAACTCCCCCTTCCAGACTTTTCCAGCTTTCACGCTCCACTGCTTTCTCAATAGCAATCCCCCCCCCCCTCCATGCAAACAAATAACTCCAAACGCGTCTCGCGGCGCTACAATCGACCAAGCTCATTGCAACCGCATGAGGGATTAAAACAATAACACTCCGAATGAAATCCTCAGGCAGCAATAAACGAACGTAGACTTCCAGTCCAAGTACACCGCCTTATATGCATGTAACTTAGAAGAGAGAGTTGCAGCGATTGTTTAGGACTGCTGTTTTGGCCATTTATATCGGGTGTGCTTAAACACACAGATGTCGGTTTAAGCAACCTAAGAACACACCGTTTTGGGGGCTCAAAGCAGAAATTATGTTTGCGAGCCTCCTCTTTAAATGTACAAACTCTTGGTGGACAACGATGCACGCCAGAAAGACAGAGATGAGAGAGAGATTCATTAGCTGTGTTATGTGAATTCGATTATTATGATTACGTTTATTCAGATCTTAAGTAGGGCTGATATTTGGCGCATCTGACTTTTCTCAAGAATTCGAGTTCCCCCTTGAGCTGTTTGGCGCGGTAAGACTGTCCGATTAATTCCCCAACACCAACAGCCACCACCTCCGCAAGGCGCAGGCGTAATTACAGCTTTGGTTTTAATTGCGCAGGTCGCCCTCAAATCAGCCGGTAACAAAAGCGAAGATGACAATCGGGGATGGCTTCCCTCTGTTCTACGGCGAGCGTCGCACAGCCGCGAGCGTCGACCTGGAGCAGCTTATCGTCATCGTCGTCTTCTGCGTCCTCGCCGTCGCATTCTTGCTCATCCTCCCGGGCATCCGTGGCCGAGCGGTAAATCATCACGCATTGTCGCCGCACAACATTGCTCAACTCTCACCTACACTTCTTTTAAATATTTGACTTACAACTTTCGTGACTGCTGGAAGTCATGTTCTTGGTTCTTTCGGTAAAGTCACGTAGATAGAAAATACAATTTAAATTATATAATTTCTATAAAGAAATTATAATTTTTTTCTATCTACGTGACTTTACCGAAAGAACCAAGAATATGAATTCCTGCAGTCACAAAATAAATTAAAAATAAGTTATTATATATAAAAAATATATTGATTTCTATTTTTTATCTACTTGACTTTACCGAAAGAACCAAGAATATAGATTGATTTTGTTTATAAGCCGAGAGGTAAATCATCACGCATTGTCGCTGCACACATTGTTAAACTCTCACCTACACTTGTTTTGTTTTTATAAACCAAAGGGGTCACATTTATTTATACGGAGTCGGCTGGCCAGATTTTATTTTATTTTATCTGCATGCACTTCAGTATAAATGGTATCATAATACGTATAGGAATGACAATGGGTTAGTGCAGTCAATGATCAGAAGCTTTAGTACTGCGATTAAATAATAAAATTGACAATTATTTTAATTTCTGCATTGTGCATTATGTACGAACTACATCTTATCAATTATTGATGCGTGGAGTTTGTTCCGTCAATTACACGTCGACGAAAATTGAGTTACCTTTTGTAATCGAATGTTTATTTTAACGTATTATAACATTCCGATGTCCGTTGATGTATCTGTGATTGCAGCGAATCTACTGGTTCATTCGAGTGCTCCTCAGCCTGCTGATCGGATGCCTCATAGTCGGTAAGAAACACGTAACGTTTATTTATGCATTGTACAAATTCCACAAACTTTATTTACCTGTGAATATAGGACATGATTAATGATAAGCTTACCTACACAGATAATCCTTGAGAAAACTATATTTACAACAGCGCGATATATATATGAATTTCCAAAAACACAATGCGTTCACAACATTGGTGCCACAATACAGTGCTGCTTGTGCAGCATCGAGCGTTAGCCTGTACGCAGTCAATCCGAAGTGGCAAACGCGGTTCGCACTGTGCAGATAAATGTTCGAACGCTCCCACTCTGCTGTCCCCCGCCGCCACCCGCGCAGTGGTGAACTTCCAGACGCACTGGGAGGTCGGCCACGTGGAGACACAGACGGAGTACCGCGTGGCGGATGGCAGCACCATCAAGGCGCGCATCGGACTCGGCGTTTCCCTCCACGGCTTCAACATCACCCTGCAAGGTACCGGATAACGCCCAGCCTACGAAACACACAGCACCCCCCACCCACCCACCCACCGTGTGCTTGCAGGTTGATCCTGAATGTTGCTTGGCACGATCTTGGACGTGTCGCTGCACGTTATAATGCACAGCCCGAGAAACCCATCAGAGTGCTATGCGAACACAATGGCGAAAACCTACACCTAAGACCTACTACGTAAGAAGAATAGCGCAATTGTTATTAACGGGAATCTTAATTAACGTCCTGGAAATGATTCAAACAATACGTTGACTACTTCTTGACCAATGCAAATACTGCAGATTGTCTAGAAGGGATAGAAAGCTGGAATGTAGCATAAATATAGCCGAGTCAAAATAAATAATGTAAAAATTGGGCACCGAAAATTACAACCCAGAGAATAAATTGGTTTCACTCTTTGGGCAGGGCGAGCCTGACATTTAAATTCCTATGTTGAACACTTACAAATAGATACTCCCCTGATCATCAGTGATGAAAGTAGTTCACCCCCTATAGAGTGTGTCAATAAAGCCAATAGAGAAATTACTTGCATTCACGCGTACACCCGCAATGCATGTCATTTCTATGTTTCATTTATTTAAAATGTATCAAAATTATTCCGGAACAAAATCAAGCGTCTCTGCCCAAAGTGGCCGCGCTAATCTCCATTTGATGCCAAGCCAATGCTGCAGATTCCACATTCTTTTTTTTTTAATGATCATTGTCTAAATACGACCAATATTTACTTCCCAAAGTGAGACAGTTATTTTCAGTTTCATTAATTTGGTATAGCCCTGTGAGCCATTCGGCTCTTGAATCGGGTGCAACCGCAACAAACAAAAAACAAAAACATGAACAAGAAACACCATGCAGGGTGATGTATAGAACGCTTTGTTATTTGGCATTCGTCAATAACACTGCCTTGAAAGGAAATCTGTATAATCGGTCCCGTTTGGCCTTTCTTCATAGCACATTCATCATCAGGTGCTATGAAGAAGGGCCGTCGCCATGAATAAGGGCCATTGCCCAAAACGTCAGCTATTATATATTTGTTTTCCTTTAAAGTCAGTGTTATTGACTTGCCATGGGGGAGATATTACAATCCAAACTGAATCGCACTAAACGATTGATTGACAACACATGTAGGGAGGCCAGCGTGATTCACATCTGTTAATCCATCCGGTAGGTAGAGCATCTGCTTTGAATGTAATATGTATCTGTCATGCAAAAGGAGCCTCAATCAAATCGATCCCACGATGCGGTCAAGCCCAAACATGACACGCGCGGTCATGCCACCCCGCCACACCTGCTGATGAACCGTGTTCTTGCGCCGCCACTTTCACCACAGGAACTCCGCGGAATCAGCTGAACGAGATGATCGACTACAACGAGCGCTTCACTTGGCAATCTGGCAACATCGAGAGCGACTACCAGCAGGCTCTGCAGAGGGGCCTTCCCGTGCCCATCCTGCAGCTCGCCGAGACGTTCGGCAGAAACAGCGCCTGTGCCAAAGTGTTCCAGTACGCGCAGGCCGGGGGATACGCCTCTGCGCTCATTTGGTGAGGCCGCGGCAGCATTCTTGGCTCTCCCAACATGCACGAGCCGATGTCGTGCGGTTAACTCCCGAAGTAAAATAGGGGGGGCTCTCTCTCTCTCCGGAGGGTGTGTTTTTTGGGGGCGTACCGTGAGCTGTTCGGGCATGGAGTCCGACGTTTCGCCGCACCTTGCTGCGAGCATCATTCGTGCCGAACAACACGCACAACAACCCGAAAATGCCTCGGGGAGCTATACGGTGCACAACTTATGCGGAAGTAAAAAAAAAAAGAGTCCTGCCAAAGTTTAAAAATGGCCCGTTTCTGCACAGCATCGAGAGATTTTGACCGCATTTACATGCTATGCAAACCCAAATTGCATTCTATTGCTCGTTTACCATTTCAAGGGTAAAACAGCATCTGCAAGTATTATCACGTGTGTACCAACTGCCACCGTTTAATTTGCCCTTTTGTTGATAAATCGAGGAAACGCGTTGGCCAGTTTTTTTCCTTACGGAACATCCGATGATGTTAAATGCTTCCCACGACTATTCGCTCTTCTCACATGCACTCGCGAACGACCAATCGAGCACCGTCGTTAAACCACCTTTCCGCGCTGCGTCCACCCCCCACCCGTGCAGGGTCGCGTTTGTCTGCTGGACCCTCTCCAACTTGCTGTTCGTCATCGTGCTCCGCTACGGCGGCGCGGCGCTTTTCATGACCGGCTTCTTTCTGGTGATGGCGCTCATCTCCTTCGGCTGCACGCGCCTCGCGCCGGTCTGCCAAACCCGACTGGGACTCGAGAACGTCTCACTGCACACCACTTTTGGATACAGCTTCTGGCTCACGCTCGCCAACGGTAAGCGGAGGACAGCGTGGCACAATGGTGTTAAAAAAAAGCAAACAAAAAAACGGTTGTTAAACGCCGCACGGAATCAATGATGACAATGGCACGCTCATCAATACTGCACTTGGGACATAATGTGCATCCGTTTGTGTCAATATCCCACCGATGTATTTACAATGGGTGATTGTTAAAACCACTTGACCTAACGACAATTTACAATTTGATTATTAAAGCATTGCTAATAAATCGTGTGCAGCTGTTGGTGTGTTAGAGTAGCCTTGGATTTAAAATGTTGATGCATTTTTTGTTATTTAAATAACTAAAACCTGGCTTTGGCAATTGATTTTTAGCTAAGGTTGCTTCTACTTATTTGAATAGTGACAGCGAAACATATATTTAATCAGAAATAACAAATCTCATTGAAATTAAAATACAGGGAAAAGTTTAGCGATACCTGGTTAATAATAAAAGACTACCATAGATTACTGGCCAACCTTGTAGCCAACAGTATGAATACACCTCTTATTATCCAATGTCAGGGATGCTGCGATGGCGTAATAGTCGTAAGCACACTGGACTCAGAGGGTCGCCGGTTCAATCTCCCGACAGCAGTTGAAACAATGGTGCAAGTTTATTCAATCCACTCATCTCTGTCCACCAAAATCTATTGATTGGGAGGTCGCGTGCGGTGGGGTAAAGTGTAGGGGTTTCCTGCCCCTTCCAAGACGTCTAACCAGTGTGAAAGAGTTGGGGTGCCACATTGGTGAGATGTTAACTACCTCGCCTGGTATACACGAGCTCGTGGGTTCGATCCCGACTCTGACGCCTGTACATTTGGAGTTTGGATGTTCTCCCTGTGGTCGCATTTATTTTTCTCCAGGTCCTCCGGTTTTTTCCCTCCACATTTAAACCATGTTTTTAAGAGTGTTTGGCCGCTCTAAATGTCCACATGATAAGCCACTGTTTTGGGCTATCATTTGTGGCCAGGTTGCTTCTGAAAAAATAGCTATATATAGCTCAGTAGACCTTACCTGGTAAATAATAAACGTTTCTAATAGTTGGATAACTCTGCCCTCGAGAGCTCCCTCTATTGGAGGCTCTCTATGGCAGGAGTGACTCGTTCAAGAACTTTTACATTTTATTTTACCAAGTAAAGCCCACTAAAAGCTATATCGCTATTTTTCAGCAGCGACCTGGTCATACATAATAGCTCGACGAAGTGGCTTATTATCATGTGGACATATATAGCAGCGGCTTGTTTTAAGTGTGGAGGGAAAAACCGTAGGAACCGGAGAAAAATCCACACGACCAAGAGGGAGGACACGCAAACTCCAAATATACAGGCATCGTCAGGGTGGGGATCGAACCCACGGCCTCCTCTATACCAGGCGAGGTGGTTAACATCTCACCACCGTGGCACACACACGGCCGTGCCTTTACGTGCCATTACATGGTGTCACCGCCGTTGTTGAATCTTGTTATTAATTCTTACTGATTCCCCCTCCCCCCACCAACCCACTGCATTCTCAGCCGTGCTCTGCTTGCTGTTGGGAAGCCTGGTGATTGCTGCTCATTTCGTGGCTCCGCACAAGCTGGAGGAGTTTTTCTCCAACGAGGAGGACGAGATGGAGGACCTTGGTAATGCGTGCGCACGTCGTAAGCGGTGCAGGCACTTGATTTAATAATAAAAAAAACACGTGACGTCCGCAGAAGAGCGCGGGCATCAATTCATGTACACGTCTCGTACGACCCCTGCTGTCATTTCACTGCTGGATGAGGGCCTCCCCACACCATGCATGTCATGGGGGGGGGGGGGGGTTAGTGAAGGCAGGGAGCATAGAAGTACTGAACAACATATTTCTGCACTGTCCATCTGCAACCTACCACTTAGTCTCTTAGCCCATAACAACATGCTGTGTATGGTGCTAATCAATCCAAGCACTGGTCAAGGCTCAAGCCTGCTTAGCGCTGTGTGATCTGGCATAGGTCATAGGCATCGATTCATTCATCCACACCTCCGATTAGCACGTTTGGCTACGTAACGGTGCGGAAGAATATCTATTCTTGGTTCTTTCGGTAAAGTCACGGAGAAAGGAAACAATACAATAATAAAAATATAAAACAATTTTATTGTTTCCCTTCTACGTGGTGACTTTACCGAAAGAACCACGAATAGGAATCCCTGCGGTCACGAAAGCTTTAAATAAAAATTTGTTGCGGAAGAAGTTCAACATACATACATTGCAGACCACGATGTACAACACTTTCTATTGTTGCAGCTCTTTGCATTTTAATGGTTATGTAATCATTGTAAACATATTCTTAATAATAAAAAATAAAATAAAAACTCATCATATGAAGAGGAACTAACGTTTTGATAGATAACCCCAGTATTGCATTTCTATGCAACACGAAAATCATGTATAAAGTCTCAATAGTTCTGTATGTACACATCAAGTACATTACATGTTGCGTATACATGAATTCACGTTTATTTTTTGTTTGTTTTCACAGATGAAAAGAAGCATAATCTTGTGGAATACGCCTACTTGAATGAGGCGTTTACGAATAATGCCCTCGACCCATCAAAGGCAGACATCACAGTGGCCGTCACGGTAAGGCATCTGGCCATGGCATTCACTTGATTCTCACTGCTTTAAATCCACAATGTTGGTGACGATATAACAGCCAAGCCCACAGCAATTTAATTAGTTCATGGTAGTGATATAAACCTTTTGCTCATTTTACATATATATTTTTTCCTCCGGATTTTTTTTTTGTAAACAAAAAAATATTCAATCTTATTTATACGTGCAGCTTTGCTTGCTACATCAGCCGAAATGTAACATCGTGTAACTTTCTAATCATCATCATCGTCATCGTCAGCCATGACCAAGCCTATGCTGGGTGACGGCCTCTTCACTAAATAGATCCTGCAATGCATTAAATCACCACGGCAACAGCACACGAGCCGATTGCATTGATCCATCTCTGTGGTAAACGTCCCCCCTCGGGAGTTTTCCATCCCTTGGGTTTCCGCTCTATCATTATTCTTGATCATTGATCAAATTCAAAGAGGATTTCCATGCATTGCAAACAATCAATTATGACGCACGATTCAATGCCTAGTTCATGCTCGTAATAGTGTATCTGAACTGTGATTCGACGCATATCCTAGATTTAAAGCTTTCGTGACTGCTAGGATCCATACTCTTTGGTTCTTTTGGGTAAAGTCACGTAGGTGAAAATAAAATAACAAAAAATCACTACGTTTCGGCCACAACACAAGTGGCCTTCATCAGGTGAAGGGACGAGACTGTCTGGTAGGACAGCGCTGTCCTCCAGACAGTCTCGTCCCTTCACCTGATGAAGGCCGCTTGTGTTGTGGCCGAAACGTCGTGATTTTTTGTTATTTTATTTTCACCTACGTGACTTTACCCAATAGAACCAAAGAGTATCGACGCATATCGTTAGATATTTAGAAATAAGGCGCATTGATTCATATTTTGAGATGAAGTGATATGGTTGTTTACATTATGTAGAGTAAATGTTCTATGCTCCTTTATTTCAGATTCCAGAGGCAATTAACACCCAACTCTAACCATCCACATCTGAGTGCAACCGGAATATAAACACTTTGTCCACAAACAGGTAAATGTTATTGCATGGCTTTGAGGTTATTCGCGTATATCATGATAGCCACGGGTCATTTAATTACGCTTCGATAAACATATAATTCGTAAGTTCACAATACGCACATCGAATGGTGCATGTAATATTCAACGATTTCCTTACACCTTGTATTTTAATACCTTATCTTATGCAGCATATCGTGCTTGAAGTAAGTGCTTTAAGTAAATGTAAACGACTTGTTGTATATGATTAGCCAGTGTGATCATGTTTTTTGACGTTTTATTTTGTATCCCTTTCCAACACACAGTCCAGACATGCAAGCAACTTTGAAAGATCTATCACAGACCCGAATGAAAAATGTTACAGAGGAGGAAGATTTGTGATGTGCAACACATTCCACTGTTTGAACGCATTGTACTGAAACAAACACACTGTCAGTGCAACACACTCCATTTGACCATGTGCTTGATAACATATGAGATTTACAATCTTTATAGTTATATCATTATTCCATCAAATTGCACTTGTATTTTTTTTACAAATACGTGCAGTTCTAACCTGTCGATTTTATTTACAAATTGTACCAAATGTATTAATGGGTAGAAGTAAAGTATTTATAGAATTCTTTTTATACGTTAAGTTTTAACCGCTACATGAATTGCTTCTCATGGAAATAAATTAATTTTCTATGAAAATGAACATATGTATATTTAACAATGTGACCAGTAACTTTGATTGTTGTTGCTTCATGTAGAAAACAATAAAAAAAATATAAAAACCCTTCAGTATTTGATTCTATGTTGTGCACCAGCGATCAGTTATCCTCTGAATTGACATACTTTCAGGATATGTGTTTATCCAGCATCCAATAAATACTACTGCGTAGGCGTTTGGCATGTTCCACATTTCTTTTCCACATGGTCGGAGCTTCTTCGGTTCTTGAAAGATGTCATGCTGAACAACATGCGGTACACTCTGAAACACAATTAGAGCTATCCAGACAAGTTCTAGATTTGAAGCTTTCGTGACTGCAAGGATGCAAACTCTTTGGTTTTTTTCGGTAAAGTCACGTAGGTAAAAAATAAATAAAATAAATGAAAACTAAATTAAATCACGACGTTTCGGGCGCAACACAAGCGTCCTTCTTCAGAAACACTTAAGCGTTTGTGCTTTCGCTACTTTGTCCCCACCTGAAGAAGGACGCTTGTGTTGCACTCGAAACGTCGTGATTTAATTTAGTTTTCATTTATTTTCTTTATTTACTTTTTTACCTACGTGACTTTACCGAAAAAAAACAAAGAGTATATATCCAGACAAGTGTTCACATCCAAACTTAAAACTTACCCCTACATGTCTTAAGTTTTTGTTGAATCAGCTGTTGCGTATATGCCTTTAAAAAAATATATGAAGTGTGATATTGCCTAGTTTTAATGTAATCGTCTTTTTGTAGACATGTAATGTGGATTCAGCGCGTTTGAAGCATTCGAATGAGAAGTGGAACAGGCTTGATGGCTTGAGCTGATAACGACCAGTGATACAGACACGAGACAAGAAGCCATATGGAGGCCAAAGGAGTTGCACCCCTACTGTTTGAATTGTGCTCATGGCACAAATAACTCAGCACCCAAGCTATTACAAGCCTTGACGTTTGGAAAATTGAAGCATTCAAAATCACAACCACCGCATGGGAATATTTTCACACATGGTATTAAATATTCTTGGTTCTTTCGGTAAAGTCACGTAGAAGGGAAATAATAAAATAATAAAAATATTAAACAATAAAATTCTCACGACGTTTCGACTGCAACACAAGCAATCATCATCAGGTGTGAAAACCACAGCAAAAAAGTTTGAAAAAAGGTGATATTTCTATATTTTTATTATTTTATTGTTTCCCTTCTACGTGACTTTACCGAAAGAACCAAGAATATGAATCCCTGCAGTTACTTGATAGGATATGCTGGTATATGAACATGCAGCTCAGGAACAAAATGTTTCAATATGAATATTTTGTATATTCTTATTAAGAATCACTGTTATCCGTACATAATTGCAACTTAATGATAATTAAATTATGGAAGCTCGCGCTGAAGCGTTGAACCTAAGGATAATTTAAGACAACGATATGTATTTTTTAAATATATATTATGATACATTCTATGCAACCAACATAATGCATCAATGGTGTATGACCTCCGTGAGGAAAGGATGGCGTTTATGAAATCAGATGCCAGGATCCCTGCAGAGGCAGAACCAAAGATGACCTAAGGCTGACCCGGTGAATGTTCGAGGGGCGTGAAAGTGGGAGGAGCTTGTGGCTTCTTGATGTGTCTTAGGGAATTAATTAAGATAGACATTCCTATCTAACATTATTTAAAAAAATCGTGTTCGTCAGACCTGCATTGGCAGATTCTGGGGATAGCACTAGTAATATGGCTAAGGGGCCGTCCATAAATGACGTCACGCACCTTGAAAATCGTGTTCGTCAGACCTGCATTGGCAGATTCTGGGGATAGCACTAGTAATATGGCTAAGGGGCCGTCCATAAATGACGTCACGCACCTTGGGTCAGACATTTGTGACGATACGTGACGAGGGGGGGGAGGAGGGGTTGAGAAATGTGACGTCACATAAAAATGCGCAACTTTAAAAATATAGACAACATGTTCTACTTAATTAAATAGACTTTTTTAATAAATGTTTTCTCCTACAACATCAGAGTGCAGCGCCACGTTAAATACGAACTAGAATAACAATGTTTTAAAGCGATTTGAAGCATGTTTTATTTCAAAATGGAAATGTGTTTGTTTTTTTGGGGGGGGGGGGGGGAGCAGAGCTTTGTGACGTCATATTTGAGGGGGGGGGTCTGACTTTTTGTGACGCCGTGTGACAAGGGGGTGGGGGGGGGTAAAAAAATCGTCCAAAATTGCGTGACGTCATTTATGGACGTCCCCTTGCAGAGTCAAGGACTTCGAGGAGTCGTACTGTACTAAGCTAAGAGTTGTGAAAAGCTAAGAGGCGTGCGAAGGAGTGTCGCTGTAACACTGTGATAAGCCAAGACGTGTGTGAGAACCCGAGTGGAGATTTGAGTCGCGCAACCGATAATCGTGCGTGCACGAAACAATTGTCCACTCTCGAGGCTGGAAAAGTTGTGGAGAGGCCGAGAGTTGAGTGTGGTGGACACGTGCAAGCCGCCGCACAGCACGGGTTGCTCTTGAGACTGAGCCACAACGGGTGCTCGCAAACCCCATGCCATTCCCAAGTAGGGCTGAACGATTAATCGATTTCAAAACCGTAATTTGAAACAATGCGGTTAGTAAATTAATTTGCGATTTGAAAAGTCATATTACTTTCTTATTGACAATAGTTTTTTTTAAATCATTATTATAACTTTATTTATTTAAATTCATTGTTCTACGTTTGATTTTTCTATTTCGATTAAACATTTCAATAAATTCATGTTGGAAGCAATTCATACCTTTTAGGTTCTCATCCTTGCACAAGAATATATAGAGCAGTTCATATTGTTGATGGTATCACGTGGCAATGCCCCATCACGTGTTTTACATCTCTTACACAGTGAATATTGAACTGAAGCTTGACTTAAAAAAACATTTAATCGCAAATGCAATCGCAAAATCCGTCAGAAAAATCGCAATTAGATATTTCCCCCCAAACCGTTCAGCCCGACTCCCAAGACTCCAGCTGCGGATCGAGCCTGGCGTGTGAACAATCTGCGCTGGTGCGGCGCGGCAGCTGGCGGCTTGACTTGGGCAGCGTGCCGACTCGGGAGAGCCGGCGAACACACTCCAGCTGTGGATCGAGCATGATGCACAGACAACGAAGCAGCGAGCGGAGTGGCCACGAGCGCGTTTCAGCCGTGGCCCGAGATTGCCCCGCTTGTGTTGCGATCGAAACGTCGGGCTTTTTGTTTGTTTATATAAATATATTTATTTTTCAGGCTACAGTCTACATTATAGACTGCCAGTACACTCAGCGAGGTTAAGAACCAGGCGACAGTCTACATTATAGACTGCCAGTACACTCAGCGAGGTTAAGAACCAGGCTACAGTCTACATTATAGACTGCCAGTACACTCAGCGAGGTTAAGAACCAGGCTACAGTCTACATTATAGACTGCCAGTACACTCACCGAGGTTAAGAACCAGGCTACAGTCTACATTATAGACTGCCAGTACACTCAGCGAGGTTAAGAACCAGGCTACAGTCTACATTATAGACTGCCAGTACACTCACCGAGGTTAAGAACCAGGCTACAGTCTACATTATAGACTGCCAGTACACTCAGCGAGGTTAAGAACCAGGCTACAGTCTACATTATAGACTGCCAGTACACTCAGCGAGGTTAAGAACCAGGCTACAGTCTACATTATAGACTGCCAGTACACTCACCGAGGTTAAGAACCAGGCTACAGTCTACATTATAGACTGCCCGTACACTCACCGAGGTTAAGAACCAGGCGACAGTCTACATTATAGACTGCCAGTACACTCACCGAGGTTGAGAACCAGGCGACAGTCTACATTATAGACTGCCAGTACACTTACCGAGGTTAAGAACCAGGCTACAGTATTATTATTTTTATTCACTTTATTTTTATTTTCTATTTACCGAAAAAAAAACAAAAGCACTGGAGGTATTTTTCGGGAAGAAAGATGGGACATTGACTTTACACTCACTCACTGGTGTATTTTTTAAATGTACCTTGTGCAGGTTGTGGGCCAAGAAGAATCTCAGCTTGCATGCATCACACCATAACAAACGAAATGTGTTTTGTCGCGTTACCATTAGACAGCATGTTCTCTTTTCATCACGCGATCGTGAAATTTGACCATTTCTGCATTTATGATCGTTCAGCACGGATTTATGAGTACGTATATTTGCATGGGTACTGTCGTTGCTATTATATTTTTTTATGACAAGTGTTTTTTGGTGTCCGAGTATGTTGATATTAAAGTTGCTTAGATCAAACAGGATTCCGAGTGCTTCTGTCCTCGCTCATGCATAATTGTATTATGCGGTGAGATCTGAATCCTGAGACCTGACATAATTGCACGTAATTGATAAAGCGATAATCATTGATATTATCACGATTAATAATACATATCCCTAGACAACGAGAGCTAATACTAATAATTTGTGTAAACTTTACGCATACTCGCTTCCTAATTACATACGCATTAATAATTACGTGTTTAATCACAATCATAAATCATTACACTCAACGCATTCTTAATCATTATTTAACTACATCCACATCATTAATTTGACTTAAACAAACATTTAATTATCTTTACATTTAATTACATTGTTTTTCTCACAAATAACACATTTTATACCTTTCGAATTTGTATTATTATTTTAATTATTTTATTCGTATATATATTTTTTAAATCATCACAATATATACACAGCTGATGAGCACTCAAAGTGACATCAGAAAGGTTATTGCTCGAGGAAAAGGCCGACTCTTAATTGTTTTACACATTCGGAAAAAAAGAGAATCAGAATCTTCGTCAGTATCTTTATTTATCCTTGGAGGAATCCGATGAGCTATGAAGCTCTTTTTCATAATGTCCAGTAGAAGTGACAAAAGGTAAAAGTGATAAAGAGGTTTCCACTCGAGGGAGCACTAGACAGGTCCTCCAGGGGGTATTTCGAACATTCTACAACAAAAGACAGTCACTGCATCGCGTGCGCTTTCAGATGTGCTTCTGCGGCCGTCTGGAACGTTATTCCTTCCGATATTAGGAAGCCACTGAAGCTATGCACTTTGAAATCTATTTTGAAAACTGATTTCTTTAGAACTGCTCTTTGTGTTTAGTTTGTTGTCCTTCCCCCGCACCTCCGATTAGAGCGGTGGGCAAAGTATGGTGCGAAAGAAGTTCAACATAGATACATAGATTGCCTCACCTCTCTCTGCTCCCTCCACTGGATTCCCATTGCCAGCAGGGTCGTCTACAAGACCCCATGCCTATGCTGCCCGTTATCCACTGTATCTTCATTCACTCCCTTGACCCTGTACTTACTACAGCTTATGGGAGGTCTCTCTACAACGCAACTCTCAACTTCCTCCCTACTTCAAGAACCAGGACCGTCACTGCCACGCGTCCTTTTTCTCCCGTGGCAGTCTCCTCCATCTAGAACGCCATCCCACTGCGCATTCACGGCATTCACTCGACATCTGCTCTTAAGCGAAACTTAAGTCACAGCCTCAGCCATGGTGATATAGGGCTGTGAAATATTATGCGCGTTATAAATCGCATTCTTATTATTACTGGCCATCACATCATCATACCCTCTCACCACACCATAACACCCTCTCACAACACCACAGACCATCTCACTATACCATCACATCACACCACCAAACCATACATCTACTGCACAATGGACACGAAAGATCCAATTCGGTCATTCACAAGAGTAAGCCATTGTGTGCAGGCATCATGGTCCGCATTTTCTAAATTTGAAAAATTACCTGCGAATTACTCAATTGGAATATACATCGCAATCACCAGCCCCAACTGCAAAAACTTGACAAGACCATTTTGAAAATCACTGCTGAGACTCAGTGAGATTATCATGGGTAAAATATAGTAAAAAATAATAACCATCATCGCCTACTCACGCAGTGACCTGATGCCATCATTTTTACGTACACAGATTGACATCAATCATGAGCTTTCTCATGATTGATGATCTGATTGGAAGCTGCTGTCCGAATGGCCCACTTGGGACTTGTTCAGATTTGGGGAAATTCTATTTTTTTACAATGTAAAAATGCTGGTGCCAATCATTGAAATCAATCATGAGTAGGTTTGGCATTCACGCCATTCTTGTAGCGCAAGGCTATCTGAAAGCGCTGTTTCATGTATGTATATATGTTGAACTTCTTTGGCACCATACGTAGCCAACCGTGATAATTGGAGGTGTGAAATATAGTCTGCAGTAGTTTTGCAGTAGGGGCGATGTTGCTATGTGCAATCCCAATTGAGCATTTTGAAGGAAAATGTTATAAATTGTCTAAGTTGGACCACGACGACTGCACACAAAGTCCTACTCTTTTAGAATGGCATTAAGGGATCTATAACATCCAATATTTAGCAAATGGCATGTTATGGTCAATACACCCGCAGTATTAACAGGGCGGCCTGCCAGATTCGAACCCCAAATGTCTGCAACAAGCTGCCCCAATAATTTACGGTGACGATTGCCAGCAAACCATTGCTCTAAAATTCCCCCCAGTGGATCATGGCCTTTACAAATGAGTAAGGATTCTGGAGTGAAAATTCTATAACTTTAGGAGTCATGTTATGAGCGATGTTATACAATACTCGACAGGATTACATTTTATATGGGCTATGTAAAAATACGTTGATCACTTTCATATTAACCATCTCATCGCACCTGTGCACTGAATGTCGAAGTGAAGATTCTAACATTTTTAATCAAAACTGTGAAGCCTCTCAAAATTATAAACGCATCATTAATCGGATGCAATCAAGTTGGAGTTATAACAACATTCCTAAATGTTAGATTAAAACATTTATCAATTTGGAAGACCATAGTGTAAATGCAACTAATTACAATTCCTTAGTTACATTGACTGCACTGTAATTTCACTGAGAAGCCAACACAATATCATCCGTGTCAATGTAGTACAACTGATACGTTGTTCGATTTTGTTATAATATTGCAATTATAATAAGACAATTATAATACACAATAACGTTATTCTAAAAACAGTTGTAAACTTGTTAATCAACAAATCTACCCACGCATGGCTGACTCTTGTTAGCCAAATGCAGCATTTTTACACAGAGCATTTGACAGTAAATGCAGTACATATATATTTTTTGCTCCAAATAATATTAAATACATAATCATGGATATATAAAATATACCATTTACATACATTTCATATCATTATTGAGTTGGAATATCTAATTAAACACTTTCAAGATTCCCAACGTGAACAAGTATTGGACGGTGGCCATCTCCTCTGGTGGTTTTGATTTGATGGTAGAAATGGCACGTTCGTATGGTGGGCACAAATATTTGAATAGAACAGCACAGGAGCGACCTGAATAAACGTTTATTCTTTTTGGCTGATCACTAATCCAAAGAAGGGCGATGGGGCTAAGGTGACCCTGGTCAGGGCTTAAACTCATCATACAATTTCAAGGTTGCAGTTATAATGAGATATACAGGGTTCACCCAGCATACAGATAAGGCAATAAAGCAATAATAACGCAGGGAGAAATAACAGAGAGAACTAAAATTTGATTTCAAAGCCTGCACACGTTTCCCACCAATCTCACTCCACTCCTATTATTTTAACTCTCGCCCGTGTAAAATATGAAGCCATCACTTTTACAATATTCAGTCACCTGCTACGTTAATACGCAATCAAGGGGGTCGTTAGAAACCAGTGGGGGTATCTATAAATTAATCACCTTGCACATCGCAGACTAAATTAGTACAGTAATAGTAATACATTTCTTTTTTTTTCATAATTAAAAATGCACAAACTATATTGATAAATAGAACGTGTGCAATGTGTAATAAGAGGACATTTAAACAATTGAAATATTTCCAATGCTATTTTAAAAAACGCAATTGTATTGATGTAAACTCCATAATTTATTTAGTACACATTTTTCCTTCAAATACGTGTCTCCACTGTGAATAAGATAAAAAAATATATAAGCTACCTTGATGCTCTCAAAACATTCATTGACCATTACAATGGATCCAACTGCCCATGCCTCCTTGGAGACTCCATGATGTCACTCTGAAACAGAATATTCATGTAACATTTATTATAGATAAGTAGAACTAATACAAATATTTAAATATATATGCTATATACATATATATAAAGTCCACGGTTAGTTTCCCTTTCAAACAATAAGTAAGAACAACCAGGCAAATGCATGAATTACAAAACGCTTTCCAACATGTGTTAGTCTGCGGAAGTGTTTAATAGGATGTATTGAAGCCGGTGGCTATGAGGGCAAAAATAATTTGCATATTTGCAAATAGTTATTTTGGGTCTAGTGTACATCTCCAAGCTTTAGGAAACCTTTTGATACATTTATCCAGCGTTCAATGGGGTAAGAGTCGCAAGCTGCACTCTATAGTGGAGGTTCGTCAATAATATATGTTTTACTTGAGCTATTTTAATGCCCTCTCTCTCCCAGGTCAAGGACGAACAGATGGACGGAGCTAATGCACACTAATGCTTTCAACCTTAGTTGGACAGTTGTTTTAACGTTCTATAACTTAAGCGGTGTACGTCCAAAATCAGGCTACACTGTTCGTTAACATTGCTACGTTATCTATAGGCATTTCATGGAAATGAATTAATTGACTGGCTCTGCCGTCTTACTGGTGACGCGTCATCAAAGATGAGAGTAGACGTTCTGGTGAAACCATGCTGCCGTTCCGTCAGTCGGTCCAACAGGTCCTGCTTCTCTTGGCCCCATCTTCTCGCATTTTCCTGAATCTAATCAGGGCATAAATGAAGAGAAGCCACGATTGTTCAACCTGATCATTTGTTCAATGGTTTAAGATGAGCGCCGCGGTTAGTGAACATGTGACTCAGAATCCGAATCTGTATTCAGACTGGAGGAATTCGATGAGCTATGAAGCTGTTCTTTCCACAGATGTCCAGGCTGCATAGCAATGGCAAAATGTGCTGATTTTTTTCGTGTGATGAATGCTGTGCTACACACATCAAGTTGTGGATTAATGCACCAAAGAAAGTATCTGCCTCTTTCAGGAAGCATGGGGCAATGCTATGAGTCAGTGGTGCAGATTTACTTTCCAATATCAATGGTTCTCAACCATAAAATGAAAAATGAGAGACTCCATTGAATTACCCTAATGTAAAATTTTGATTTAAAGCTTTCGTGACTGCAGGGATTCATATTCTTGGTTCTTTCGGTAAAGTCACGTAGAAGGGAAACAATAAAAGAATAAAAATATAAAACAATACAATTCTCACGACGTTTCGACTGCAACACAAGCAATCATCATCAGGTGTGAAAACCACTTGCTGTGGTTTTCAACCACTTGCTGTGGTTTTCACAAGCAAGCATCATCAGGTGTGAAAACCACTTGCTGTGGTTTTCACACCTGATGATGATTGCTTGTGTTGCAGTCGAACCGTCGTGAGAATTTTATTGTTTTATATATTTTTTTTATTTTATTGTTTCCCTTCTACGTGACTTTACCGAAAGAACCAAGAATATATACTCCCTGGTTGTATTGGGTAAAGTCACGTAGGTAAAAAATAAAATAACAAAAATCACGACGTTTCGGCCACAACACAAGCGGCCTTCATCAGGTGAAGGGATCAGGCTGTCTCGAGGACAGCGCTGGAGTGAAACACAGCCACGATCAGACCGTGGACCTTTAAGCTGTGTGCGAGCAAACAAGGTGTCCCGACAAAGAAATTACCATAACATTAGCATTTGATTGGCCGATTTTAGAAAAGAGGTGGTGTACGTGCCGGTGGACTTGTCGTTTGGCGCGGGTGGGGGGGGGGAGTTTACCTATTGATGGTGTGAAAAGGGAATTTATAAGAGCTGCGAAAGTTTGGGGTACCACTACTTGAAAAATATACTGCACCATTGAAATTAGTTTAATGTTTAGTTCGATTTATTTTTTACCTACGTGACTTTACCCAATAGAACCAGGGAGTATGGATCCTTGCAGTCACGAAAGCTTTAAATCTAGAATTCAAGAATATATACCCTAATGTAATGACACATGAGTCAACCCATAAAAAGGCAATACAATTTTCAAAATCCTGTGAGTCAGGGACAATGAAGATTGCTCAAAAAGTTTGAATATGGTACCTGGGCAGTGGGTAAATTGATGCTGTAAAGGGCTTTTAAATCAATATATGTCGTTCTTGTCACGTGTCCAAAGTAACTCGATCATACCTGTTCCTCCAGCGAGTGTGTGCGACCTTCTGCTCTCTCCAGTCGAGCAAGAAGACCCAATTTCTCCTGGTCATGAAAGGGCTCCACCTAATATGAAACCAAAGAGAACCTATCAAACAAGTTTTTTAAAACACATTAATAAAAATGTGGCATATGAAGCATTAAATAAATTATTACAATGTATAAAACGCGCAGCGGGAATTTTTAAAACTAAATAGAGAGTCGGTTCTACTCAGTTGTTTCAAGTAGCTCTCTGTTGTGTTTTCGAATTGTATGACCTGTTGTTCGGCACGATGTCCGACCTTTTTGCTCCACGTGCTGGAAGCCAAAGGAGCTCCCAGTGATGTGGACAGAAACGTCGGACAAAATACCGAAAATGTGCTGTACGACTCGACAACACATCGGAGACCAATATATACATTTCAAGTTAATTTCATTTGTTACACAGATGCTTCCGTGTAGCTTGTTTCCTGGCTACTTTACGAGGGTGCATGAGCATAGAAGCAAGACAAACAAGAGAGAATAACATCAATATTGCACAGAACGAGTGCAATATTAACGAGTGCAACTAACGAGAGCAAGAGGCACCAGAAAAACGTAGGTACAGGTGGAAGTAATAAAGAGATAAGTGTTGGTCAATTCCAGCATGAGGCAGGAAATGCTCATATCAACCATGTACCGTAGACATCATTACCATGTGAATGGTGGGGATGACATCAGCTGCCCGAATCATCTCAAGTTCATGCCGCAGGCGAGCATTTTCCACCAAAAGCACCAGCTGCATATCCCTGGTGGTGCGCTCACCCTCATTACCTGGTGGACGCCATAATTTCGCGTAAAGCATGAATACAATGTCGCTTTTTACGTACAAATGGCTAATTAAATACAAAAAACACCCCTCCGCTTAAATACAATTATTGCGTATAGTGCATGTATGCTGGAAGCACGTCGCAAAGAAATTTGTGGTTGACCACACCTCGTTTGCAAAATTAATATTTCTTTTGCAATTTTTACTCCACTTGTCTGATCGGCATCATGCCCCTCCGATTAGTATGGTTGGCTACGTACGGTTCGAAAGAAGTTCAACAACATACATACATACAGACCGTGAAATATGAATCTGGAGCTCTTGCAAAGTAATGGGCGGAGACCGTTAACTCACCACACTTGAGAACCCGGTTTAATCACACGTGGCAGAAACTTAGATTCGACTTCAGGATCTTAGCAGTGGAAACTCAACTATCTGGCCACCCATGTTCTTGAGAGTATTCGGATGCTATACATTTCCACATGATAAGCCACATCATTGAGCTATCATTTGTGGCCAGCAAGCGTCTGAATAAGAGCTCTATAGCTCAGTGGGCCTTGCCTGATAAAGTGAACAATAGTTTAGCTAACTTTTTTTACACGATTACTAGATGTATGTCTTCTCGAATTAACTACCGTGATGTACTTACCTTGCTTTCAAAAAATGCAACCCCTCTATTGCAAAATGACAACAATCGCACAATACTGAGAGGAAAATAGAATTACGTAAAAAAAAACATTACCTTTATGTGATTTGTTTTCAGTTTTTCCATTTGAATTTGATGCAACGCTTCTTTCCAGCAATTTTTCCATTTTTTCTATCACCTATGGGGATAACGGTAAGGACCATCACTTCATGATTAATGCACTTGAAATTCAATTATAAATTAACTTTGCTAAAACATTATGAACGGTCATGGGCCACAGTTACCAATATTTCCCGCTTACCTGAAATGTTAGTTAATACAAATAATCATAAATTTTCTAAAGCATTCACGGAAATACTTTATTTTAACAGCACGCAATAGATACAACTTACATAACGAGTAATCATAATGTCAATGTATAGTCTTTATCAAATACAACGAAGTTTGAAGCCTGGTAAGTCAATTTAAATTACACATCACCACGAGAGACTGTGCATGGCATTATTAACTAAGAACCTAGCTGCTAAAAAAATTAACATGATAAGCCACTTCGTTGTTCTATCAGTTGTGGCCAGGTTGCTGCTGAAAAAGATCTAGTTAGCTCAGTAGGCCTTATCTGGTAAAAACAAACAAAAAGTTTAGTTTAGCTAATTGGGCCCTTCCTGCTAAAATAAATGTAATCTATTTATCTATTAAATACCTTCGTTTTTAGAATACAGATTAGGCATACACGACTGTCCATGAGAGTATATACATTAAAACTTTAAAATGCCTAAAACGACCTGCAATTAAATTATTATACTTCACCGCTTGTACCGGATTGGTTTCTCATCTTTATAAATTAAAATGGTATTTAAAGCATAAACTTCCTCCTTTAAAAAAGCAACATTCTTGAAGACACCTATACATAACATGGGGTCCACTACATTACTCGCAAATCTAAAATAAAAGTACGAAGCAATCTCAAATAAAATAAAACATCTAAAAAAAATCATGCTTTACCGGTCTTAAGTTAAGAAGTTAGGTAGAGCAGTGGCAACTCGTGGCACCAATTTGAGGAAACGACACATTTTGTATCGGGTTTCAGGGAATGTGTGCAGACAGTTCAAGTAAATAACGCAAATGTGATGGAGTGTCTCTTCTCCATCAGACATGCGCATGTGGTCTCTGAGTCCCCAGAAGAACTAGTGGACACCCAGCACTGGTGGCTTACATCACGATACCTGTCTTACAGTCATCGATTGAATCACCTACGGGCAGTGTTTAGCTTCAGCCAGAACAGTCCGGAAGGCTGCTCCAGAAATTACTTTGTCGTTCCACATCCACTGCATGTTATTTTGTCCTCGTGGGGTTATAGGAATATATGATACAATAATAGAGTGTAATTATAGAAAGGCGCAGCTTGCACTCTCGTGGAAGTGCCTCATGCCGAAAATCCTACTTCAAACCAGCCTTGCAAGTGAGAAGTTAAGCCCTGGCTACAGGTGTCACCATAAACCTGAAAAACAGAGGGAAATTTTGTCGACTGCTCATACCGGAGTCACAAGCTGCTCCTCACGTGGAACCATGCGTACTGTACTTAATGAACACAGTAAACAAAACAGATTCATATGAATATCAACTTATCGATGCCGGTGATAATTTTCCGTTGGATACGTCAATGTACTGTGAACCACAAATTGTACACGTGACTTCTATTTTTTTTGTATTCAGGTGTTTATATTGTGCTGCAAAGTGCCATAAAGTACATGCAGATCAGTCAGGATGAGCAGTCAGTTAAAGTGACATCACGGCGGTCCTCACTGCAGATTATACTTCAGGTGCAGATACATTGGGTAACACACGGAAAGGAAGAGATAGCAGGTGAGTTATGGGTTGACAACCAATAAACCAATGTGTCACTGAGATTATTCACCAAGGATAAACGCAGTATACATCGTAATGATGAGCACACTAACAGCTGAAGCAAACCAACCTACCCAAGCAATTTCTATACACTGTGGCTCATCAAGTGCATCACGAGGAATACTATTTGAATTTTTTATTTATTAAATTGCTTGAGATCCTCCTTGACCAACGTGCATAGCTCTTTACTCTCCCGTATGTTAACCAACTTCTCCATGGTAACCACTTCGCTCCCCCTCACTACCAATCTTGTGTTTATGAAAATAAAAGAATGGCCAAACCTTGTGAAATTCCAATGATACAGGCTACGTAATTGCTGTGGCTACTTGCTGTAACCTCCGTCAAAATTACACCCCCCCTCCCCATGACGTTAAATAATTAAATAACTAGAAGTGTCGTTGCAAGGACCAACAGAATCATACGAATCATAAGAATAATGACTATATAAGTACTGTAATCAGAGTTTATCACCTTCAGTTAATTGCATTCAGCCGAAATTAAGAGATGCCTATAAGAATAAAACGCGCGGAAGGTGATTTATAGACACCAATAGGTGTGCTTGTGGTGCTTATATTACCGCCACTCACGCAATATTACCTTCCCGCACCTTTCATGGACATAGCACAGTACAAGGGTATATAAAAGTCTTCATATGCATGTATATGGGGTAACGTCTCACAGCCTTGATTAGGTGCTTTCGTGACTGCAGGAATTACTCTTTGGTTTTTTTCGGTACAGTCACGTAGAAATAATAAAAAATAAAATTATATAATAGCTCGATTGCAACACAAGCAATCATCGTCAGGTACAGAATTAACACAGACATCATCAGGGGACACAGAGAGAGGCGGATGAGCACACTGGGTTTGATTTAGTGTGCTCCTCCGCCTCTCTCTGTGTCCCCTGATGTGTCTGTGTTAATTCTGTACCTGATGATGATTGCTTGTGTTGCAATCGAGCTATTATAGAATTTTATTTTTTATTATTTCTACGTGACTTTACCGAAAAAACCAAAGAGTAATTCTCACAGCCTGTATACAACATTATTACAACAGTAAAAAACGTCATACTCAGATTGTAAATATTGTGGCTTGGCTCTCCAACACACCGGTGTGCTGTACTAGTGACGAATAGGCATGTTCTGTTTACGTGTCAATCCTTACTAGTTGGCTGTGTCGGGTGGTGGTGGGTTTAACGACACATTTATATTTACGGGATCGACCCCTAAAAACCTATATTATGGATGATATTGGTCTAGAAAGCCTACGTGTTAAACTTTTTCCACATCTTCTTATTCTTAGTTTTTTCCGGTAAAGTCACGTTGAAGAGAAACAACAAAATAACAAAATATATATAAAACAATTTTCCACATCGTCAAGTTTTACTCTTGTATTTAATCATTTTCTCCTTTGTGTGCACCTTAATGTGGCATTAAAATATTGGCATGCATCTCTTAAAGACTGGAATATGGCGAAGCTAACCCAGCGGGCACAATCTACAGATCTACCAACCCTTTCTGCAAAGACAATCACTGCATCGCGCGCTTTCAGATGCGCTTCTGCGGCCATCTGGAACGCTCTTCCTTCCGATGTTAGCATGCCAATGGAGCTATGCACTTTCAAATATAGGTTGACAACTCAGCTCACTTGTTTCAAACCAATTGCCATGGTTGGCTACGTATGGTGCGAAACAAGTCCATGATCTTGTAGAGTTTATCAGTGACCTTTAGTAAAGCCATCTCAGTGCTGTGGAACTTCCGGTACGCCGACTGCAACGGGTTGAATTTGCCCGTCGAAAGGGACGTGGGGAAGTAACGGCTTCAGACAAAGGCGCTCCATGACCTTCGAAATCGTACTCATGTTTGATATCGGCCAATAATTTGTGGGGTCACTGTAGCTCAAGTCAACTTTTTTTTTATTGCTTCTGTGGTCCAAGTATCTTGGCTAACACATGATTGTAAATATAAAACACCCACTCATGTTAAACAATGACCAAAGTAACATGACTCACACAGGGCTCCAGTTTCCTTATGGCCTCGTTCGGCTTGGAGTTAACTCCCACGCGAGTCCAAGCCATTGGCGTGCCTCAATACGACCGATTGCCAGGCGAGACAATCCGTTGTGTTTACAGCGCGAGAATGTCAGTGGAAGTGAGACGTCTCGAAGTCTGCGGCGCATCACCTTTTCCTGTTGCCGCACCGTGTCTTCCAGCCGTGCCGGGCGCGCTGCCCTCTCCTGGTAGCGCAGCAGCACTGCCTGCTGCTGCCGGTGAGCCAGCTGCAACCGGACCAGCTCCTTCTCCCGATCGGCTTTCTGCGAAACACAAAGCACACAAGCAAGGGTTCGATTAGCGTTGAATGGGGGGGGGGCCGTGACCATTCAAGTTTTGACGGCTGCTCTTTCCCTTTACCTGTGCTCGATGCCAAACATGCCACTGTTATTTATCTTGGTTATTTTGTTCAGTTGTTTTTGTAAAACGACACATGATCTGGTAAGAAACTCAAGTTAAAACCAGCAAAACGGTTTTAATTTCGGCTAATGACTGGTGGTAATATACATTGCTATAAAGACCAAATTACCTTTATCTTACATTTATATAGTGCCTTAGCTCAAGGTGCGTTACATAGTTTAAAATCGGTAACCAAAAAATCGAGTCATTTATAACAGCGCTTCTGTATTGCGGTTCAACCATTATACAGTAGCATGCATGTTTGTGTGGTCCTCAAAATCTAATCCCAGGGCTGCGGCCCCTAAAGCCACCACATGAATTGGCCAGTAACGATATCACAGCCAGCCCCACAGCGACTTGATGAATTAATGGTCGCGGTTAAAACCTTTGCAATTTTTTTTTCAAATATTTTCCCTACATTTTATTTATATTTTCCTTTTAGTCTTATTTGGACAGTTTTGCTTGCTCCATCAGCCCTGCGTGTAACAAGTCACCCCCACGACCCCAACCTCTTCCCCAGCGATGTGATGAAAAAGTTATAATTATGGGTTAAGAATCGATTCAAGAATCTATTTTGTGTGTTTTGTTTACTCTTTGGTTCTTTCGGTAAAGTCAATTAGAAAGAAAATTAAATAATAGAATACGACGTTTCGATTGCAACACAAGCAGTCGTCATCAGGTAGAACTAAATTTCAGAGAGACAAAACACAGACACGGAGACACACAGACAGACACACAAGCAGAGAGAGACACACAACATAGACACACAGAGAGAGACACACAACATAGACACACGTGATTTGAAGTGTCATTGTAATTGGGTAATAATGACAGCTCTGACCGGAGCGCATTAGAAGGTTCAAAAAGTAAATTAGCATAAAGTTTTGCCTTGTAGGTATATTGATACAGTACATGAAAGCTGGGCTTACGAAATAAATTTTTGTTGTTATAACTAGAGGGATATTTTTAATAATACATTTCTGCTGAAACACTGCACAAAATTTTTATAGACACTCATTATGGTGTCACCCCCTCTGATGGTGTCACCCGGTGCGCCCCCCCCCCCCCGCACCCTCCCCCGCACCCCCCAAGTGACGCCACTACTGTGGTGTACACATTTATACTGGTAGGAAACGTAGTGGACTGGAAGCCCAACCGGGATTAATTCACAGGAGGCAGGGGATTAATTGTGTATGTCTGTGGATGTCTGTCAACGTGTATCCGGACACCCCGATAAAATGGGAGGGGTGGGGCTGGGTGGAGAGGGGAGGGTGGGGAGGGTGGGGAGGGGCTGGGTGGGGAGGGTGGGGCTGGGTGGGGAGGGTGGGGCTGGGTGGGGGGTGGGAGGGGTGGGGCTGGGTGGGGAGGTGCTGGTCACCCCGTGGTGCCCTTATAAAACTCAACGTTTAACCTACTCACGCCGGCTTGTGCCCGCCCTCACAGTCAGGCATATTTGCGGAATACACCACGTGGTGCCGCCGTTGACCCTGGCCATTGACGGAGCAACCCAACGTTCCTACCAGCTCCCTCCGCAGGAATGTGTGGACAGAGACGTGGGTATTTAAGGACACACACTTTGCTCCATCTATCTCTCTGGCAAAAAGAGAACCAGCGACCTCTGGATTGCAAAGTCCACTGCACTAACCATTTTACCACGGTAGAAGTGTACCATCATTATTATTCATGGGCAATTGTAATTGTCATGGGTCTGGTGGATTCTTGAAAAGAGCTGCTAAAGTTAACGAAATAGAAACATACCCAAATCAATTCATTCTGCAGTTTTTGAACTTTTTCCTTGTAGCTCCGTAGAGTGACAGTCTCGCTCGCCAGCTTCTGTTTTAATTCCACTGAAAAAAAGGAAACACGTTGGGAAAACCACTTATACAAGTCTCCATGAGGATTAAATACAATATACAACTCCTCTTATCCGTGACCCTATTGCACACATTTTTTCCCCACATATAAGTGGAGGAAAGGTATTTATGGCCCAAATCAGGATTGGTGTTAATTCCTGCATTAATCTTACACATTTTCATCGCTCACTTGCAACTTCACACTCAATGATAAATCCACTACTGGTGTTAAATATTGTGCCAACATTTTTTGACATGACAGCAGGAAGAAGCTCAGCCCCGTCTAGCCACTCAGATGCTACGGGGCTGCTATCACTGCTGTATTGCCAGGTGTTTTATGGTATGTGAACTTCTTTCGCACTGTACTTAGCCAACCGTGCTAATCGGATGTGCAGAGGAAGGACAAGTTAAACACAAAAAGCAGTTAAAAAGAAATCGAGTTTTCAATCTAGAATTAAAAGTGCAAAGCTCCAGTGGCTTCCTCATATCGGAAGGAAGAGCGTTCCAGACGGCCGCAGAAGCGCATCTGAAAGCGCGCGATGCGGTGACCGTCTTTGTTCGATGGCTAGCCAGCGTTGCCAGGTGTGTCATGGTATTGTTTACAAAGTGCGAGAGTTGGACCCAGTGGTTAGACCACTTGTGTTGGGATGTGAAGGCCACCGACCTAGCCGGCCAATGAGCTCTTCCTTTGTCATGACGTCAAACTGGCCATCGCTGAGGAGCAAGCGTCCTGCATCCCTGTGCAGGCTCATCTGCCGCCGCAGTTCACTCTTCTCAATCTCCAGACGCATCACCTCGTTTCTCAGGGACAGGATGTCCTCCGCCATGCGCCGCATGCCCACACGGTACGTCTCCACCTCCTGCTGGCACACACCGATGTCATGCCCTTGATGATGTGCATGGCACGTGCAGTTTTAAATAATAAATGATGGTGTTAACCAGGGCTAAATTTCCACACTAAAAAAAATCCCGGAACATTACCAGGTCACCTTGGAGTAAGGATTGTTGGCAAAAGGCAATACCACCAGAGTGCAAGTGACACGTATCTATAATAAGCTTATATCTGCGAACCCTAAATTCCTATGATTCTATGTTAAAGTTCCTAATCCTATGAACACTATCATGTGGAAAACATGAGGCGAAATGAATTTGATGTGCCAAAAATAATTCCTGAAATGGCATTCAGGACCGTTCCGGCTAAAATCAAGCACTGATTTGACCAATTCAGATTTTACATTTGGAAATCAAACACCGAGTGATGCTGCTGCAGTTAAAGAAATGGTTGTAATATTTACAAATCGGTCAGACCGTCCCTCCATCTCCATATATAAAAGGCTAAGTTGTGAATATGTGTCTGTTCAAAATGTTTAGTGTACTTCCCGACATGCAACAAACTTGAAATTTTGCCATGTGGGTACTTTCCAGACTGTACACCATGCAAAAATTATAAAAATACACTTTTGTTTTTTTTAGGGGGTGGGGGGGGGAGCTCAATAATGCATATATTTTCTGCACGGCAAGTGAGCTGTGACGTCAATTCTGTCACATGACCCTCGCATGTGGAAGCGTAACGCATTGTAGTGTAGTGGTTAGCGCGCTGTGTATGTGTCTGTGTGTGTGTCTGTGTCTGTGTGTGTGTCTGTGTGTGTGTCTGTCTGTGTATGTGTCTGTGTATGTGTCTGTGTGTGTGTCTGTATGTGTCTGTGTGTGTGTCTGTCTGTGTGTGTGTGTGGAAGCGTAACGCATTGTAGTGTAGTGGTTAGCGCACCGCGCTACGAACCCGGCGACCCGAGTTCGATTCCCGCTCACGGCCACCACCGGTGACGATTATTTTAACCGGTCCTGGGCCTCCCCTAGGTCGACTCAGCCTCAAACGAGTAACTGTTGTGGTGTGAACAACGCCACTGGGGAGCCAAAGGCGGCCGGGCGTGGTGAATCCAAGTCACGGGCGAAGCCGGGTAGTATACAGCTAGTGGTTGTCTTATGCAAACGGTGGCCCCTGGCATGGCTCAGGGCTGCCAGTGGAGGATTGCCAATAAAAATTTCATTCTTATACACATTTGCCCAATTGTACAAATTTGGCCAAATAGTGGAGCAGAAAACATGAGGTCTTTCAAATGGTGATACAAGCACCACATTCCTGAGGTCACGTAATAATAACATCGAAGATGGCCACCATTTTTCCAAGATGGTGGCATTGTTATTTGATGTTTAGGTGGCTGATTCTTTTGTCCTGAAAATACACCGCTGTGGATATCCCTAGCAAGTCTCAATCTTGTGTCGTGCTCTTTGGGTCTTTCGGCAAAAGTCACGTTGATGGAAAAATAGTAGATCACGACGTGTCGATCACAACACAGGAAATCGTCTTCAGGTGAGGGCTCGTATTGTAATTTAAACGACTGATGTAAAAGAACACACTCATCTCCTCGACTAAATATCTATGGAGAAAAGTGTGTTTGTAATAAGTCGAAGAGATAGGTTAAGGACTGAAGAAATTGGGAAAAGTACAGGGGCTGTTATTAAAGCAAAAGTAATTAAGTGAGCAAAGTGGCAGGATATGGCCGTGATAAAACTCCACCAGCTATTCTACCCCCCCCCACCTCCTAGCTGACATCCTCACAACGCATTGATAAACCACGAGAATAACCAAATGTAGGTCGTAACCCAGAAAAGTTTATTGGTGTAACTGTAATGATGTTGGAAAGTGTGTTGAAAATAAAGTTATAGAAAGAAAAATACTATAGAGTGGAGGCCCAAAAGGTGCAAAATAATAAAGGGGGATGGGGGGGGGAGGTAGCATTTGCCCCTGTGGTGGCCATTTACAGTCCGACAACACTTGAAGGTAAAATAATATGGTGATAATAAATTAAGAGCTTACAATAAAACGCTATGAGACAGTTATATTTATATTTACCTGAGTACAATTGGTATAATAAACACTGACTCATCCGCACTATACACACCCATGACTTTGTGTATCAGTAGAGCCAGTGGATGGACTGGGATGAAAAAATCGGCCTGGGCATTTTGGAAACACAGCGGGCCAAAATTGCCGTGTGATCTCATTGGCCCGTTTGGGGCTGATCCACAAAACACAAATGAGCCGGTGAGAAAGAATCTTGAGGTCCTGCCAAATACGGGCACTTACTGCCAACTGAGAGCGTAAATAATCAATGAAGCGTGTATATATAGAGTTAATAGGATATATATATTCTTAGTTTTTTCGGTAAAGTCACGTTGAAGGGAAACAACAAAATAATAAAATATATATAACAATAAAAAATTCTCACGACGTTTCGACCATAACTCAAACGGTCGTCTTCAGGTGTGTTGGTTTGCATAAATTTATTTTTAAACGGCGCATTTTTTTTTTTAGGATATGTTTATATTTACGCGATCTAACCCAAAACACCTGTACTCTGTTCGCATTTGCAATTTCTCCCACAGACATTTGCCCTATGGCCAGGTCCGGGCCTGAATATAGCCATGGTGAATATTCCAACATTATTGTTTTTGGCTTTCCGCTACTAGCTGTATTTACCCACCTTTATCTGGTAATTGTGAATAGTGGTGATATCTCCATCAAGGTTACTGAAACAAACAAACAAACAAAATGCACACACATTTAACAATAAAGTACTGCATTGTATTTTGATTCAAAATAGTTTTTTTTGGGTCAGATCTTGTAAGTTAAACGTTTGTTGTACACCCCCCCTCCACCCGACAGCCAATTCATAATCTTGCCACGTGAACAAGCGTGCCAATTTATCACTGTTTCAGGACACCAGTCTGTTGGTGTACAATCAACAACATTGAACACATTTGGGTATGACGTTTCACTGGTAGTTACAACCAACAACACTCGTCAGTTGCCAGAAAATATACCACATTGTATTTCATTTCACAGCACTTATTCAGAATACAGTACTGTACTGGACTAAAGAACGGTACTATTTACACAATCGTGAATACAGAGACTATTAGTTATTGCATACACGACCCACAAGGTGGCGTTCTTAAACAATAAAGTGTTAGAATGTGTTGGAACCAAAGTCTCCTGCAAGATTAAGAGTCACGTCATTTGGATTGCCCCTCCCTCCCCCCCGGCTTCCGTCAGGATTTTGTGACGTGATAAAATATCCATCATTTATGAAATTAAGTAATTGGGTTGATGTGCAAACAAAAATGAATGCACCATCACCATTCAAGTGTGGATGAAACATTCTGAGTACGCCTGAGACCACGGTATTTTATGAGCAAATCATGATGAATTTGATCGCGTGCAAAAAGTAGCAATGATGTAATCATTCATAAGAGTTGTTTTGGGTTAAATCGCGTAAATATATAAATGTGTCGTTAAACCCACCACCACCCGACACAGCCAACTAGTAAGGGTTGTCATGTAAACATAACATGCAAATTCGCCACTAGTACAGCACACCGGTGTGTTGGAGAGCCAAGCCACAACATTTCTAATCTGAGTACGACTAGCTTCACCAGGCGACAGCCAGATGTCTGGAGAGGTCCACCTGTTTATATATTTACGCGATCGAACACAAAAAACCTCTTACGGATATTGGTCGCGAAAGCCTACGTGTTAAATTATGTAATTAGCCTGCGTGTGTTCTCCGATCTGTATATTTCTCTTCTTGTCTCCTCTCAATGTAAGTCCAAGCATGCATCTGCCCACGCTTATCTGTGCCCGTCTCCATTGTTGTTCAGTTTTATTCATGAACACGGCAGGTAGTGAAGCACTGACTTTAAACCGCAGGACAATATCTACTCACTCTGGTGGCTGGCTGTCATTTTGGTCCTGGTGAGCCTTTGATTTGTTCGAGGATGTGGAGTTCTTGCTCGACTGCAATTGGTGGGTGGCCGCGTTCTGTCGAGTGGGCGGTTGTTGCTGGGTCTGGGAGTCCGGCTGCCCCTCCGTGCGCTGCTGGGTAGGGGTTGCCTCACGGAAGAGCTGCTCGAAATCGGGCAGAGGGAATGGCGGCGTTGGCTCCTGTGAATGAAACAACGGACCAAATTATATTGCATAAGACAGCTTTATAGCTGGGGAGGGCTGCAGGGGGGCTGTGTGTCCCCCCCCCTCCCCCGCACACCCACTGCTAAAGATGTAGTGTCCACCAACAAAATGCTTTGTCAAAATAAAGTTTATTTGGGTTAGATTGCTATTTAGTTCCTACTTCAGCCCACCGGTGTGTTGGAGAGTAAATCCACAACATTTACAATTTGAGTACGAAGTTTCCTGGTTATTACATCCAGCATCATTGGGCGATTTCGCCAGAATTCTGGCTGGGGAAGGCTGCAGAATTCTGGAAAAATCGACAATTTTGCCAATTCATAGCAATTAATTAGCATGTTTCGTTTAAGTGACAAACCTTACTAATTGGCTGTCTGGTGGTGGCAGGTTAACAACACATTTATTCTTACGCGATCTAACCCAAAAAAACTTTATTATGAATGATATTGGTCGTGAACGCCTATGTGTCAAAATGCTTTGTCAAGTCAAAAAGTGTTGGTAAGATATTTAACACACAAGTGGCAATTGAGCGATGAGCATATAATGCAGCCTCTTTCCGCATATACATGTGGGGGTGATGAAACCGTTGAGCAGAATTCTTGATACACAACAAGCAGATCAAAGCGTTACACATCCTGTTTAGTGTTTAACACTTTTTGTTTAATATTGTGTCACGGAGTAGCTGAGCTTTTGAATGCCGCCACACCGCGTTTAAACAAGGTCATGCTGCAGGATTGCAATAAGATTTGGTCTTATGTAATGAGAAAAGGAAATTGTGTGGCTTAAAGGAAAGCATACGATAAATCACACGATCAACTACAAGTATTGACAGAATTTGCAAGAAAGTGTTTATCTGTTCAACACTAAAATGTGAGCAACAGAAGAAGAAACACGTCTTTAACCTACATTTAACTGGAGGTGCAGAATAATATGCACGGGCATTACATATATTTCCATACCAAACAATCCTGAAAATTGAGGGATTGCACCTCCGATTAGCACGTTTGGCTACGTACGGTGTGAAAACGAACTATTTTTTTTATTTTGGCCCACTGAGCTATGTAGCTCTTTTTCAGAAGCCACTTGTCCACAAAGGATAGCCCTCCGAAGTGGCTTATCACGTGCTGCTGCTGTCAAACCGCAATGGTTTCTGATGTGTGGCGGCCCTCACACCGATGATGTCTTATCGGCGAAAGTGGTCCCCCTTTCTGAGAATTCGTGAATAACACTGGCGCAGATATTGATTGGAGAGAGGTGCAGCAGTTCACGGCGTTCATCAGAAAATGGCGAACAAATAATGATGGCGAACACTGCAATATATTTGGTAACGTAAGTAAAAAAAAATGCATCTACATATGTTCGTTTACAAAATACGTGCATACATAAGCAGGTGTTGCGATTTAAATATCTCCCAGAAAATGTTAAGAATCCAATGTAGGAAACAAAAATAATATCACATAAGTCCGTCTGTTCTGCACCTACAATCAGTGTTTTGTTAATTCAGAGCATGGCCAACATGTAATTAATTTCCCCATAATGCCTCTTTAAACAGATGCATGCTCTTGCTTAGCTGATGGGGTTAGCCTTTTTATTGGTGGCTTGTACATTGTCCAAGGAACATAATTTAGGCAAGCAAAAAGCATAACTTAATTGAGCCAGACGAATCATGTTTATTCATGAGCAATTTACCGAAATTACAAGTGCTATCCATCTGTGGACACGGTGATTATTTTTCTACGGTTTGGCCTTTTAATTATCCAGTCAATGGAAGCAAACAGTAGGAAATTACTACAAATGCACACATTTTGATGTTAAAAGTCACACAAAAAAATGCAACCACTAATGGCACCTACTATGTGTGGGATGGAAATGTGGCGTAGGTGAGTAATATCCATACATGGCCATTTACTCTTAAAACACAATGGCCACAATACTGTGCGCTGATGAATACATTTAGTTGCAGCCCTTTTGTCAATCCACTGCTGGATGACCACTGCGGTGCTGTGTAACTGATGGCGTTCTTTGACCATACTTCACCACGCTGGTCGATGTGGGCTGGGGAAGGGAAACCAAAGCCCGGTGCCGATGTTACTTGCCACTGATGCTAGCCATGAGCAGGAATAAAATTCAGGTCGCTGTGTTAATTGTACAGGGGAGTCCAGATGTCCTGTGGCTCACACTCAATTCTCTAAAACGTAATATTTTTAAGGTTCATTTAAAACAGAAATGAATATGCAAAGGAAATAAATGCTAGGGGGTCAATTAATTGGAGGTCACGACATCTGGCCCACCCTCTACAGCAAGCGAACACATACGTCACCCACGACTTGCTAAATCGTGTGCTGTGATGCATTTATTGCATGGCATTTTTAATTTACGCCAACAAACTTACCATGAGAGGGAACATACCATAAAGTACTTCTATAGCAGGGTGTGTACACGGAAAATACTTTTCAAGGAAGACACAAATGCAATCTATTGGTTAGTCACCCAAAAAACACATTACAGTGCTTATTTTTCCAAAATTTCAGCAGTCACCAAACATCCAAAGCCACTGTTCATTAATTGGAAAGCACACAATAGTGCTTCATTGTACCAATATGTTTTTTTCCCTACACGTAAATAAAAAGAAAACAAATCAGTGCATTTTATTTCCATTAAGTTAACAGTCCTCCTGCACCCAGTAAGGTCACAGTCTATATCCAATATTCTTTGGCCTGCTTGGACCCAATTTGGAGGTCAATCGCAATCTGAGATACATTTTATGGAAGTGATAGATTTACACACATTAACAAACTTCAAGCGAGAGTCTTATCAGGTCCTGCAGGCAAGCAGCCGTGCCATGCGTACGCTGAAATATGGCCCATTTTTATGGCTGCGCGTCCCCTGGAGTGATATTACACTGCCAGAATCTATTACCATCAGGTCAAACCAAATCACCTCCCTATTTGCCTATTGGTCTGTGGTGGTCCCTAAATTTTTTATGACTAAGATGGAGAATTTGGTTAGATATGAAAAAAACACCAAGGCCAATGCCGGAAAGCAGACTGTTGTGTTGTTGGATTGTTTCCACTATGTGGTTATACGCACAACATTTAAAGAGTGTATTTTTTTTTTACGTAAGACTTTTGAAGTAATTTGTAGGCCTTTTTTGTACTTGTGAAAAATAATTAACATTTTCGACATTCCTCGGGATATATTTAATATATTTTGTTCTTTTGTATCCTTGAATATAAAAGGCTTTTACAGCAGCATTACAAAAGGGGAGAACATTGCTAAGCAGAAATTTCCGTTGACCTTCTGCTAAAAGCTTTTCAGGGTCTGAATGCCTGCCGCCTGACAACTTCAAGTGAGTGTGCTAGGCACATGTGCATTAGGAAGCCCTATGTACTGTCCATTAGCCAAACAGAAAAACACGTATTCAATCCACACTGACATTGTATATGGGAAATAAACATGCATTCAAACATAAAATGTGCACCGTGTACTGACAAAAGTATATTAATGTTTAGAGCAGTGCTATCTAATTATTTACGTAATAAATCACTCGACCGATCATCGGTTTGAATAGTCGGCTCATCGGATAACACGAAAATAGTTGATAAAAAAAGTGTCACCTCTGGTCCAGTCAATGCTGCTGGATGTATGTTGAACTTCTTTCACACCATACGTAGCCAACCATGCTAATGGGAGGTGCGCATGGGAGGTGATGGCCAGGGATAGGTGACATCATTGGTAACATCAGCCTTTTCACACTGGGCGTGGCTTGTAGGGGGTTTCCTGCCTTCAGGAGGAAGAATGTAAGGATGGCTGGCATTTTTACAGAGATCTGAGTAATCTCTGACAAAAAAGTAGTCGATTACAATGTTCTGTAATTAATTTACTTTATCGACTACTCGTCTCAACATGTTATGCTTGTCATCAGAAATCACAGCTTTAAATGCCCAGTGAGATCCAAGTGTGTCCCTATACCCAAATGAATTTTGGGCAGTGCTGAACCCTGTTGGTGATCTGGCCATAACCAGTCTCTCTACAGAATGAGCAGTGCTGGTTTCCCACAAAATTAATTCAAATTCGTGGGGAGTTGGGCCCTTAAGCCAGCATATAACTTGGGCAGATTAATGTATTGGATATTACATGTACATACACAGATTAACCTCATTACGTATATCATACTCATTTGCTGGGTTTAGCAGTGGCACAGTAGTTAGTGCAGTGTGTTATGAAGCCGGTGAGTTTCACAGTAATGACTTAACATCAGCAGAAATTGCCATTATTGGTCCTGCACCAATTTTCATCAATATGCACTGATCATCAGTGTTATAGTCAAACAATCCCCATGATTGATATGGCATGGGGAGGCATTCGTCCAGCAATGGATTGACAGAGGACTCTACATTATTTTAATTTTCATGATTACTTATTTATATGCGAAGGTGTTCTGCATTATTTACAGTATGCACTACTAAGTATCGTTTCTATGATGCCCAGACCTAACATGGGATTGTTTTTGTCGAGTTAATATTATACATACATACAGCATACATTCGGTTTCACTAATAGGTGCAGCTCTGCAATTTATTATCCAATGCCACTGCTGGTAGAATGGCCCCTACTATAGGGTGCTCTAGAGAGCCCCTTCATAGGGTAGTAGGCCTACACTTCCAGTCTGACCAGAAATTGTTTGTATGAGGTGGGAGTACTCAATGCTTCACCCCACCACACACAAACTCTCGATGGACGAACTGCGATGCACCCATTTACACTTCTGAGTGGACAGAGGCGGTGAGATTTCATAAACTTGATCATTGTTTCAACTGCCATGCCGAGAGATCAAACTGGCAACAGTGTGCTAACGGGTTAAACCAAACCAGCATCACCTACATATTAATAATGATTCTTACACTGTTAAATATGAATTTAGGACTGGGTGGCATCCTGGAAATTACTGAAAGTTTCTACAGGTGTACTGCATGAATAATGAAATAAATACAGTTTTACAAAGCCAACAAGTAACACAATTGCTCACATGTCCAAATCCCAGTAAAAGCACCCTCTCCCATTAGTAAGTGACTGTGGTAGTAATAATGTCACATTAATATGCATTTCAGACAGAGCATGAGGTTAAGTAGGTCGCCAAGAGTAAGGCACCACACAGTGATGTGTTGTGTTGCTATGATCCTACTGAGGATATATACAAATCCTCATTTATTTACATTATTTTTGTTATATTAAGCAAGTATATCTATAACGATACGAGTGCAGACACACTGTTCCCGTCTGCAACGTGCACTCTACTGGACATCTGCGTTGATTACATAAGAATTATATAAAAAGACCAGTGGTTCTTAACATTTACTGCAGCCTTCACCCCTTTGGTTTTCAATCGTAAACAAATGTATGCTAATAAATACATAGTTTTGATAAAACCAAGTAGTTGTACTTACGTGCCCGTGCTTAAATAATTTTCTTTTATTATTTACCTTCTAAAAAAATCTAGCCATGTCTCGCACCCCAGGGGCTGCGCGCGCGCACCCCAAGTTAAGATCCACTGCGCTAAACATATATGTACCATCTAGAGGGATCTCTCTACAGCTCTCTGTAGTGAAGGCCCTTCCACCAGCAGCGGCTTGAGCATGCAAGTGCATGGCTGCACCTTTAATTTTGAAATTTGACCTCATGAGACAATAACAATGTCCATGTAAAATTGGCTTCTTTATGCTTTACATGTGTATATACAGTACTATAAACATATTACACAGTGCCTGTGTGTGTGTGGCGTGATGGTCCAGTGGTTAGCAGACTGTGCTATACACCTGGCAGCCCGAGTTTGACTCCCGCTCACGACCCTATGTTGACTGAGCCTTAAATTAGTACCTGGTGCGGTGGCGAGTAAACATCAGCACTGGGGAGTCAATGGCAGCTAGGCGTGGTGTTGGCCCGCCTTCATAGGTACTGGCGAACAGCACTTGTTCCAACAGTCTGTCGAAGGCTTTACGGGGGATCTTTGTATGTTTATAATATATAGTGCGACGATATGTACCACGAATTTCTGCACTTTTTACAAGCAGTGAATTACTGATGATTGTTAATGCAGAGAATTACCGGCAGTAATGGCAAGTAATTGTGATGCATTCGTGCTGCACTGTGGCATTCTCAAAATAACGCAACATTTGTGGTTAATTCCACGGTTAAAACACGTTTTATTAGGCTAAATTATTGAGGCGCCTTTGGAAGTAATCAGCCTCCAGGGCAGCCCATTGTTCACGTGGGTAAACGGCACTGCCTTTTTCCGTGCAAGACTAATGAAGTCATGGCCTTGAATACAAATACAGGTGGCATTTTATTGGCAATCCTGCTGATCCAGCAGCACACAGCACAGTTGCAATCAGCGCTCGTTGGGAAATAAATTATTATTTAATCAGCAATGCATTTAAATCAGCAGGCAGCAGCTGGTGCATTTGAGCAGATGCTCAGTAATCTGTTCAGGCATATTTAAACTGCATGGTTTGTTTGGTTTTTGTAAAAGAGTGCAGAGAATAATTTCAATTTGAAACATTGTGTGGGGTGTGATATTAAATGAGAAACATAACATTATTTTAACAAAATCGTATTTTATGAAAGGTGGTAGAGTGTGGGGCTCAGAGTCAAAAGGTTACGTGTTCAAATCCTGGCTGTGGAATGATTCGACCCATCATCTCTCCATGTCTGTGAAAACGAGAACCACTTTGTGGGAATGTCAACAGTGCTTGTCTGACAGACTCATTCCTACCGTAGGAATGTTGAATTTCCACAACTAGCTCAGGGCTGTAAACAGCAGATGAGCACTGCCTCAACGCTCATATGGGAAGGACATCACATTGACTCGTATAAAGTAAACGTAAATACTGTAGGAATTAATACAATGTGTTATACACATACTAAAAACACAATTTAACAATGTCTACATATTTTTCACTCGACCTAAATAGACTGTTCGGGCAGGCATTATTAGAGGTGATAATCAACACTTGAGTAGTGGGACTAGCACAGTTGCTAGGCATTGGAATGCAATGGTGCAGCGATTAATCGAGTGCATTTCCATTTTGCGAGCTCATGAGATAAATCAATTGTGCATCTAAAAATGTATTCTTTATTATTCATGAAAATGGTATGTTAATAGTTTATTCAAGTTATATGTAGGCTAAGAGAGTGGGAAAAAAACCATACAAAGACCGAAAATAAGATAAATTATAAGAGACGGTAAAAATGGTGTAAAAAATATGGTTCTTGAATTAAATCACGATTCTGAACCATGACAATTCATGGAATCACTGCAAGGACGCATCGTTCTGTGCGTAATAGCAAAGCTGATGTTGACACACCATATCAGCACTCATTTTAGGCTTAGTTGACCTAAGGGAGGCTCAAATAAAATAATGTGGTCATGGGAATCGTTCCCAGATTGCTGTTATTTCAGTACAGTTTAGAAGTTCACTTACCATATTTCTGCTCTCCACTACACAATTGCACACCTTCACACACTGTACAGAGCGTGGTGCTTCAATTACTCTGTCAAGGCTGAGACATGCCTGGATGCTATTATTGTAGCACGCAGTAAGATGTAATAATTTTTTTGTACTTGTCAAGTCTTACAAACGTCCTCTTTTTTAAGTGCGGTGATTATAGGTATGAAATTGTAAGCATAAATCATTGCCGGCTTTAACAAATAATTCAGTATTTGTAAGAATTGGATTCATCACAACTGCTGTCATATTTTAAAATGCCCGCATATTTCTAAATAATTTACATATTATTTGACAACCTTTAGTCAATCCACTTCCAGATGAAGACCTCTCCATGCAGTGTGGCCACAGGCTTTGACCATACTTCACCACTGTGGTCAGTGAGGGTTGATGAAGGGGGGCAGATGGGGGACTAGGACCGATTGATATATCGCTCACTAAAAGATGTTCACTGTAGCTAGGAACAGAACTCAGGTCGCCAGATTCACAGCGCAGTGCGATAACCACTGCACCATCATTCCATTCACGAATGTATACATTATTTGTATAGTCTTGGTTCTTTCAGTAAAGTCACGTAGAAGGGAAACAATAAAATAATAAAAATATAAAAACAATAAAATTCTCACGACGTTTTGACTGCAACACATGCAATCATCATCAGGTGTGAAAACCACAGCAAGAAAATTAAAAAAAAAAAGTCGAAAAAGATGGCAAGCTACCTTTTTTGGATGTTCTAATAAATAAGAGATGGTTCAATGAGCCACTTTATCTACAGGAAAGCTACCTATACGGATGCTTACCTGAAACCGGATCCCCACCACCATCCATCCCAGAAGAATTCCCTCACCAAGACTGCACCATAGAGCCCAATGCATATCCGACCAGGAACACATAGCCAGTGAACTCAGCACGTACACCAAGCTCTTAAGGCTAATGGTTACTCCGACTACACAATCCGCAAAGCTATTACTCCAACCATGAAGAAGGGCCCTCTTGAGGAGCCATTCAAAACCATCACTTTACCCTACATTACGGGGATCACAAAAAGATCTCCAAAATCTAAAATAAACACAAGATCCAGGTCCGATTCAACACATTACATAAAATCCGTGATCTGGTTCTGTCTGTAAAAGATGTGATTCCGGACATACAGTACCCTGGCATCTACAAACTAAGTTGCCTCTGTGGTAGTAGTTACATTGGAGAAACCAAACGACATGTCTCGGACCGCATCCGTGAACACAAAGCAGACCTAAAACACGGTAGGACCAACACCTCGGCCGTGGCAGATCACTGTTATAATTCAGTAGGCTCACGTGACACTAACTTCTCCAAGACAGAGGTTCTCTGCAAGCCATCTGGCTACCATGAAAGATTCGTTCATGAGGCTATTCACATATACAAACACAGAGACAATTTCAACCGAGAAGATGGATTCTGGCTTAGCAATCATTGGAAGGATTTGATAAACCATTTCGGGTCTTTATTGATTGTTCACGCTTACGGTGGCTTTCAGACCGCATCCATTATTTTCGTCTCCTCCCTCCCCTTTTCCGAACATAGATGGACTCATCTGAATAACTGCCAAATCGCTCTCCGTGGTGCTAACGTTAAAAAAACGCCACTTTTTTCAAATTTTCTTGCTGTGGTTTTCACACCTGATGATGATTGCTTGTGTTGCAGTCAAAACGTCGTGATAATTTTATTGTTTTATATTTTTATTATTTCCCTTCTATGTGACTTTACCGAAAGAACCAAGAATATGAATCCCTGCAGTCACGAAAGCTTTAAATAAAAAATATTTGTGTATATATATAGAGTAGTGTACTTATTTATAAAAACAAATGTATTACTCTGGCTGTATTACATTTTTAATTAATGTTTTTTGGGGGGACCACAAAATAATAAAACACATTGACCCACCTTTCCTTTCTCTCGACCTTTAACTTATCTCGCTTTTCTAATTTCCTTTTTTTTTCCAAGCTCAAAGATACCGGGATACCTAGTCTCACGTGTTTACACCGATCACATTAACATCGTGCTTATGTTTTCCCCTGACATATATTCGCATTGAAAGTGCAAAAAATAAATAAAACATCAGCCCATTGCGCCGTGTGAATCGTGCAAGGGTGGAAATGACTGTGCATGGCCACCCGCGTGCGAACGCAGCGAGGGGCTACAGACGGCTTCTCGAAGTGGTGCGGCTACCTTCTGCGCGTGGCGAGCTTCCTGCTGAGGACCACGCGGTCTCCTAGGAGATGACCGCGTGCCCTCCTCCACCCCCTCTTCTCCGCCGTTGTCGTTGGGGCCAAACGGGGGGAAGAGGGGGGACACCGCCCTGGCATTGTTGAGAACCGGCAAGCTGCCAGGGTCCACCGTCGTCAACAGTGAGTCTGGCCTCTGGAGGGACACAATAAAGCAGAACAAACAAAAAACCAAGCAGAAAAAAAGGGGCAAGTAAGGACGCTTCCTAGTTTCACAAGCGCGAAGAAACACATGAGGCGAAGGGTGTTATCGAGTGTGAATCGAGAGTTGAGAGACGTGATAGGGACTATAAAGGCAAAAAAATAGGTCAAAGCAATCGATACCCATTTTTTGTTCGTGCAGCAGTGAGTGCTTCAACGTCTAAGTTGTACGGCAAAGATAAACGCTAAATGTTTCACCGTTGAAATGTACTTAGGTCAATTGTACCTCGTTACTCCACCACCATCACGCACCAAACGCTATTTTCAGCCACAGGAAATAGCACAATTTATATGGTTTCAATACTCTTATATGTCACATTTAACGGTCATTCATTTTTTTAAATAGGCCCGTGGAGTTGAGCGGCGAACGATGCACAAACTACACAGAGTGAGTAAAGAAACGTGTTGAGACCCCTTTAGGAAGACATGATACACACACACACATATATGGATTTGTGGAAGCTACAAAACAAAGCACTCTACGTATTGAGCGTGCGGGGCCCCACGAGGCGGTAGTGTGGCCCACTGGTGGTGAATTATTCATTGTGCGCTCCTCTGCAGCTGAGGATCCGAAAAAGAAGGCCGGCTCGGGCTGGCCACCCACCCACGCCAGCTGCCTGCCTCGGACAGGTAGCCAGAAGAATATTGCCCCAGGGCTCATAGCCTTTATTAATATTCTATTTATATAACCTTTGTGCCTTGGGAATTTAATTTTGATTTTACTCTGCAGCGCAGCGTGGTATGCAACAAGTGCACAATATAGGTTTTATTATTTTTAGTGGAAACAAATGTGTCCGTCCAAAATACTCCAAAGCATAGTCCTTACTCAGTGGCTAAGCAATAGCAGTAAACAGCATTCCCAAAAGCAACATATATTGTAATTGAGGTATAAATTCATTTTAAAAAATAGGTAATGGTCCTATAATGTGAAGAACATTAGGGTTCTATGAATTTGCTTTGGATAGGCTTTTAAATGCGTTTCATATGGCTTCACAGGAACGTGCTGTAATATCCCCCTTTCACATTATCGAAATTATTCAACGTTCACTTTTATGTAAAATCGTCAACAATAACTACCTGTACCATTCCACTTAAAAAAAAAATAACATCGATGCTGAACACAGGACAATCTGAGGCAAAAAATAAAAAAAACAGTTATCTATCTTGGGCAGAATGCACAATCATTGTCACTGTACATCGCTAGATAAATGGCGCAGTGGCCGCGAGCACGTTCGTCATACGGCCGTGGATGTTCCGAGCGCGAGAGCTGTCAATCCCAGAGAGCCTTGCCACGGGAGCCGTTTTAATCAGCGCTCCGTCGGTCCCGCCCGCCACAGCCCACATCAATACCGCTTTTATGAGCTTGCTGAGAGCATCTACAGCCCTCCTCCCCCCCCCCCCCCCTCCAAGCTCCTCATCATGCCGCTGATTAAAACGTCTCTCTCCTCTCATCACGGTTACGGTTATGGTGCATCCTTCCCTCTGGCGCGGATCTTGACGGTGACAGTTTTACGAGCGATGTAATAACACTAACATCAGCGGTTCCATTTTTTTCCCACCATCTCTCTCTCTCTCGAATGGTATATAAGAATCCGTGTGTGAGGGCTCTCACACACCGCTTGCTCGCTCACTCACGCAGACGCTGCGCATGCACGCGCGCGTAACGGCATGCTCGTGATTTAAAACTGTGAGATCATTGATATTTTTCGTTGGCGAGTCATGTTGTTTCATATTAATACAGTCCTGTATCGTGATATTCTAGATGTGCAGTTAAAATAGAGTGTTGTATTTATTTAGGGTAAAAAAAAAATTGGACGTTTAAAAAAAAAGACACCCTGACAAATTGCGGAAGCAATTTCGGATGATAAATGTGCCGCTACATGCGATGCACATTCTTGCCGGTGCATGTGTGCGAAAGCGGAAAAAGATTACTATCTAGATTATTTATTAACATTATCATCTATGTAGACATGAAAATAAATTACAGATCTCAATTCAGCCCAAGGGTAGCAAGCCTTACACTGGCAAGGGCTAACTTATTTCCTGGAATTGAACAAGGCAATCTAGTTCCGAACAACATTACGTACCATGGCCATGACCTTGCAGAATTGCTTCTAAAAAACTGTGCACTATTTTTTTTTTACCTCAATCTGACACACGTATGAGGAGGTAACACTCGAATCCTCTGCATAGTTGGATTCAATAATCCATTACTGTGCTGCCTTCTGCCGGTTACCTCACACGTTTTATTCTATGCGCAAACATATTATTTTACTTGCGACGTAGAGACACGATTTCATGCATCGGTGAGTTTGCGGACGTGAAATTATGTCATCTGCACGGCATGTCTGCGTTTATTTGCATATCCATGAGCTTTCGTTCGGGACTAGTTTAATGCATGGGGCTTTAGGGATTAGGATCATCATTCCAGGGCCTTGGATTCCAGGGTCGTAGATTTACGCTGGGTAATGTTGTATTTAATGGACAATTTGCTTTTGAAATTAGGCTTGCAGCCAATTATTAGGCTATTAAGGCATACTTTTTCAACCGAGGCTGAGAGAAATAAAGACGTCACAGTCACGTTGAAAAGTGCAGCAAAGAGGCAAGGGAGCATCAATTATGATCGAGCTCTCACAAACGTTTCGCAGCTTCTCCACAGATCACTGAAATGCTGCGGTGCATTCTGCATTGCTTTCTAAATAAATAAGTGAAAAAAAATAATGCTTTACTCACCTCAGACTCAATAAGACGTAGAATCAAACCAACAGATGGAATGCCGTCATCCCGAGTCTTCAAGACTTTACTCTGCAATACAATAAAATAAAACAGAATTTAGCTCAGTGTATTTGTGCGCTTTCTATTGGATAAAAAAACATAACTCATGTGGCCTCCAATCCACAGGTTTTGACTTTCGCTCTGCTGGGTTCATTCAAATGCGTCATGAATTGCAATTAACATTGCAGTAGAGTGATGGCTACAAGCAAACAGACAGCCGAGTGACTACCTTGTAATTATATTTTTTTAGGTCATGACCCACGATTTTATCTGGAAGATTTTAATAAAAATGCGGGTTATACAGGACATAAGGGCTGAGAGAGTATGTGCTTGCTATTGTCATTATCAGCTTTACTACTTTCACATATCCATCTAATTAGTGTGGTGATAATAATTACAAATTCATCCATCCATACCAATGTGTGCTATTAAAATCGGGCCCCAAGGAACTGTTAACGCTGTGGTGGAAAGGTGTCGTAGATGTATCAGAGGTGCAACAACAGTGCTGTACTGAGTTATACGAAACACTCTAAATATCCATTGTTCTTGCAACATCAAAAATCCATACTTATGAGGAGGTAACGCTCAAATCCTCTGCACAGACGGATTCAAGAATCCATACTGTGCTGTCTGCTGCTGGCTACCTTGCACATGTTACGCTATGAAAAACAAATTGTGCTATGTGTGATGTAGAGTTATATTTTTCTGCATCGGTGAGTTCGCAGACGTGAAATGATGTCACCTGCACATGTCTGTATTTGTTTGCATCTCTATGAGCTCTCTTCGGAGCTAGTTTAACGCAGGAGCCTAAGGAGCTGCATTCTAGAGCATCGGATTTTGAGCCCCCCACCCACAATATATAAACAGCTTCCGAACGGTTGAAACGAAATACCGTTGCACTTTCATAAAACTAATACTAATATGTATACACAGTAGACTCTCGATTATCCACGTGCGGTTTATCCAATTTGCGGATTAACCGCGCACCTGAATTTTTGACATAAATTAATAACACATGGATTTCCCTTAAGCTCAAATTAATAATCTAAAAACAGTTCTACATTGTTATTCTTGGAAATGTTTATTACAAGTCATGTACTTAAACTGAACAAATGTGCTCTGGTTCATACAAAATCCACGTGATCGCCTCTACAGTACAGCAGTTGCATATCTTTACAACAGTGGGGCGGAGTTTGATTGATTTTGATTGGCATGGCTCAGCTATCCACTTAGTAGGCGGAGTCTTCTGCACAGGAGCAGAAAAGTGTTATCACTGAGCACACGTATCGATCGGTCGATCGTTAGGTTTTGACATAGAGATCCGTGGAAAATGCTTATATTTTTTGATTATCCACGATCTTGATTTATCCACAGCCGTCCTCCCCGTCATTAGCGTGGAAAATCAAGAGTCAACTGTAAATATTTTATTAAAGCCAAAGCATCACTATGTGAATAACTAACAGTGTATATGCCAACATTTCAAAAGTTTTCTTAATTTTTACTTTTATTTAGCTTCACATTTAAAAACTAGAACTTGATATAATCAGGGTAAACAATGGAGTGACTGGCTTCTGACTGTGAATGGCAGTGGTCAAACATGACACGCCAGGAATTGAATATCCAGAGGAGGCAATGAAAATTATAACTGCCCTAAGCAGTTATAAAATGTCGCCTCTGCTGTTAGACATTGTTAATCAAGGTGCTATGTTTATTTCCTTTTCTTCCTTGCCCCCTCTTCCTCCTCCTACGATTTGGCATTTTCAGTTTTTTGTACTCAAAGAAGACCCAACACGTTTGCCGTGTGATCCACGCTCGAGCGTACGTGAACGGGCACGCGGTCGAGGCGAATGCCCTGCTTGCAGCCCTCCTCCATGAGCCGGTGGTACATGTCGTCTCCTAGCGGCACCACCGAGATGCCAACGGGGCTGCCGGAGTGCCAGCTTGCAGCGTTCATCACTGCCACAAGAGAGAGCCGCCGAGGATTAAAAATACCTGGCCATCGAGAGCCCAGTTACGCCGCGCTCCGGCAGTCGTCTCCATTTGTGTTATCCCGTCGTTGCTTTGTGCCACAGTCGTGTGTGTCGGCTGTTGTTCCGCACTTCTTTTTCTGCTAGCAGTGTGCCAAGTTTCACACGTTGAATGTAAAAAGTTTGTTTTTCTCCTCTATCAAATCAATGCCATTGACACGTTTTGGCAGCACACAAAGAGGCTTAGTTCAATCAAGCTGGGTTTGTGAAATAAGTTTATAAATGTGATTGGAAGCAATCGCCGCTGAAAAGCATTTGGCGGTGGATGTCATTATCGCCGCGAGTGATTGCGTTTGCTGTGAGAAGGCAATGAAATGTGTTGCGATGAATTGCACCTGTGCTAAGCTGGTAAAACTCTAAGATGAGCGCGGCATCAGCTGTAAAAGCGGTGGCACAATCTCTGCTGTGGAACAAGAAGGTATGGTCCCATTGGGGCTGCTCCTTAGGAAATCCTCCAGCTGAGACCTACAGGGGGGAGCACATATCACACGCTGGCATCAGATACTATGACGAACGTTCACACGCTGGTGGCATTAACGTTACATCTTAGCTTTTCGGTAGCACACACTCTATGGGGCTGTACATCTGAGGAGTGTCGTTTGTTTTTATTACGTGTTTAATTGAACCCCCGCAACACAAACGCGACAGAGAGTAAAGAAATCTGCGCGCGGGGAACGGAGTGTAATTTCACACGTGAGAATTTTATTGTTTTAGATATTTTTTTATTGTTTCCCTTCTACGTGACTTTACCAAAAGAGCCAAGAATATGAATCCCTGCAGTCACGAAAGCTTGAAATCAAAATTTGGAAATGTACTTATTTATCCGGGCCAGCCACACTGAGTCGTAGGACTCTTTCTCTGGAGGGTACTGCATTGAGGCTGTTTGTTTTATTTTAAGATTTTTCAGCAAATAAATGATGAGCGTGTATACAAGTGGGAGGAAAACGGAGCACCCGGAGAAAACGCGTGTGTAATGTTCACATGCAATATATTTTTTTTTATTGTATTTTGCACTCCCTACATATTTTCGGCATAAAAAAACAACCTAACTTATTGACCGATGAAAGTAATTGTAAGTGACATGACCGCACGTTGACTTTGCTCTATACATTTCAGAACTCTGAACAATAATTTCAACTACACAGAACACACATTTGGCCCGAAGTTGGAATACTATTATTCCTCCCTCACTGTGCCTGATAGAATTCTACGTGAAGTAGTCGGGCTGATTGATGACCCAGCGCTCATCGATTAACTCCAGGTCACATGCTCATAGGTGGCCGGTCACCTCCTTATCACTCCGTAATCGCTACTGTAATCGTCCCGTGAACATCACTTTTTAATTCCTCCACCCATGTTGAGGATTTGGTGTATTGGAATGAATGTTTCATCTCATCCATACTCTGTTCAACCACCATACTGCAGGTTTCAAACACTTCTTTTCCTGCTTTTTCCCCTGACGCTGCTCGGCGTTGGAATTCACCCCTATCGTCTCTATTCCCAAATTCCCACAACCTTGCTCAATTCAAGAAACGTACAGTACGAACTATTATCTATCTTAACTTCAATAAGCGCTGTTTGTTGCTGGCCACTTGGCATTTTGGGCTTTTGGGCCTGGGCTTTGCAACCATAATATCAATAAAAATATATATTTTAGAAATGTAGACATCACTGCAGTGAAAGCAAAGCGAATGAAAGTGTTCGTACTAAACAATGGCACTGGGTGGAGTTAAACCTCTATTCGTTGGCCTCAGTCGTTGGTGAAAATTCCACATTCCTATGGCGGAGGGTCGTCTCTCAGCTGGACAAACACTATCATCCTATCATGTGAGCACAATTCTAAACATGAAAATATTTATATACTTAAACCACTCGTCATTTGTTGAAATTACTATCAGCAAAGTAATCATCATCAGCCATGACCAATCCACTGCTGGATGAAGGCTTGCACAAGCTGTTGCCATATCACAAGGTACTCTGTGTGTACAACAATCCACCTAACATAGGCACAGACGCTGATTTGATTGCTCCATCGCCACAGAGGACATTCTCCTCGGAGACCAATAATTTCTCACGAGTATGAATAGTGACTGCATAATTGAATCCCATTATCGTGGAGCGACAAAGCTCCCAAGCCATTACCTAACTATAACTGAACAAGAGAGTCATGTGCGAACCCACACCTCAGGTGACCTCTTCATTTGGTCAGGCAGAACACAAGCATGCCTATGAGGTTTCTTCCTCACACACAAATAAATCGCATGGCTTTACCCTCTGATTACCATCAACCCTTCAGCCTCCCCCATTTCATAATTCCTGCGTACGCCAATGCAAGATCCATAGTGGAAACCTAAGGATATTCTAACAAAATAATGAGGCCAAAAAAGGGTTTACCGGCAAACTGATTCTCTTAGGGATTGGATCAGTATTCTGAAGCTCAAAGCATTTTTCTGCATATTAAATTAAATATATTACCCAAAACTTACAATGCATGTTTTGCCTCAAGTCCTTTTATGTCACTTAAGATGCAGTATAATGATTTATTGTGTTAACAGTAACAGTCATTGGTAGGAATGCAAAAAAAATATGAAAAATTCACACTATGGCAGTGTCCAAAATCAACTGATATGTGGGCAGATGTAGTATCCACCGTATTAATATTATAGAATGTATTAGCCCTCTAAGCAGAGAATTTTGTAATATTTTATTTTCTAAGGAAGCAGTCAAACATTGTATGAATTTGAAGAGGACTATGCTAATCTGCATAGATTTTGTGTGTGTGTGCACAGGTGTCCCAACTTATAAGGACTAGGCATGTGACAATGCATCTATTTATCGAGTAAAATCATTTTTATATTCATGATGCAAGAATCGAATTGTGTGTGGGGAGCAGTAGTGAAGTAGTTAATGCGCTGCGCTACAAACCCGGCGACCCGAGTTTGATTCCCGCTCACGGCCACCACCAGTGACGATTATCTGAACCGGTCGTGGGCCTCCCCTAAGTCAACTCAACCTAAAATGAGTACCCGGTGCGATGTGTAAACATCACCACTGGGGAGACAAAGGCGGCCAGGCGTGGTGCTGGCCACCCACCCCCTCGTGTGCCGTGCCGGCCTTTATAGGTGCTCGCTAACAGCACTTGCCCCAACAGTCTGTTAAGGCCCTACGGGGGATCTTTGTCTTTGAATCCATTATTAATATTCAGGCTCACGGCCTGACCAAAAATGTATGCATTACAGAACCAATTAAAAACAAAATAACGCACTTTGTATTTCTAAAGCATATAATTGCAAATGTATCTCAAGACGCTGCACAATACAGTTGGGACATCTATTACTGGGGACAATATATCTTTCAAGACTAAAGGCAGTCGGTCAAAGGCAGAGAAAATTAGCTTGAACATGAGCAGAGGCAGGAAGTCAACACCAACGAGATGGTAAAACATGGGACGAAAATAAATAATATATTCATGAACCAAAACGCACAACACCCCGATTCACGATGCTCCATCGATTCTCTTGGCGGAGGGGAATCATTCCGTGCCTAATGCGCAATTAGCCTGTGGAGCGTGGGAGGCACATTCATCGCTGGCTGTGGTTTTCTCGCTGGCTCGCATTATATCAGTACCTGCGGGTGGCCCTGGCTGGTCACCGTGTGGAATGCTGCCAAATGCTGCATTGGGAAATTAATTGTTGTTATGTTGATCCCGAAGGCCCTCGGAGTCCTTTGAAGCAGGGAGTTCCTTTGGCATAAAAATACATGTCACAAAAAAACTTTAGTTTTTCCACACATCTCCTACAGTTGTAGGGAAGGAGGCCTGCATAATAAAATAAGTTGTGGGGTAGGAATAAGATCTGAATGGTAAACAACAAAAGCAAACAAATTATTGGCACCATTTGAAATAATTGTCACGTGATATTATTCGGATTATCATACGACTCAGTAAGTAAGCCGCAACCCAAACGTGTACCCGGTGTGAGTAAAGTTATAAAAATATGGTCACGCACACAAAGACAAAGATCCCCCGTATAGCCTTAACAGACTGTAGGGGCAAGTGCTGTTAGCGAGCACCTATGAAGGCTGGAACGGTACACGAGGGGGTGGGTGGCCAGCACCACGCCCGACCGCCTTTGTCTCCCCAGTGGCAATGTTTTTATCCACCGCACCAGGTACTCATTTGAGGCTGAGTCGACCTAGGGGAGGCCCGGGACCGGTTCAGATAATCGTCACTGGTGTTGGCCGTGAGCGGGAATCGAACCTGGGTCGCCAGGTTCATAGCGCAGCGCGCTAACCGCTACACTATCGCTCCCCACACACACACACACAGACACTTAATTGATCATAAGATGCACCCCCAGCTTTTGCTTTAAAATACAGGGGAAAGAAGTGTGCCTTATACTATGGAAAAAATGCAGCATGTGCTATAATGTGCCTTATCTTTTAACAGAAAATGTGTATAATCTACTGCTGGAGTAAGGTCTCCTCATACCGTATCAGTTGTGGGGGATGTTTGTACATACTTTACCACGCAGGGCAGTGTGGATTGAATGGATGGGTACCCAGGACCGGTTTAGAGATCACTCACTACTTGTGTTAGCCGTGACCGGGAATGGAACTCAGGCGACTGGATTCAGAGCACAGTGTTCTGGGCACTATGCCACTGCTCCACCACCATGCCTTATGATGTTGCGTGTAAAATAAAAACAGCTGAAGCAAGGCTTTTTTATTATTATTATTACCTCTAAATCCCATAACTTGCTCCAGGGAGGCATATCCAATAAAACGACAGTCACGCTATGAAGAAGTGAAGAAGTCAAGTGTGCACACGCAAGCGTGCCTGCACGTGCCGTTGTGAAAATGGGAATTGGACATGCTACTTTGCTGTGGTCATCAGTGCGTCACTATCCCGCAGATCAGCACTATTAAATATAACGATTGCTCCTCGTCAAGAAAGGTACAAATAAATGGAAGACACAAATTAGGTAGTTTGCAATAATGCAAGTGTTGCGTCAAACTATACATTTAACAGTAACCTTCGTCTATATTTATGTAATATAAAAGACACTGGAAAGCAAGACCCACGCAAAAAATTGTGCCACGTATCACTAAAGTTACGCAAATCTGAACATACCCACACACCCAGCGGATAATAAGATGCACCTCCAACTCTTACTCTTGTCATGAATGATACAAGCGTCACCCAACTGCCACCCTTTAAGAATCCCAATTTGTGCAATGGACATAAATCATTCCCACTAAATCATAAAGCTAATTTATTTTAGCTTAAAACCTGTAGCTGACGAAGTCGGGCACAATGCGGGCGGCAGCTAGGATGGGCCCTGCCGGATCCTTCAGGGGCTCCTCTACGGCCCGTAGCAGCACCTGCCATGCAAAACAACATCCGTGTCAGCTACTCACTCTCAATGTGCAGTTGCCATACATTCTTAAAAATATATATTTTGAGGGGGAATTGTACACATTATAGTTAATTGACCGTAAGCGGGCAGTTGTGGCGTCTTTTAGACAGCTTGTGCGTGGCGATGTACTACCCAACTAACAGTTTTTTGTAATTGTTTTTGTGTACTGCGTATGTAAACGTGTTGTCTTGTCTTAATACGCTCCTGCATTTAGACGCTTTATACATTTAAAGTTTCTAATTACTGGAGCAATATGATCGGTTCATTGGTATGAGCGAGATGGATGGTGGCATCACAAGACTGAGGGATTACAACAGTGTGGGGAGGCCTTCATCCAGCAGTGGACAGACAATGGCTGCTGCTGATGATGAGGTTGACATAGGATAATGTAATCCCATCTTTTTCAAAGTTGACTTTACATATGTATAATTTGGCAGAATCATCACGTAGATCCTTTGACATTTTCAGGTTACAGTGATAGAAAATAAAAGAGTAAACGTATTGATTGAAGTTTATGCAATAGTTAACTCAAAATATAATGCATAAATACCAATTACTGTGAGTGTATTAAGCATTATAAGAATTGTAGAACTACCACTGGACGTTCTGTTATTCGTTTATTTGCGCTGAAATATTTGTTTATCCTTTAGTCAGTGGGTGGTTACATATATATGATAATAAACAATGTATAGCCCCTTGCTAATCAACTGCTGGATGAAGGTCTCGCCACACCATATCAGTAACGGGGGTTGTTTGACCATACTTCACCATGCTGGTCAGTGCCAGTTTGTGAGGTGCGTGCCCAGGACCAGTTCAGATATTGCTCACAAGTGATGTTTATCCGTAGCCAGGAATCAAACTCAGGTCACTGAGTTCATAGAGCAGTGTGCGAACCACACTAACAATGCTCCACCAATGTACATATACACACTGTGCACTGATCCATCTCCCTGTGCATGTCTATGACCCCAACCAACTGAGTTCCTTTCTTGATGTTTACCAATACTGACGAGTGTCCACAAACGCAAGTCAGCGGTAAAAATGAAATGTAAAATGAAAGGAATTACAGTCACATACATTAGTTACAACAGTCTATCCTACTCAAATTCTTTGCATTACATGTGCAATTTAAGCCAAGGCATCACAGGGTATTATCGTCATTCGGCAGTCTGCCTACTCCACAAAACATAATTTGATGCATATTAAAAAAATTAGCATTTTTATGCTATGCTACAGAGGGATGGCCTGAATAAAAACCAATAGCCCAAATTTTGCTTTACACAAAATCAAATAAAACATGACAATAAAACGAGCCAAGTATTGGTAGTTCATGTCTGAAGTACAATTGTGTTTTATGTGGGATTGGTGGATCGTGCACAGATCATCATGGTAATAATACACCAACCTGCAGGGCTAAGAGGTGGTCAATAGGCGGCAGTACAGCAAGTAGGTTGCTAACATGTGTGGGGTTTTTTTAGAAATATACCCACATATATATGCGTGCGTTGTTATCCAAGTGGTCCAGATAATTCTCACATGAAAATCACTGCACACGATAAGGAATTGGCTAAACATTCCAAGAAGGACACATCCTGAGAAATTCCAGATGCATTCGAGGCTTTCATGGATAAGTAATGGACACTTGTTATTAGTCATCATCATCACCATCATCAACAAAGTCTCACAAAGCCTCTGCCAAATCTTGCAATCCTGCGATGCAGCAATAAACCTAGCACCTGCACAAGAGCGTATTCATCACTCCATCTCCTTGATGGAAATTCCTCTCGGATGTATTCTATTCCCTCGCCGCCACTCGATTTTTATTCTTGACCATCGGCCGTCATTCCCTCCAGCGACGCATCCCGGCCAAGCCCACTTACGTTTCTTCACAGCTTGAATCACGTCCTTAACCTGCAGATGTTCTCTAACAAAAATGTTCATCTTTCAATCTCTTCGTGTAATTACAACCGTCCATATCCCCATGCTTCTCTCCACACTTTATGGTTTTTGCATTATTTTTTTTATTTAATTCACCCTGGTGCTTGGCAGTAGAGCAAGGACGTTGTGAGTTCAAATCCCGGTTGCGGCTCGACTCGGCCACAATTACCCGTCCAGGGTCAATAAAATTACTATCATTTTCTAGATAAGTAAACATTAGTTGTCCTACGCAGATACTCGCCCCTGTCATAGGATAGTGGAATTCCCACCACTGGCTCAGGGCTGTGATCGGAGGATGAGCACCGCCTCAATGCTCGTTTGAGCAGGAAATCACTTTGTCTTCGATTTGTTTAGATCATTACTATTACGCCTGCTAAAATATTCTAACAGATGGAGGGGGGGGGGGGGGAGACATTTTGGCGTGGGGATTGAGGATTGTGCAGCCGTGCCTGACCTCCAAGCTGGTGAAGGCGAAGCCGTGCTGCCTGGGAATGGCCTTGCCCTTCCTCACCACGCTGGCAAACAGCCGGATCCCAACCGCGATCCGCTTGTCAGGCTGAGGGCACCCAGGACGTTTTTCGCAAGGGGTCATTCATTATCAAAACACATTTTTTACACGAGCGCTAAACGTGTCGTCATTCACGCATGCCACTGCATGTGTGTCTGTTGTTGTTTTGTGTTTGTTGTGCATTCACGTGTGCATTAAACATATTGTATAGCAAAAGCACGTGCCGAGCAGGTTTATTTAAATAACTTTTTCACGTAAATTTTTGCCATTTCATTGCAACAGTATGCATTCGTCAAAAAAGTTCACGTTTTCCAATTTAAAGACCGCATCTGTTGAGTAAGTCATTATTTTAGATGTTAAAGTCTATGCACGTATAACGTCAACTTTGCATTGTTTTGCAGATTATTCTACAGCCACGTTAAATTGCTTGCAAACGCGTACATTTAATTCAATTTGTTTGGCTACGTCAGGTGGTTGGAGGGTATTATGGCAGATCGTTATGCTTGTGAATCGTAATGAATAATGAATCATAATATTGGCTAAGAAAACCAACGTGTTCAGTCAAACAAAGCCGGTCTGCATTATTGCTGTGTTTCACGCATGTGTGCTTTGCTTTATTTACAAAGTAACTGACGGTTTTCAAGGCAAGACCAATTATTTGCTTTGGTAAATACACGACAAAGTAGATAGTACTAGAAAACCAAGGCATGCTTCTTTTCTACTGCCGTACATTATTGGAGCAGAAGTGACGTGGTGGCGAGATGGTTACTCCCTCGCCTGATATGCAGGAGGTCGTGGGTTCGATTCCCACCCTTAAACCTGTATATTTGGAGTTTGCACCTTCTCCCCGTGATTACGTGGATTTTTCTGCGGGCCCTCCAGTTGTTTCCTCCATATTTAGAAACAAGCGTTTGGAGTATTTGGCTGCTATACATTTCCACTTAGTCAAGCTATAAATTGTGGCCAGGTCATTGCTGAAAAAGAGCAGAACAACTGAGCGAACGAGACGTTTAATTTCAGCTGCATGCGTTGGACAAACAACAAAATACCTTGACCAGTTCCAGGTGGTAGTGGTGGAACGGTTGCAAATACCAGACCGGCAACCTATAGCTGACTAGAAGCTCCTTGGTGTTTTCATCTGCCACGTTCACCACCACCACTGTGCAGGAAATGGAAATGTTAGTTTAACACGTAGACTTTGGCGACCATTTAAGAACGAAACAGGAGGATCTCTCCACAAATAAGGCTGTCGCTTGATGTTGCTGGTTGTAATTACTGGCAAAACGTCGTACTCGAATTATAATTGTCGTGGGTTTACTCTCCAACACACCGGTGTGCTGCGCTCGTAACGAATTGACATGTTTTTGTTGACGTGACAAACCTTACTAATTGGCCGTGTTGGGTGGTGGCAGGTTTAACGACAAGTTTATATTTACGAGATCTAACCCAATCAAACCTCTATAAATGGAAATGTTTTTACATGGATGAACCTGCTCGGCAATACGACCGCACTTTTTGTGTCGTAAAATTTCGATTTAAAGCTTTCGTGACTGCAATGATTCATCTTCTTTGGTTCTTTCGGTAAAGTCACGTAGAATGAGAATAAAATAATAAATTGATTATTGTGTTATTTTTGTGTCGTGTTTGTTTTATCGATATGAAAGGGTCATATAGAGGACATAATTCAAAACATCTGTCCACAAGGGGCTGTCGAATACGTGTAAAAGACAACAAAATAACACTGGGGAAGTGGTGGCACAGGAATAATAATTACAAGCCTGACTACCTGAGTTCAATTCCTGGGCCATGCCTAACGTCAGTGAATCGTGGTATCTTAGCCGGTTCTGCACCCTCCCCAATGCTTACTCTCAGGGAAGCCTCGTTGGTTTAAAAAATATATATTTTTTCGTGTGTAGTTTGTTGTCCCCCCCCCACACCTCCGATTAGCACGGTTGGCTAAGTACGGTGCAAAAGAAGTTCAACATAGATACATACATGCATACATGGCAGACTTCATCCAGCAGTGGATTGACAAAGTACTCTAAATTATATTAGTATAAAAAAGACACTTACCTAACAGGCTTATTTTAAAGATTAACATATTAATGTGAAAAGAACACTTGTTTCGCTTCGGGCATCCCATGATGACAGATTATCTCTGTGTATAGATCATATACAACGCACATTGCACAATACACGAAAACCTGTGCTAGTGCTCTCGAATAGAAACTATGACAATACTGATTTAAAGCTTTCGTGACTGCAGTCATTCATATTCTTAGCTCTTTCGGTAAAGTCACGTTGAACAGAAACAATAAAATAATAAAATATATATAAATAAAATTTGCTTTATATATTTTAATATCTATTTTATTATTTTATTGTTTCCCTTCAACGTGACTTTACCGAAAGAGCTAAGAATATAACAATACTAACAAATGTGTCCGTGTATAAAATGAATACTCTTTTGTTGACTCGATGGATTTATACCACTACAATACAGACGTTTACAGAATGTAGTTTAATACATCGTGTGTGGGTATCCCCTCGTGTATTGAAATAGGTCGGATTTTGATTATCACGCATTGTGAATATAAATTATCTCAACGGGACATAATTATAGATATCCTTCACCTTCATCAGTGTAAGTGTTTTTTTTTTAAAACGTCACAACTTGGTCATATAGTTTAATTTTGTTTAAACAAATTCTGTAAGTTACAGCCCCCTTGTCAATCACCTGTTGGATCCATGAATGGAATTTGTAGAATAAGTTTTCAAGAGCATCAAGAAGGCTATTGTGTGTCTCCGGTGTCAAAAGCAGTGTCGGGATTAAGTATAATGAGGTGTGACTACAGGAAAGATGACCATTGACCACGTGATGAGAGGCAGTCTCATCTGAAAGGCCAGTATATAAGCCGGGTTAAATTGGGTTGAGTGGACAATCGAGTGTCAACTGCTCGACTAAGTATGGGTGACTCTTTCAGATACTTCGCTGTGGATTGGTACGCAAGATTATACCATCGTAGCTGAGATCGGGGATTTGGTTCAAGTGAGATTTTTTTTTCCTCAGGACGGAGGTAATGGCAGCAATTTAGAGGTGCAGAAGGTAATACGTAAATAAATAATGTTCCGCTTTAGGGCAAAAAAAACAATCAGCTTTGGGGGAAAATGTTTGATTCAAGCCGGCATTTCAGTTTCGCTAATCCAATTCAATGGCTGCAGACAATTTCCAGGGGACACCCGCAGAGAGATTCGGAGAGAGGCATTCATGGGTAAATGCATTTCAAGTTCATGCCTGAAAAATGGCTAAGCCCTGCTGAATGAGAATGAAAATTGGGACATAAATGTGACACAAGAGCCAGCCACAAAGCCAGTCACATCACGATAGACAGCTCTTAGTATGTCAATCATAAATGACGAACGTGGCTGTTCAGTCGGCCTGAAGGTCATATTTCATTCCTCAACATTTACATGTTGAAATAATTTATTCCAATTACCCCATACCCAAATATTCTTATTTATATTAGCCATGGTTCACAACAATACAAATGGGCTGAGAAATGTTGGTCTGAAAGTGGTTTTGTTTTTAATCCAACTCTTGGGCACAAACGCACATGGTACTTATCGAGAGTTATTCCAGTAAGCTTGCAGGCGGTAACAAACTAACAATCAGAATCCAAATGTGTTAAGACGGCGTGGCCAGGTTTAAGCACACAAAGAGGTAATAAGCAGGCCACCTGCAGTGCCCGGAAATGACAGCATACGGTAAGCCGGCAACCAAATGTGGGGAATGAACGACAGAAAATTAGTAGAAACTGAATTGGATACGGTACATGTAGGGCCATGTCAAGTAAGTGCGAGGTTTTGGGATAATACATTTTCCAGGAGCCAATTCCTATTTGGTGGAACAGCAAATGTAGGAATTTTTAGTTAGAGGTACCTCGTAGATCTAGGTACAATACTAGGTTTTCATGCACTAAGTCCAAAGGTTATCTCAGCTCTCTATATATGTATAGTGACTGACTCAGAGACACTAAGAGTAGGAGTCACTCTGTTTATTAACACGGCCTAACAGTTCACACTTGGTAACTACGGCTCCCAGTCAGGACAGCTGGTAGACTGCCTGACTGACGACGCCGAGATGGTGAAGACGGAGATGACGGTGAAGACTCCAGCAGCAGCACGACGGGGATCCCACTCCAAACGACAGCCCCGAGGTCCCCTGCCGGAGCCCCTCTTATACTGTCAGCGTAGCCTGGCTCCGCCCCCGGCCACGCCCCCTTCTGGAACCTACTAGCGGGTTCTCGATGTGCCCCTTCCGTAACCTTTACCCTCGATCCCTCTCTGGTCTATCACGTGGCCTGCTGTCAGTCAGGGCTGCTGTAAGTTGCAGATCCCCTTCCCTGCCAGCAGCCAGCGCTATGCTGCTACGTGACCAATTCTATGTCACTACATATGCATAGCCATATAGGAGACGTTCAAAGTCAAAGTGGTCAGATTCTCAACATTTGCAAGTGTTCATCTTCATCGGTGGAAACTGAGCCAGTGGTTGAAATTCAATAATGCTATGGGAGGGTATAGACTCTCCGTAACACAACTATTGTTGAATTTTAAAAAGTAGCATTAATTTTATCACCCCCCAAATAGGTGATGGACTGTCAACCCACAATCCAAGCGTATTCCACTGATTGTGAGTGCAAATTTGCTAGCATACAATGAGGAGAGGGATTGGAAAGCGCATATTTCCGCTTAGAATAAAAATATCTAACCACGACATAGCCCTCTGTGGCACTGCACAAGGCAGTAGCAATGTGCAATGTGCGCACTTGTTTATACAGAAAGAGGAATACATGAAACACATGCATGAGAAAATATATGCAGGTTAATAACATAATTCAAACGATTCAAAGAAAAAGTGGGCTTTGGCAGGACACTTCGTTAGAAGTGTTGACCAATGGTCACGAATAATAACGGAGTGTCAGCCAAGTGACAGAACATGTCTGAGAGGGTACCAACCGAGGAGATGGAGCAATGAAATATCACCTGGTGTGCAGGTGCTATGTGGATTATTACTTCGCAGCAATTGCGAGAGGTGGCAGCCGCTTGGAGAGGGCTTCATCCAGCAGTGGATTAATAATGACTGATGATGTTCATGATGATGACCACAACGATTATGCACCTGTTTATTAAACCATACCTTCATCATCTGCTTTGTTCTCGTCTATCTCCACACTGACGGTCTCCTCCCACGAAGGCGAGTGTGTGGGATGGCTGCTTGCGTGCGTCACGCCCTGGGCTGCCCTGCTCTGCTGCTCGTCTGTGTCACTCTTTCTGCCGGTGCAAACAATTCCACAACCAGGAATAAATATCGTCCAAATGAATGTTTTCCAACGTGCGTTTTTTTCCTCTTTTTTAGATAGCATACGTAGGTTGAAGATATCGCGTTGCATTGCTCGAAGGGATTATGAGCTATGGTCAAGAATAATGATGGAGTGGCGGCTAAGGAATGGATGCGTCCGCTGTGGAAGGGAAGGAAGAAATCCGCAAGTGAGGTGGGTGTCAGGATCAGAGGAAAGGGCGAATATAATTGTGTTTTTACAAATGTACACTTACAATGAAAATATGTAAAACTTAACACATACTGTACCATGCTCTTTAGGGATTAATTTATAATCTAATATTTAACAGTCCCCCCCCCTCAAACCCCAACCCCCCTCAGAAATATTTTCTCAAGAGCTTGGCTCACAAACAGCTTCGGTTTAAATTAAGCCCTGGTAGTGGTCATGGTATTGATACACTTTCACCCACAATGGGAACGTGGCATTTCCATCAGTGCCTCACGGTCACCAGTGGAGATCAGCATAGATCCCGTGGTGATTTGAGAATGGAGATGCTGACCCTTTTCCAGTCTGAATCGGTTTTTTTTACAAGTTCAATGTCATCAGGTGACTGCTGCATCTTTTTTTTTCCCTGCCTACTCCAATTATAAATTACAGGGTGGTATACAAATAAGTACAGATTGTTTTATTTTACCTTTGTTTTTGTATGTTTTGTTAAACTTGTATAATTACTAAATGTAAAATTGGCCCATAGTGCTAAAGACCATCAGATTAATTAATTTAATGTTTCAGGCATTAACACTACTCTTCATATAATGCAAAACCACATCTGAACAGTGTCCATTCATAAACTATTAATTCGACCCATTTAAGAGCCAATTGATTATTTTTCTCCATCGTTCCTGCATTGTCCCTGCTTAGTACGATATTTTCTTTGGTTGTGTTTAAAAAAAAGACATCGCAATGAAAAAAAATACAATGAGCGAATAGCACACGCAGTTTTGCCTAGTGCCATTCGCGTGTTGCTTTCAATTTGTGCTTCCGTAAATCCTGTGGCAAATTCCCTGTTCACACTGCCACGATGGAGCCATCTGTAATTGAATGCTAATACCAGCAATGCATTCCAGAAGCACAAACCGAGTCAGATGACTTCAAATCCCTTTAATTGGGCAAACAAGCCGAGAGGCAGGCTGGGCTCAGACGGCTGGCTAACAGAGGGTCCTTGTGTGTAGGCAGTCTCGGGGGGAGTTCAGCCTTATCCCTGTGATGTAATATTTATGGCCTGGACCTCCACGCGCTCCCTCTCAAAACACCAACTATGCGCACACGATAACCTCAAGCGTGAGCCGAGGCTCTCCAAAAGGGATTAACGGTGGCCTCTCCTTCCCTTCGCAAATATTCATCAGCCAATTAGCAGATCAGTTGGTTCCATGCCTAGAGGTATGAGCACATATGGTTGGATTCCAGATCAGATTTTCAATTCTTAGCTCCAGCTGTATAAAATAGCACGGCTTTCCTATTTGCCACTTTACAGTAAATATTTTTCTCACGCACAGAGTAAATCTTCGGGTTATTTAAATCGCGTGCGCATCTTATTCATTTCCCCTACCACAAAGTAATTTTGCTGGTGCAGAAATGTGTTGGCTTAAGTCATTAAAGTGCATTGGCAAGGTGAAGGGAATTTCCATTAAAATCAGTCGGAGAACATAAGCGAGGCATACAATCAATATTAAAACCAGACCAGGCCTAATGAAAAATTGATGACACCTCACTTCCTTCCACAGTCTGGGCTGTGCCTGAAGGCCATGATGTTTTTTTTAAAATGTAAAATTGTTACATGTAAATTACATACATACAGGATTCAGTCCCAAACACATGTGGAATTTAATAGTTTTGACTACTCAAAAATTATACGTGCTCAGAAATGAGCAAACCACCTTATATGTCAGTAATGTGCAAGTTAGTAATGTACAAGTTAGTAATGTACAAGTTAGTAATGTACAAGCTAAACTATTTTCCTTTGTTTCATGAAGCTATAAATATGATGAAATATTGTTTTACGTTGATGTTTTCTGTGGCATTTTCAAACCGAAAAAGCATGTAAGTATAAGTGTATGTAAAACATTTTTAAAAGATATTCAAATGCTAGCCGTTTGAACGGGGTACAATTCACAGCCCTTCACTGCCATGCAATAATTCCCATGATAAAATAACATGACCTGTTTAATTGCTATAATGTCATTGCCAATAAGATAAATACTGCGAGTTGTATTTTTTTAAAGGGGTACTGAAATAGCATGCATTGTTAAACAAAAACAACAAAACTGAAAATAATCAGTTTTGGTGATCGATGTGACTGTCCCGAAAGTGGATATGAATTCAAATCACAGTGCATAGTCCATGAGGTGAGAGCAGATATTTCACTTGTTTATACCACGGTGATAATCGGAGGTGCTGGGGGAAGGAAACAAACTAGACACCATAAGAAGTTCTAAAGAAATGGGTTTACAATCTAGATTTAAAAGTTAATCGTTCCGGTAACTTCCTAATATCGGAAGGAGGAGCACTCCAGATGGCCGCAGAAGCTGCATCTGAGACCACGTGACGCAGTGACCGTCTTTGTTCGATGGTTAGTCAAAAGACACTGCGAGGATGACCGGAGTTTGCGTGATGGTTTAAAATGTGGCCAATAACAGTGAATTATGTGATAACCTTTGGAAATTAGTGGGTTATTAATATAACTCACTCTTATCAAACAAGTAAATAAAAAGGCACGACTAAAGTTTTTTATTTACTTTAGGTTTTACCAATGTATGCTCTGATCCATGGAAAAGCATTAATGTATTCAAATTGCTACTAAGCGCCCCCTGTTGAACAAGATTTAGACACGGTGCAACTAACGTTTGAGCTACAAAACACGCAGGATAAATAAATGGGAATAATATCTCGCGATACCAGAAGAAGGGAGAACTACATATACTATAAGTGCATCTTGTTGTTGTTATACAACTGACAAAAATACCGGAGCTATAAGTGTCCCAGGAAGATTACCCAGGACAACTACCTCAAAACAGAGAGAGCATTCTGGGAAAACTGAGAGGGGTGGCAAGCCTCGGCAAAACTCGCACTTAAGCCGAAACACGTGCCCTCCTTAAACGTCTTGAGCCCACTCGCTGCCTAAAACGCCGTGGACACCACCCACCAGCACAATATCCACACCACTATTGTACACGGCGTTGTTGTTGTTATCACGTGACGATGATAAGGGTTGGAATTCAGACTCATCGGTTAATGAATCGGCTCACATTATATGCCCTGAATGACGCGCGCAAGAAGCGGCGTGTGGCCAACGTTGTTTATACTGTATTGAAATGGGTTCACATAGCCCACATCAACCTTAAAGTCAATACCATTCAAGGCAAACGATGTATACATTTGACGCTTGAGTCGAATCTCATTGCTGGTTTGCGACAATCCGAAGAATCGCCGAGGGTGAATCGTTCCACTGTCCCATAACAATAAACTTCACAATCATTGGTCGTGACAATTTTAATCAGATCCTTATAAATGACTGAAATAACTTGTTAACCATGAGATAATCCCATTCATTTTCATGCTTTTTGTTTACGCACAATGAACATTCCGATACTGTCATATTTTTGTGTGTGTAATATATATGCTTTGTGCCAAAATAAGAGTTCAGTGGTAGCTGCACTTAAATATACCCCGAACGGTTGCCAATCATACATTGTGGTCAACATCGCAAGCTTAGGAGTGGCAATATCATCTCAATGGAAATATGCACTAATCTCACAGGCACTTGCATACGACTGTCTCACTGACAACAGCGCAGACGAAAGATGAAAATGTCAAATCAAGACACGTGCATTTGTGAACAATTTTTAAGGCATCGGTACGAAATGCGCGCACGCTCCCGCTTTTCCGAATACCGATGTGAGACGTGAACACGACTGAACAACGACGCCTCGGACAACGAGGAAGGCGGGTTCGTGCCTCTGCATGCACCCGAGCCTCTCATCTGCAGCCTGTCTATGTCCCGGCCCAAATAAAAGTTTAATGAAGCGGCGCATTGGGGACAAAGCTGATGATTTGCCGATGAGGTGGAGACGGACGTGCCGCTCCCCGTCTCTGAAGAGCAACGTAGTCGATTTGCAAAGCCAATGGGAAGGGATCAATATGCCTTCCATTATGGCCAAGGAATTTAGCAACAACATAGATTGGTGTTTAAGCACTGGTCTAATTGGCAGCGTTATCCAATATCTTTGGATAATGATGATAATGAAGATTGCGCGGGTCTTCTAGGTGTAATGTGTTAATAACATCCGAAAGGGCTCGTGACGTGATGGTAAAATGTCAATACGCAGTGCATTGCGGATTGCAGCAAACGAGCAAACAGGTATCACGTGCTTTAGTTTTAAAATAAAGTCCCTGCGTAAGCCTTATTCTCTACAAATGGAATACGACAAGTCAAAATAAAGTCGTCCTATTTTGTGAATTCCTCGGGCTGCCAAGCCACATCAGGGTTGCACAGCTGTGTGTCAGATCAACTGTCTAAGGCCCTGCAGTGTGCGGCTTTTGCTCTGTCAAGTGCCAAACTCGTCACTATAGAGACCTGGAATGGAGGTCAAATGAAAGTGGGGTGCAAGAAATGGGCTTCTGAGTCGGTGGGATTTAAACAAAGGCAGGGGCTGTCTCGCCGGCTGTCTAAACACAGTCAGCAGCGATGTCGTTAAGTGAGTGAGGAGGAAGAAATGCAATACCTCCAATGCCTCATCAATAACATCGAGTGACATTCACAGAGAGCAATTATCGCTTGTGGTCAAAATCCTAAATATCTTATTATTTGTCTGTAATATTTGCGCATGTTAAGACTCAATATGCGTACTTGAAAGTTTATTAGCAGCCAATTATACAACAGAATATCAAAAATGTTTTACTTTTTTTCGATTTAAAGCTTTCGTGACTGCAGGGATTCATATTCTGGGTTCTTTTGGTAAAGTCACGTAGAATGGGAATAAAATAATAATAATAACAGAATAAGATTCTCACGATGTTTCGGCCACAACACAAGTAGCCTTCCTCAGGTGAAGAAACAGAACTGTCCGGAAGACAGCGCTGTTATTATTATTTTTATTATTTTATTCCCATTCTACGTGGCTTTACCGAAAGAACCCAGAAGATGTTTTACTTTTGTTATATAATGGCACGTATATAATTTATTTTTTTTATTTTTTTATCTACCAGTCATACATTTTGAGAAAACTGACCTCTTTCCAACATTTTTAATACATTTGACAACATTCCTGCATCACAATCGAGCATATACGTGGTGCCAGAACTAAGTGGTTGAAATATTGGCAACATATTCCTTGTGGCATTATCAGCAGAATGTCAGGCATGGGGCTTGTTGGTCATACTTCACCACGTCAGTCAATGAATCAGCGAAGGGGGGGGGAGATGCACCAGAACTGGTTCACGTATCATTCCGTTTAGAGCAGTGGTTCTTAACCTGGGGTGCACGCACCCCCCGGTGATGCGAGGTGCCCTTTCTGGAGGTGCGAGACATGGCCACCTTTTTTAAGAAGGTAAATCATCGAAAGACAAATTAAGCACGGGCACGTAGGTACAATTACTTTGTTTCATCACACCCTCTATGTATTTATTATTAATATTTGTTTCACGATTAGAGAGCCAAAGGGGTGCAAGGCTGCAGTAAAGATTAAACAACCACTGCTTTAGAGGGATGAAACTCACCTGAGAAAATATGAACACTACCAGGTATATGTGGTGAGTTTGGTTTAATCAGCCGAGCTCAACCTGCTATTTAATTATCCTATTTTTTTTGCAATGGATGATACCTTGCGGACGACATATATAATATGCACCTCCATTCTTCACAACATTCCCGGCACAGCATTTAAACAGCCGATACAGACATTACACGTAGGGCAGTGGTGGAGAACCTATGCCCTATGATTGCACATCACGCGGCCCGCACAGCCACGTGACGCCTTCGATATTTATCCACCGCTGCTCCTTAGCCGCACTCATCGGGTACGAGAGGGGGGCCCACTTTCGACGTGGCGATACCGCATCCCTAAATTCGGCACGCTCAGTTACATCTGACCAACGCATGCGGTAATGTGCGGTCCCGCCTTTGGCGACGCCAAATTTTAAAGTCCTCTTCGGCGGTCGGTATAGGAAACAGTTCCACCCCCCGCCGCCGCCGCCGGCGCCGCCATCCCCGATATAGAGCAAGGAGCGAGATGGCGGTAATGAGGGATGATCTCCGCGCTTGCGTGACGCGCAGCACTTACACGGCGGCGAATGGCCGCGGGACCCCTCCGTCGCTCGGCGGGGGCAGGCTGCTCACGCCGTGGAGAATGAGCGTCACCGTCTCCTTGCCCGGGCGCGACACGTGGCAGGAATTTGTGGCAGCATTGACGGGCGGCTCCGAGGGCCTCGCCGCTCTCTCCATTACCTGGGCCAGATGAATATTTCACATTGCTAAGGCACTGTGCATGCTCGATAGATTCACACACACACACGTACAAGTTACGGCGAGTGACATTGACAATCAAAAGCGATGGCAATTGTAAACATTGAGGTTAGTGTTGGTGCCAAATTTAAATTATTATTTTTGTTCCATGTAGGAATTGTGCATTTATCTGTGCTGAATTATTGGCAATTAAGCTCGGTTTTTTTCATGCACTATGGTTCAGCACAACTTGATGCAATTGTATGCAGTAAGACAGTCGATGGTGTTGGTTTCAACATGCAGTAGTGCAAATTAAGGTTTTGAAATATTAATGAGTAGGTATGCATTACATGAACATGTAGGAAAAAAATCCGATGGTAGTTATCCAACTCTCCCGTATTTTGCAGTAGATTATTTTTCAGTCACGGACACATTTCTCAAAACAAACCCCATAATTCTTGACAAATCACTTCACGTGCAGGTGCTTGGTGGATTGTTTAATCACAGGATTGTGAGAGGTGTTGGTGACTTAGGGGGGAACTTCATCCAGCAGTGGATTGACGATGGCTTATGATTATGAACATTTTTGACGTAATTACTCTTGTTAGGGGTATGAGTAATGTAATTTAAAGCACACTCAATTTACTAACATAATCATTTCCTCAATAAATGCCACTCCTGATTCTCTTCACACATGGAAATATTACAACAATAAATGCAGCTATTTTAATACCATTTCCAACGGTTCTCTTGACATCGCTGAATTATATATTAAAATGTAATTGTTTTGAGCAGTGAGATTATTTCCATATGCCTATGATTTTAGTTGTTGTTTTTTACCGAGTGAAACTAAACATGTGCCAACATATTTTCTACGAATGTTTACGAATAGGTTATAATATTTTTAATATTAATTATTGAACGAGAAGTCTTACGGCTTTTGGTACCGAAGGCCGCGTTTGATTCCTCACCCCATGGCTAACATCAGTGCCGAGTGAAATGTGAAGAATTGATATTAATCTGTGATTTTATGCATCGTTCCACCCCTAATATCAATACATATGCAAATGTGTCTCTGCTTCAGAATGTATCCGAGGTTAAAACTAAAATATTTTATCCCGAATGAATCCATGACTGGGTGTCACTCAGAAGCCCCTCTCTGGTACAGGGCTCCTACAGCCACAGGTGTTGCTGATGAAAAAACTTTTCTCAGAATCAAAACATCCTCTTTGGTTCTGTGGGTAAAGTCACGTAGGTATAAAACGAAAATAAATCACGACGTTTCGATTGCAACACAAGCAATCATCATCAGGTGGGAAAACCACAGCAAGAACATTTTTGCTGAAGTGAATTTTTTTCTTGCTGTGGTTTTCCCACCTGATGATGATGATGATTGCTTGTGTTGCAATCGAAACGTCGTGACTTATTTTTATTTTATACCTACGTGACTTTACCGAAAGAACCAAAGAGTATGGATTCCTGCAGTCACGAAAGCTTCAAATCTAAATCAAATCATCGTGAGTGTAATCTCAGATGGGGGGGGGGGGGCGGGATCATGCCTTCCTCCAATCACATCTCTGTATTTGAAGATACTGGTTCCCACCAGAGGAAAAATGAAGCTTATATCACTAGCCTCGGGGCACCAATGAGCATGAGCACCATCTCATGTATGTTGAACTTCTTTTGCACCGTACCTAGACCAACCGTGCTAATCGGAAGTGTGGGGGAAGGACAACAAAACTCAGGACAAAAATCAGTTCGAGACAAGTGAGTTTTCATACTCTTTGGTTCTATTGGGTAAAGTCACGTAGGTGAAAATAAAATAACAGAAAATCACGACGTTTCGGCCACAACACAAGCGGCCTTCATCAGGTGTTGTGGCCGAAACGTCGTGATTTTTTGTTATTTTATTTTCACCTACGTGACTTTACCTAATAGAACCAAAGAGTATGGATCCTAGCAGTCACGAAAGCTTTAAATCTAGAAGTGAGTTTTCAACATATATTTAAAAGTGCATAGCTCCAGTGGCTTCATAATATCGGAAGGAAGAATGTTCCACACGGCCGCAGAAGCACTTCTGAAAGCAAGAGATTTAGTGGCCATCTTTGTTAGATGGGTAGTCAAACAAGCATATCCTAATGCTTGTTTGACTCTTGAAACACTGAACAGTTTTTTTTACAATTGGGTCTATGTCCAAATGACCTGGAATGCACCCAATTCCATCAAATATCAGAAATAAAGCAGGGTTGAGGCCAGATATTTGCTGGATGGGTGACCAGCATTCACAAACAGGTTGCTAAAGGAGGCTGCCAGACTACATGGTGAGTAGCAGAGGGCAGTGCAGAAAAATAAATAAACGTTGTACTATACTGCTCTGCTCCTAATTCTATGATGCCCGCATTCACTAGGACGTTCTTATTCAGTCTGGTGACCACGTTTTTATTCAGCATGATATGGTCAAATAACCCCACACAGCCGAGGAAGGTCCTAATCCAGCAGTGGATTCACGAAAGGCTGTAAATATACAAGTACTGTATATAAATAGCAATTGAACATTTCTTTAAAAAATGATTGAGCCAACCAACTTACGACTCATGCCATTATAAGTTAAATTGTCAAAACGTATCAGAAATATTGCAAATCTATAATGTGCCAGGGGGTGCTGCACCTTCTCCAAACTTTGTACTTATTCCTCATCTTATATTCTTGGTTCTTTCGGTAAAGTCACCACGTAAAAGGGAAAAAATAAAATAATAAAAATATAAAACAATAAAATTATCACGACGTTTCCACTGCAACACAAGCAATCATCATCAGGTGTGAAAACCACAGCAAGAAAATTTGAAAAAACCACAGCCACTTTTTTTCAAAATTTCTTGCTGTGGTTTTCACACCTGATGATGATTGTTTTGTTGAAAAAACCACAGCCACTTTTTTTCTAAATTTATTGCTGTGGTTTTCACACCTGATGATGATTGTTTGTGTTCCAGTCGAAACGTCGTGAGAATTTAGTTTTATATTTTTTTATTATTTTATTGTTTCCCTTCTACGTGACTTTACCGAAAGAACCAAGCATATGAATCCCTGCAGTCACGAAAGCTTTAAATCGAAATGTATTCCTCATCTATTTTAAAATACACTCTTGCTTCCCCTCAATCCCAATAGACCGGTCAGTTTTGTCAGCCATGTGCTCGCATCCTAAATGCAGAATATTCATGAGGTTCGATCCTCTCATTTCCCAGAAGGAGGCAGGTGCGGTGCTGCTGTTCCGGCTGGGTTGGTCTCTCTCTCTCTCTCTCCATGCTCGGTGAGCTCCAATGTAGCAGTGCAGCTATGCCCAGGGAGCTTGGAGTGTGCGATTTACTGAGGCCGCAAACCACACGGATAGCAATCGGTGGTGGTGGCGGCGGCGCTAGGCATAAGCAAACCAGCCAAAATCTTCGGTCCCCGCCATCCTCCGCGCACAGCTCAAGGGGTCTCAGATCAATGAAAACGATAGAGTGCATAAAATGTCGGCTGAAATTCAAACCATTGTAAATCATAACGTCAAAAAAGTCAATGAAGCTCGCTCATCTCTATCTTGTCTGCATCTCTTCTCTCATTTCACGGCATCTCTATGTTTTTTTGTCGACAATTTTACTGAACTCACGACATCTAAATCTCTTGGCTTTATCTCGCTAGGAATTTAGAAATTGGAATCGGGCCGCAAAAAAAATTGTGTTTCGGGGCACCCCGCCCGCGCCCCCCACTCCCCAATGGGCTTACAACAACACGTGGCTAGCAGCCCCCTCTTAATCTCTACCCCCCACCTCCACACCACCATCAACCCCACCAAAGCACCCCCTGGCACACCAGCGACCTCCCAAGGGGCACTGTGCCCGGTCACGGCGGCCCAGCCATCAATGTTTTGCCATTTCAAAAATGTATTTTTTCATTCACCACCACCGCCGCAGCCTACTGAACCCACAAAACAACAGTTGTTTGATATGCGCAACACAACAGATGTTTCATAAGCAACCGACATTGTAAGACAGCTGTGAAACTACTGTTAAATTATCGGTGGCTACTGTATTATTTTAAAACTAGTTTGCAAAGTCTGCTGTTGCTCATAGCAAAAACGACAGAACACGAGGCGGTATTTAACAAATGCTGTTAAGTGGATTGCTTTTTGGATTTTATTTTTTTCGCCACGAATGTTCTCGTGCAGTACATCTGCCAGAGACGAGGCACTGTGTCAAAGCCCCCCGCAATTGAAATGCGCGGTCTTAATGGAAATCATTTTTAAGGAACGTGTAAATCATAATCCACTGTTTCCATTATTTTAGAAACCGAATCTACTTCAGTCCCCAAAGGCAGCCAAGTCCACCTATGACAGCCGCATGTCTAATTTGCATGTCTCTCCCATGTCTTCCGAATGAACTACAGAGAGGAAGAAAAACAATCATACTGCAAGGTCCCAGTTGCAAATCACCAAGCTTTGTGCATCGGCAGTGAACACTACTCACGCCTGCAATCAGCGCCAATGCCTTGGCGCACAATAGGTGTGGTATGTTCTGGCAAGCAATTCACCCGAATCGTTTAAAGTGACAAGACGGAATCTATGAATGCTGCAAAAAACACGTACAGTGATGCGAGCTGTTGTTTCCGTCCACCGCTGCCAGGAATATATTGCTTCTCGTGCGCTAATTTGTCACCAGTGCAGTGACTTTATGATCAACGTGTTATCCACCTTTGAACCTTGTACACTCTTTCAGCTGGAAAAATTAACAGCTCGCTCTATATATTATAGAGTATGACATACATCCCAGCATGAATGCAGGATATGAGCAAAGGCTATAAACAGCCATTTTATAAACAACTAGCTTTAACTACCCGGCTTCGCCCGGGACTTGGATTCAACACGCCCGGCCGCCTTTGTCTCCCCAGTGGCGATGTTCACACATCACAGCAGTTACTCGTTTGAGGCTGAGTCGACCTAGGGGAGGCCCAGGACCGGTTCAAAT